TGGTATCTCTTGTGGTAGATAGTCACGAGACTGATCAGACCCTGTTCCAGAAAGATACTGCGGTGGCATCTATAAATACTATTATTATGCCAAAGGCTGAGAAATTCGTTTTCTCGACTAGACTGGCCGGAAATAAAATGACAAAATAGAAGCAGGCGCTAAAAAAAGAGTTCTATCTGTTGAAGATATTTATGCACGAGAAAATGCTTTCACTCCACCTGGCCCCGGACCTGATGCACGTGGAAGAATCGGGATTGAAACTGATTAATACAGATGACCCGTCGGAGGAACCATTGCTTTCCGGGGGCAAGCAATGTCTGATTATATGAGTCTTGGAGGAAGTTAAACCCTATCTGGCTCTTAATCATATTATCGCAAAGCTGGTCCAGGTGAAAAGGGGGAACTGCAGCCTTCCAAGACTGGCTCTCTCTCTCTCCCTCCTCTTCTAGCAAAAGAAGGGCACTCAGGGCCTGCCCGGCCAGCCGGACCTGAAACTGAACAAAATTGCAGAAGACGCCCATGTCCAGTTCCAGCCTTTGATAATAGAAGATCTGCTAATTATCACTTCAGTAGATCTGACTTAGGTTAGTGGTCATGTTCCGCATCTTCTTGCCAAAGGCGCGCAGTCGTGTGATCCAGGCGAAGGAGGAGCGGATATTATAAAGCATAAACCGCTCGCACATCTCATCCAGGGCCTTAGATGCGTGGAGAATCTCTCTCTGGATGGCTGCCTGCACTGCCTGTTGAATCACCAATAACTGGACAATCTTAATCAAAACAAAGAGAAAACTAATGTAGAAACAAGCATTTTGAAAGACCTGCTTCTCTGCATCCATTTTTAGAACAACTAAGAATCTCACTAGAGTGCTGTCAAAGAGATCTTTAGTAAACTGATGATCCAGGAGGGCAATAGAGAACTGGAGGCATGTCTGATTTAGTCCAGTCTGTATCTCGTTCTTCTTATTTTCTCTCTTCCTATCCCCCTTCTCCCTCTCCTCCTCCTCCTCCTCCTTCTCCTCTAATCTCTGCAGGGCCTGGGCGCGGCTCATCATGCGATCGAGCCATGCGGATTGGGGCTGGGTTAGGCAGTGGGCCAGGCGAGTAGACTGGCCGAGTGCGGTGGATCGATACGCGAAGCAGATTAGCCGTTGCCAAATCCGGGTATAACGTTGGTAGGTGGTGTTTTGAAGGTCCACTAATAACGAACGATTTCAGACGCGGATGCGGGCAAGAATGTTATTAATCTGCATCAGATCAAATTCATTGACCTTCCTTTCCCAGATGCACTGACAGATCTGACAGATCTGACAGATCAGACAGGATATATTACTTGCAAAGTAACCCAGCAGCGGCTCAGTAATAGGATCTGGAAAAGCATCTAGCTGAACGATTACAAAGAAGCTTTACTCCTGGACATAACGCGCCCATTGGGTCAGATCTAACCAGAGACAAACCTCGATGGTGCTTTGACGAATAGAGATAGTGTTACATGTATTCTGTGCTGTTGTTCGACGGGCCTGGATATCAGATATCATTTGGATGTGAGTGAACTCCGTCTCGCGGAATAGAAGAACCTGACGGGGCCCTGCGGATAAAGTAATAGTAAAGAAGCTGCTGCCTGCTTGAAAAGAAAAGAAGCATTGACAGCTGACCGACAAAAAAAAAGTAAGAAGATCTCGAGTTGTATAACGTTTTCTTCTCGAGAGCTGTCATTGAGAATCATGCGCCTTATTTTGATGCTTAGAGAGTGTCTTTCGTGACCGGACCACGTAAGAGCAATGAGGGCAGCGGTAGTCCTGGTGGACAGGGAGCCCTGGAATCGATGTGCTGTCGGAAGGTGAAATAAAACAGGATTTGCCGAAGGCAGAATCCTAGGATGATCACTTGAACATCTGGACACCGATATCCTAACAGAAAGCCCTGGTGACAGCGAAAGGATGCTTGGAATGACGGGAAGCCAGATGAACCGGGGCATGGGCTGGCAGCACGGCAAATCCACAGGAGATGCAGATCCACAGCCGATAGACATCACAATAGATGAAAAGATCCATGAAAGATAGATCGATGGATAGATTGGTTCGTAGAGAGGCTGGCCAGTTGGTGGATAGGAATAGAGAAAGGAAGGAGGGCGTACAGGAGGGAAGAAGGTAACCGCTGTTGATGGATTTGCCTCATCACTTTTCTACGCGTTAAACACATGCGTGTAGGGAGGTTTCAAGTTTCAAGATATGACCTATCTCTTTTAGTTTGGGCGGGCGAGGGAGTGATGGGGGCACGCACCCTGGGAGACGGGACGACGTACAGAGGATGAATCAGGAGGGGGGAAAGGGAAGTGCAGGTCGGGTGCGGGACGGCCTACGTGGTACAGAATTGACTGAGTTAGGGGGTGGGTATACTTTTTTCATACCCTCCCCCCTGGCCCCACTTTTCTTTTGGTGATACCCTCCCCTGGGTATGGTAGAACCTAGTATTAGGTGATCCGTCGAAGAAATCATTGTTTTTCGGGGGCAAGCAGTGTTTGATTATATGGATCCTGAAAGAAGTTAAACCCTGTCTGACTCTTAGTCATATTATTGCGAAGCTGGTTTAGATGAAAAGAGAAAATTGCGATCTTTTAGGACTGGCTCTTTTTTTTTTTTTTTTCTCTCAACAAAAGAAGAGCGTTTAGAATCTATTTGGTCAATCGGATCTGAAATTGGACAAAATTGTGAAAAACGTTCATGTTTAGTTTCAATTCTTGATAATAAAAGATCTGCTGATTATCATTCTAATAGATCTGATCTAGATTGATGGTCATGTTCTGCATCTTCTTGTCAAAGGCGCGTAATCGTGTGATCCAGGCGAAGGGAGAGCGGATATTATAGAATATAAATCGCTCGTGTATCTCATCCAGGGTCTTAAATGTGTGGAGAATCTTTTTCTGGGTGGCTGCCTACACTGCTTGTTGAATCATCAGTAGCTGGACAATCTTAACCAAGGCAGAGAGAAAGTTGATGTAGAAGCAAGCATTTTGGAAGATCTGCTTTTCTATATTCACTTCTAAGACAATTAGGAATCTCATTAAAGTGTTGTCAAAGAAATCTCCAGTAAATTGATGATCCAGAAGGGTGATAAAAAACTAAAAACATGTCTGATCCAATCCAGTCTGTATCTCGTTCTTCTTATTTTCTTCCTTTCTATCCTTTTTTTCTTTTTTCTTTTTTTCTTCTTTTCTTCTTTTTCTAATCTCTGCAGAACTTGAACGCGATTCACTATGCAATCAAATCATGCGAACTGGGATCGAATTAAACAGTGAGCCAGGCGAGTAAATTGACTGAATGCGATGGACTGATACACAAAACAGATTAGCCGCTGTCAGATCCGGATATAACGTTGATAAATGATGTTCTAAAAATCCATTAGTAGCGAGCGATCTCAGATGCAGATGCAAACAAGAATGTTATTAATTCACATTAAATCAAATTCATTGATCTTTCTTTTTCGGATGCACTGATAGACCTGATAGATCAAACAAAATATATTATTTGCAAAATAATTTAGCAGCAGTTCAATAATAGGATCTGAAAAAACATCTAGTTGAACGATTGCAAAAAAGCTCTGCTTTTGAACATAACGCGTTCACTGAATCAGATCTAACCAAAAGCAAATCTTAATGATGTTTTGACAAATAGAAATAGTATTATATGTATTTTGTGCTGTTGTTCGATGGGCTTGAATGTCAGATATTATCTGAATGTGGGTGAACTCCGTCTTGCGGAGTAGAAAAACCTGGCGGGATTTTACAAATAAAGTAATAATAAAAAAATTGTTACTTGTTTAAAAAAAAAAATGTTGGCAGCTGACCGGCAAAAAAAAAATAAAAAAATTTCGAATTGTATAACATTTTCTTTCCGAAAATTGTTGTTGAGAATTATGCGCCTTATTCTGATGTTTAAAAAATGTCTTTTGTGATCAGATCACATAAAAGCAATGAGGGCAGCAATAGTCTTGATGAACAGAGAACTCTAGAATCGATGCGCTGTCGGAAAATGAAATAGGGCAAGGCTCGCTGAAAACAGAGTCTCAAAATGATCATTTGAACATCTGGGCATCGATATTCTAACGGAAAATCCTAATGACAACGAAAAGATAACGTAAACCACAAGCGAGTCGCGAATCTGAGCGAGCCGCGAATTTGTATTCCCATACAATTTGGCACTTTTCAACTTGGAATATCTCCACCATACCTCTATTCTAAAAAAATATATTAAAGATCTGAAGTATTATATAGGTAAGTAATATAATATCTTTTTTATATAATAAAGAAACCTATGGGAGTCTTTAATACATAACCAGCTTTATAATACAGTGTAATTTATAATATCTGGACAATTAGCCTAATAAATAGATTAAAATTTAGTACATTATCGTTAAATAGTGTCATATAATTCTAGTTTTAAATAGTATCTTATACGACATAGAAATGGCTGAGATATCCCGAGTTCAAAAGCGCCATTTTGTATGGGAATACAAATTCGCGGCTCGCTCAGATTCGCGACTCGCTTGTGGTTTACGTTATTTAGAATGACGAAAGATTAGATAAGCCGAAACATAGATTGACAACACAACAAATTTACAAAGGATATAGATTCACAGCCGATAGATATCACAATAGATGAAGAGATCCATAAAAGATAGATCAATGAATAGATTGGTTCGTAGAGAGACTAACCAGTTGGTGGGTAGAAATAGAGAGAAAGAGAAGAACGTATAAGAGAAGAAAAGATAACTGTTGTTGATAGATTTGTTTTATCGCGTTTCTATGCGTTAAACACATGCGTGTAAAGGAGTTTCAAATTTTAAGATATGACCTGTCTCTTTTAGTTTGGGCGGGCGAGGGAGTGATAGGGGCACGCACCCTGGGAGACGAGACGACGCACAGAGGACGAATCAGGAGGGGGGAAAGGGAAGTGCAGGTCGGGTGCGGGACGGCCTACATGGTACACAAGATAGAGCAACACTTACAAAAGTCCTGGGACTTGATAGCTATCTTCCTCAATAGCGAAGTCCGACAGATTAGTCCGACGTAGCGTGCTATAAAGCAGCGTCTCGTTATTTACCAGGGACCGGAAGACGGGCGGATAAGGCTCGGGTTTGGCATAGAGGATAATGTCCGTCACGAAGACAGCTGGCTGCGCAGAGGTCCAGCCGTACGACTGCACGAGGTTGGCATTGGGATCGAAATGCTTAGACTCCATAAACTCAGCGTAGGCCTGGATCTGACGCGGTATTTCGTCGCCCGAGTAGGCCGTGAAGCCGCCCCAGATCTGGCGGTATGGATGGGCTTTCATGCGGAAGTGAGTGATGACGCCAAAGTTGTTGGATCCACCCTTGAGCGCCACAAAAAGATCGGCATGCGAGGCCTCGGTGACGACGGTGATCTCGCCATTTGCCAGCACAATCTCATACTCGACCACCTCGTCGCAGCCCCAGCCGACGGCGGGGCTGATCGCAGAGATTCCTCCGCCCGTGAGGAATCCGCCGGCGCCGATGGAGGCGTCTCGTCCGCCCGCGACGGTGATACGCAGAGGGTCCAAGGTCTGGTAAACCTGCAGCCACGAGGCTCCAGATCCGATCCGCACAGTTGATCGGCCTTGACTGACGGTGACTTGGTGGAGAGACCGGAGGTCAACGGTCACTCCATCCTGAATATTGGCGGCTTCGGCGGAGAGCATATGGCCATGACTGCGGATGGCGAACCGTTCGCCCGACTCACGATACGTGCGCGCCATCGTCTTGACGATCGCGGCAACATCTTGAGCATCGGTCGGGCGGACGACGCAGGCCGGTCGCACGTTCTGCTCCTGGAAACTGAAGTACGAGCCGACGGACTCATTGTAGGTGGCCGAAATAGGAGGGAAGACCTTACCCGCGAGCACAGAAGCCAGTTGATCACAGGATGATGCGCGTTGACTGTGCTCGCTAGCCCCCCAGAGACCCAGGGCACCTAGGACATAGAGAACATAGGATGACATAGCAAGATGGACGGAAGTGGGCAGGGAGAAAGAGAAAACTCGGGAATTGGAGTAAAAAAGGAGAGGGGTACCGTCAGGGGGATCAGGACATAAGTGCTTAGAATTCGTGTTTGAATGCCCCAGGGGCGGTGGGCCTGAGGAGTGATATCTAGCGTTTCGGGGCGCAGACGCAAAAGGTCCATGGAACACTGCAAGGATGGTACTTCTGTAATGTTGTTTAATCCTGGTCGGGCGTAAGCCCTAGTGACAGTGACTTCCGCGAGCCCCAGTTCACTACTTGATCAAACAAAGAAAGCCGTACAGGGTCCACACATACATCGGTCCAGTGAAAGATCCTGGACGACGTTGGGGCAGCCACGCTGGCACATCCATAACCCCCCCGGGCTGGTGTACTGATGTCTGCCCGAGGGAATGAGGCTGGGTCTGTTGTTGCGTCAAGCTGGTCCAGGAATAACGCCAAATGCTGTCCGTTTAGCCATATACCGATCTGGGCACACAAGGTACTACCGCCCCTGCGGGCCTGAAGCATCAGAATGGCCAACTTGTCTTTCAGGCGATCTTGCTCAGTATATACAAGCCTTGTCTCCGAGAGATCTGAATGAGGAAATGTTTCCACCACTGCAAGACGGCATGCAGCCCTCCAGCATCAGTTGGTCTGTGTGACATCTCCTCAATATTATGGTCACCGAGACCGGTAACCAGAAGCCGAAACTCATGGTCTTCCGTCGGAACAGCTGTCAGAATTTGATTGGCATCTGATACATGTCAACCTCAGCGTGCCACCATGCTGTCCTGCCACCCATAGCGGTTTACTCGAACGAGCCGCTGCTCCAGTCAGTGACTCAAATCACACCTCAACTTGGATTCGCTCTGCTCGACTCGGTACGTTGCTATTCTAAATGCGCTTTAGTAGGGCACAATTACCCTCCACCTACAATTTGCCACTTTGCTCCCTAGTGGGCCTTTCTCGGCGCATTCAGTCCCCAGCCCGGTTCCCTGCACCACACCATTGTCCAGGATTAGAAAGTGTTAGAGCGTATCTACTTTTTGAAACATATGAACGGGTATTGAACTCTACACGTACCATGAGCGAAGTGCGAAGAAAGGAGGTTGCGAGTTTGGTCGATCCTTGATTAGCACCGCAGCAGATCCTACCAGTAGCGCCTCGTGTGAGGTTGGTCACCACACTGGCCGCGTACCGAGAAACATCTTCGCGCGGATTCCCATCTTCGCCACGAGACCGACGTACAGTACCTGAGGCTGACAAGGATGTATGATTCGGTTCAAATGGTCGCTTGAGTCACTAGCGTTTCATCAGCTTAGGTTTCTTTTCACTCTCTTCTGCCTTTCCTTTTCTCCTGTTTTAGAGCAGAATGAGACGCCATGCCCTCGGCGAGGTGCATGAGCTGGACAACATTGGACCATAAAGGAATCAACGGCCGATCATATTGGTAGTAAGGTCAGTTCGCATCGTTCAGATTCATTACGCTATATATTGCCTATTTCAACTGTAATTCAGTGAACTGGAAGATTGAAATGAATGGTAAAAAAACAGGAGAGCCCGGGGGGGGCACGTTTGATCAAAGCCGCCGTTGTGATGGGTATCGGTTCTATAGGGGCTCCCGGAAGGCATCGTGTTCCTGGCTCAAAGACGTGGGATCATTCAATTCGTAGGCAAAGTTCCATAGATCCGTAATACCTTGTTTGGGCTTTGTATTGTTCCAATCCGCTTCCTTAGAACTCTTCCGCCCTACATGCTGCAGGACGCTCGGGGTGATCGCATATCGAATCTCGTTATTGGCATTAGCAAAGTCTTCCGTGAGCATGTCAACATACCCGGCCTTCTTCTCCTCGTAGAGATGGATGAGATCGGGTACTCGCGATTGCGGGAACACAAAGCCTTGTGAGCAGCATCCAAATCGAGACATCTCATGCACTCCCGGTGAGATGGGGCGCATGGTCACTCTTCCGGCAGCAAAGTAGAGTCCGATAAGCAGCGGGGTGCATACGAAGCTGAGAAGCAAGATCGTATCGTCGGGAAGCATTGGGCGTGTTCTAGGCTGGTAGCGACGCATTCCCAGTAGGGCGCAAATGACGAAGCCGACGGTGACGATGGAGCCGAAGAGGTAGGCCGGCCATTCCTCGGAATTCCAGCCGAGTAGTTGTTCGGTGTAGAAGAGACGCAGGTAGAGCCCTGATCGTGTTAGCCTTCATGTTCCGTGGCCTTGGTAGGTAGGCCTTCGCTAGACTCACACTTAGACGCGCCCTTGTCGAGCGTCATTTGATCTGCCGCATCGACGGCGAGCAGCGTCCGATGGAACCATCCATCCAGAGCTAGAACATCATCTTCCACCATAGCGACGATGGAAGTATTGGCCGCCTGGCATGCCTTAAGCAAATACGTGTAGTCAAACAAGGCCTTTTCTCGAGCGAAGAACTTGGCCGAATCTGTCTCGAGGTCGTGAATGTGGTCGATGTCAACATCCGTTTCGTTGTACAGCAGGACTTGATCGGCCACGTTGTGGAGCCATGGCTCGGAATATGCAGGATGTTCCGATGCATTGGTATGTGCGATGAAAAGAATCAAATGCATGTTTGCGCGCTCGGCCTCGCTCAAACCTTCCAGCATTGAGCCCACTGAGCCCCTGAGGTACTGAGCGCCTTTTCGAGCAATCGAGGCGACGCCCAGACACATGCGAGGGTTTTCTGAAGCCCTCCATTGCGTGTAAGCGGCGCCCAGGTTGGCATCTTCGATGTAGCGATCAGCCTGCTGGAATCGCACCGTCGAATAGGCGGGCAGGTACCCGGTAGAAGGGTCGAAGAAAGCCGATGTTGGGTCACGGAAAGTGTGCCATCGGGTAAGCAGGATAAGGAAAGAGTAGACCAGTGCAAAGGTCAACAGCATGCGACGAGCATATGAATGGGAAGGGACGAGGACAGTCCCCGGGTTGGGCAGGCGCCCTTTAGACCACAACATGGCCAACAAGGTATGGATGAAGTCCACCAAAGAGGGAGATGACTAAACCGGGGAAGACGGATTGAGAAAAAGATGCGATCAAAAGCCCCTTCAACCAGAGCGTAACGAGATTTAGTCAACAAAAGCAGCGCATTTCATCGTCCACGTGCGGCAGAAAATACTGGCACAAAAGTTGGTGACGCAGTTGCAAGCTGTCTGGAGATGGGGTTCGTTCGCTGATTCAAGGCACGTTTGCAAAATGCGGTTCCAAAGAGTTAGTTAAGAAGGGAAAGGCTAGGGAGGGAGAGAGGTGGCCGATTATAACAGTGATCGTCCTGCCCCGTAGAAGGGTCTGTCAAGCACTGCCTATTTCGGGACCGACGCTCCCCACACGACATCATGGTGGGCGGGCCATAGCGTTCAGACCTTGACCTGGATGATTGAGCCCCGATGCTGCGTCTCGTGTCGACGGGGTACCACGTGCAACCAAGCGAATGAGAAGTCCTCCGCCTGGATATTTGTTGGGAGAGCGCCGAGTCAGCGATGCTACCATAACCTCAAGGGCGGATGTAAGCGACAGAGAAGGGAAGAAAAAACAAGACCGCAGGAAGGGCTTACGTACCAAGACGGACAGGTGAGCCCTGGAGTGGACGATCAGGGCCTTATTGGGCGACAGGGCCAGGGTACTGGGGGCCACTTGAGGGGGGCCAAATAAGCTAAAGTGGGCCGAGGAAGTGGATGCTTTCGCCAGTCATCGGTCGAGAACTGGAGATGAAGGACTCCTTGGCGGAACAAGGAGTCTCGATAGATTCGTAGGGCGAGGAGCCAAGAAGGTTGAAAGGGCTACCGAAGTACACACTGCAGGAGAGGCATCGCAGGGGGATAAACGGCCGAATAAATAGGATGGAGTAGAAGAAGGAAGAATGTAGACTTGAAACATGCCGAATCCGCAGCCCCAAAGGCGACGCGCAAGAGCCGGCGTCACGTGGGGAGCCCGTGCCTGGCCGGGCGACGGTGGATTCCTGAGGCATGTTGTGCCTGGCGTGTTTTTTTGTGCACATAACGCCCGGTTATGAAGTCCGTGGCAGGCATAGCCTGGCCTCTTCCCCGGTCAGCACTTAATATGTACTTATATTGTGTTGCCCCCTCCTCAGGTCTGATTGCAATTTACTCATTCCTTGCTTGTTTTGCCGCTCCCTCAACGGCGTGTCCTATTGCTACTGCCGTGGAAGTGCCATCTGTGCATCCTGACGTCGGTGGGTGCGATTAGGGTATCATATTTCTATGCGGATACATCGTTCAAGTATGCTAAACAATCTCTATAACGCCCGAACTCCCTGGTCCCGATCAGCGACACTCCGCAGCAAGGCTTTTGGCGCGAGGCACGTTGATCCCCGAGGTTCTGCCCTGGGCCATCTCGCCTACGATCATCCACGGACTCAGATGACAGGCCTGCTGCCGTGAATCCCACGTCCAAGCCAGACAGAAGCTTGAGCGACCTTGGCAGATCCGGCGGCAGTTGCCGGCCGAGATCACATCGCTGATGCTGATCGTGTGCCCATCCAAGCGTCCCACGTAATCCCAATTTGCATGTCCGGTCACCAGAACGGGCGAATTGAAGGACGGCGCACGATACAGATCCCATAGGTCAATCCACAGAACGGGCTCGGCGAAGCGTTGAAACGTCTCTCCAACGCTGAGCATGTCCGATCCAGCTGCCAATCCGTGGAAGGAGGCAATCGGGGCGCAGAATCGCTCCGCCGAGATTTTCGTGACAGGGGGTTGCTCTCCGTTGAAGAAAATGGAATGCCGTTCGTCGAGGTAGATTCCAATCTTGATCAACACTGTAGCGACAAGCTTGTCGCCCCATTTTTCTTCGAGCGCCTCCATATGCGCGGCCCACACGGCGGCGGGATTGGCGAAGAGGGTGCGCATGGTCGCTTGAGAAAGGATCAGGGATGATCCTCCGTGCGCGAAACGGGCTTTGTAGTCTCCTACCGCGTTTCCGACGTAGTAAGGCACGGTCGGGTCCAAGTGCTCGAGCACACGCTGCACCGATGGCTGCACAAGATAGGTATCGTCGTCCGCCACAACGTACCACTTCTTGTCTGGCATTCGCTGATAGCATAGCTCCAGGCCAGCGATGAACTATCGACGGTTAGTTCCCTGGATGAAACACCACAATCACCAGTCCGGTGGAAAGCGAGAGCAGAAAGCAAAAGTTTACAGTAAGATAACATAACAGGCAGCCATACCTTCAAAGCATCGAGTTCCCATCCGAAAGACCTCGAGAGGTCACGCGCGCTCTCGTCATCTCCGCTGGCGATGGCTGCGGTCAGATTCGAATACTTCAAAAGCCGGGGATGCACCAAATGAGCGGGCAGCGATCCGTTCTGCAGCATTTGGGCGACGACGTCGTGCACCGGAACTGGGTGGCCATGATAGTCATAGGGGCGTCCCGGCGGCGTGGAAAAATCTCCGACGAGCAACAGGTTGTCAAACTCCGCCGCCTCGTGCGCTTGCAGCCACGGCGCGATGCGATCTTTGGTCCCATAGCCGGACTTGATCACCAGGGCGACCTCGTCGCGTAGGCTTACCGGGAAGGCGACATTCTTCTCGGTGAGCCACCAGCGGTTCGGGAATGGCGTGGGTAGAGCGGCGGCAACAGCGTTCAGGTTGAAGCGGACGGACAGCCGCAAGGCATGGTCATAGGGAAGGAGGGAGTACAGCACGAACAGAATGAGTGGGGCTAGGATAAGCATCCGCCAGCGCCGAAGGGGCATACATTGCCGCCCTTTTTTCATGTTTGCATTGTACGAGGACTCTTAAAGGTTCTCGCGCGTGCCGACAAGGGGAAAAAAAGGTTGGCTTTGTTGTGCTTAATAAGGGAGAGAAATGGCTTGGCAGTTCCCCCCACTTGGATCTTCGCTTTCCACCTGAACGGGGGAGTTCACAATAAGGAAAACTTGGTTCCGGGAGGTTAAAGGGGCTCCCGCCAACTATCGGGCTCGAGGTTTCGGTCGGGTTGCCCTCGCCAGGCGGTGCGTTGTACAGCCGCAAGTTACACTTCATTTACAGGATTACCACCCTGCAGCTTGGCGATGGCTTCCGGAGGGAAACCGACACCGGACTACTGAGTAGTCTGTACTGATGTGTAGGTCAGGTCGTAGCCCTACCTATATTGCCAGATCCCTGAGATCCCACGAACGTCGTTTATCATCTTGAATGGGTCGCCCGCCACCTCTACTACAGGTGCAAATTGCAGAGTCAACAATTATCCGGAATCGGAAGCGGCTCCCAGGCGAGTCGGAAGTGGCGCCGGGGATTGACCCTAAGCCATCCCGGGACTAGCGCCGTCGAGGCTGGCCTTGCTTTTCTCTCTCCTCTTTCCCCCTTCCCAGTAGGAAGATACGATCGGAGTAGATCTACTCTGTAGAATATAGATACCGAGTTTCTCCTCTGTGCTTCGTGCCTGGCAAGATGCCAGGGTAATCTTATCTTCCCCAGGGTCATCCAGCTTTCACTCTCGAGCCAGGACTTTCCTCTCAGCTCTAGGCAGACACATTCCCTCAGGAACGCGCACATCTTAAAAAGCAACAAGGCCAGCCAGCACCAACTACTCAGAGTAGACATATTTTTAGGAACACCTCCGACACTCATCGCTTTGCACTCACTATGTGGGCCCGGCCTCTCCAAGCCATGCTGGACATGCCGGGGTGAGCCTTAGATACCAATCGTCCCGCGCCTTGGGCAATCAGCGATGAAATCATCGTGGGTCAACGGGCGTTGCGCCAATCAATCCGGCGGGAGAAATCAAGGTACCTACGTCCGTAGACACCGACTGACACCGAGCAGGAGGCATTTGTTTACATCCTATCCTCCTTCCAGTCCAACAAGCTAATGACCGATTGACTTAGCCCCGTCTCTAGAACCTCGCCCCCTCTCCGGCCGTTTATAAGCACGCCACTTCTCTCTCCCCCGCAGTCTCTCGCGGTTCAACGGTGCTTATCATCTGCTGTCCCGATTCCCCTGCTTCCCCAGACCACATCACGCCACATTCTTCGCAGAGTGAAGAGGGAAGAGTCATGTCCACGACCACTACTACGACGAAACTCCGCCGTAACTCACGCATCCGGCGCGCCTTGAAAGCGCCCGACCGGCCTGTCGCCATCCGGAGGGAATACATCACCGACCGCAAGACTACCCTCGTGCTCAGACCCGTGGGCGACTCCAGTTCCGAGATCTCCTACAGCATCGCCGACCTCGACGGGATCCCCCAGTTCACCGTCACCGGTCGCAAGTTCAGCAATCGGCCCTGCCGAGAGTTCCGCGACGCCTCCGGACTTCCGCTCTTCGAGCTCCATCGCAAGATTTCCTTTCGGCAGGCGTGGAACGTCTGCCTGCCCGGGAGCAAGAAGGCAACCATTGCCAGCGCCGTGCCCCGGAGGTCCTTTTCGGCCACCCAGTTCGGAAACTTTGATCTCGCGTTCGAGAACTTCGCCGCCTTCGAGTGCAAGGGCGCTGAGGATAAGAAGGTCAACTTGGAGATCGAGAAGCACGGGAATGTCTTGAAGACCTTTGACGTCGTGGACGGGGATCGCAAGATTGCTGAGATCCGAGAGAGTATTCCGCACAATCGGACCCTGGCTTTAATGCCGGAGTCGAGAAGAGGCTGGCGACCCATCATGGATATTGATATCATGCCAGAGGTAGACATTTCACTGGTGAGTAGCTCGTCCGTCCCTGCGAGTCCAAATGTCCTAACGTTGTCCCATCACAGGCGACGGTCATTGCGGTCATTGCGTCGGACTATTGTTTTAGCGCCAACTACTGTTAGCCTGACTGAGGAACGAAGATTGGGCCTACTTCAGGGTGGCCTGTTAATGAAACATGATGATATGATGCCTAATGACCGGCTGCCATTTTGACCTCCTAGATCGGAGGCTTCGCATATATCCAATGAATCACCGTCTTTTCGACCTTATGCTTTACTCTACCTAATACGAGGGCCGCAGTTAGTAGTAGTCATGTTAAGCGGGCTAGTGTCGGGCTACAATCGAGGCTGTACTTTCAAGAACCGGCCAGTCAGGTCACCCGGAGCTAGACGTGGAAGTTGGGATAGAATGCCATCGAAAATATCTACAAGATTGACCTAGGACTGAAGGGTAGCTCGATACAAAACATTAGGAACGCCTTTATCCAATCAATAAATTCACTTTTTCCCGCGGTTGAACGTCTTCAGCGGGTCCACCCTCTTCTTCACGCCGGCGTAATTCCGGCCCTTGTTGCCTTTGCCCTTGCCCCGATTTTTCTCCCTGGCGTTGCGGATCCGGTTGTCGCTGGTTTTCTTGAACGACACGTAGCCCACGTTCTCACTCGAAATTCCCTTTCGACCCTTGGAAGGCATCAGGTAATCAGGGATATGCTTCAAGTGTGGCTGCACGCGAGCGGAGCGCACTTCGTCGTCGTGGCGCAGCTGGCGCAGCTCTTCGGGGTTCTCCTCAAAATGGCGCTTCAGCTTCTCGCTCTTGATCAGCTCCTGGCGGATCTCCCGCGCACGAGCTTCCTGCACCGCGAGACGGGTGATGGCGCGCAGTGCGTCGGTCATACGGTATCTAAATGCATCCACCTGGGACATTTCGAAGTGGTACGGTTTTACCTCGTGCCCGAGTTTGGCCTGCCGCTTCACAATCTTAGCTAGAACGGTCTCGTCGTGCTTTGCGGACGAAATGCTCGTGGGCTTGTGTTTGCCGTACTGATCCGAGGGAACCACGAACGACAGGGCCATGCCCGCTTTGCCGGCTCTTCCGGTACGGCCAATGCGGTGGGTGTATGATTTGGAAGTGGTGGGAAGATCGAAGTTCAGCACACATGCGACGTTTTGAAAATCAATTCCTCGGGAGATGCCGTAGTCCTTCTCTTTGCCGGTCAACTTCTTGCGCTTGTCAGAACGGGACTTGGTAGTCTCCTCTTCGTCCTCGTCACTGGAGCCCGCCGCCTCGTCCCCTTCCTTGGCTTTCTTTGAAGACTTTCGGACTCCCATGACCTCCTGCTCGTCGGCGGCGATGATAATGTCGTAAACACCCTTGTTGAATTCTTGAACGACGTGTATCCGAGAGTTGATGGGTAGCTCTGAGTTGAGCACGCAACTCTTCAGGCCGAACTGCTCGAGGAAGAGTTTGAGACGATAGCAACGGTCCACATCTCCAACAAACATGATCACCTTGCCCTTGATCAACTGCAACTTGAAGATGACGTATGTAAGAAGGAACTTTTCGTCTTCCGCACATCTAACACGGAAGATTAGCCATCAGTCACAAGACCCCCAGTCCACTTAAGATTCCGGGTGATTCACTCACTTAACGACAAATTGGCTAACACCGGCACCTTGATCGTCCTTGTCCTCCAGCTTCAGGACCACGGGGCTTCGACAGAACAAGCCCTTTAGAGTGTCCACCTCCGAGGTCAGCGTAGCACTCATCAGGAATGTCTGCACCCCGCGAGGGACCGCTTTGGCCAGACTGTTAATATCCTCATCGTATCCGTACGAAAGTACCAGGTCTGCCTCATCTATCACAAGGTGTGTCAGGCTTTCGAGGGAGAGCGCGGAGTTGCCGAGGTTGGCGATAATGCGAGACGGCGTCGAGACCACCAGATCCGGGTAGTCGGCCAGCATCGTACGTTGGACCGCATCCGACACCTTTTGCGTCAGATTTACGGACCGAACATCTCTTCCGCAGAACGCAGCGAACGAGGCAATGACTTTCTGGACTTGGTCCGCCAGCTCTCGTGTAGGGACGAGGATGAGACCGGTGGTGGCTTTGAGAGACGGATCGGCCTAGCAAGTAAACATGAGTTATCCAACCGCAACAATAGATGTGAACATGGACGCGACAGAGAAGCACGAACCGTCTTTTTCTGAAGAATGGTCTGCAGGATCGGAAGCACGTAGGCCGCAGTCTTACCGGAGCCCGTCTTTGCGCGAGCTGTTTTCGTTAGCTTTACCGGTTCCCGGTCACGACGTCCAGGTAGTCTGTCACATACCCAGAATATCCTTCCCTTCGAGAGCCAGAGGGATTGCCTTGGCCTGAACCAGCGTCGGTTTGGTGAATTTCTCTTTGATCAGGGCTTGGCGCAGTCGGGGATCCAGATTGAGACTTTCAAAGTCGGCGTCGGGCAAATCCTTGGTTTTCTTCTCCTCGACCGCTTCCGGGGAGGGAACATCGTTGGCATCAAGCTTCCGCTTCATGATTGATGGTCGAAAGGGAATGGGGAGGAGTGCGTGGGTGATTTAGAGGAGCTGGAGAGTTTGACGCCGCTAGAAAGTTTTCCTCCGGGTCTGAAAATCTGTCGGGCGGTGAAGACTTTCCGCGGCAGTATTTGGGGCGGCTCCACCGAGCGGTTCTTATCGGCTTATCTACGGGGGCGGCTGCCTGAGGAATCAGGAACATAACTACGGTATCCCCATGTAGGGAAGGTAGTTATAAACAAGCGGAGATTGTTCCTAAGACTCATTCATCGTATAGAATAATGAAAACGCATGTTGGCAAACAAGAGCTCAAGCGACCAAGCGCAAAAAAGGAACAAGAGCGCAAGTAACCAATAGTAACATAGGTAGAACGCTGCAGACAGATATCCGGGGGTCGTTTATAAATATATGTATGCATCAGAAGACCAAGACAACTAACCGGTTTGCCTTGAGAAACGTATGGTGGGTTAACGAAACGTCAGGAAGGCTCAAGTGCCAGAAATCCAAGACAAAGATCATAAACGAAGTGAGAATCAAACACAATATCGTTGGACCAGAAAGCACACGACGGTCTGTCGGAAACTGTAGGCCAATTTCACATCATGACATGGCATTGAATTCGCGTGTCGCATAGTTCTGGAAGCGCGGCATTGATCGCTCGGTGATTTTACCAACTGGTAACACTTTCACATTGTGTTCGACCGTATAAATCTTTCCAAAATTCAACCGGGACATATGATCCAGTTTCTGATCGGGCGAAGCCGGGTGGACCTCCAACGGATCCTTCGTCATATGAGGCTCGCCGGGCCCAAGCTGGGGCTCGGTGCCTTGCATATGAATAATGGCATGCTTGGATGGGTCCACTCCTGTTTTCGCGACACCCTTGCGACTGTATGTGCTCACGGGGCTATGGTAAAGATGATTAGCATACCACGACGCCGATATACCGATACCCGACAAAAATATCTGAGCGACTCACAAGCACCAAGCGCACTGATCCAATGCCTTCACGACTACCATGCGCCGGATCCCGCTGTGAACCGGCTCGTTGAATCGGCCTATATACACGGGGCCTTCGCTTATATAGCTTTGCGTACCTCGGCCGCTCGAGCCCTCATTTTCGTGCCAAAGAATCGCAAAAACCTAGGCAGACAGTGAGCCAGGTATTACAGTACAAACAGACAGTGGTTTGCAATAGAGACACCTACCCGTCCGACCCTAAAGAAACTCTTGGGGTTCTTTTGCACCGTGTAGCCTAGACACTGTCAGGGTAACTTTGTTCTAAACCAAGACCGAGGCAGCGAGCACGTACGCGGATCCAGTGTAGTGTTATGGGTACTGCTGGTTCCCGAGATCACATTCTGGGACAGATTGCTCCCCGGGGATATGGGTTGAACGGACTGGATCAAGCCATTTCATTAGAGGTATCTTTGACCGTGGGATGACCCGAGCGACCTACATGAGAGATTCCCGCAGCATGACCGTGAAGGCCGGGGGTAGAGGTGATCGGCCATTGGGCCCCGGTTGGACTTGTCGTCAAGCTCCCCATGCAATCCGTGATATCATCGCTCCCCGGTGGCCGCGAGAAAGGAGGAGAATGATATCCATGACCAGTCCCCGGGGCGGTATTGGAAACCGGCTGCTGTGCGTATGAGTTTGGAAGTTCGCCGGGATAGCCAGACTGACCGGGGCCAGTAAGCTGATTGGACCTGAGAGTATAGTTCCCCTGGTCATGGCTCCTGTAAGATTGATATACGAATCAGTGCGAGGCCTTTCTGGGTAAAGCTTGGATAGCAATCTTGCGCATCTTTTTGACATACAAGGAAGCGGATCGGGGCGGCGACTGATGTAGAGAAGACGGCGTTAGATTGCGCGGCTGGTTGGAGTAAGGGGAGACGTTGTGCTGATAGATAGCCCTGGACCGGTCTCCGTAGGCCGTCGAACTACCTCCGTACGACGATCCTGGCGCTGTATGCGACCGAGGGACTAGGCTTGGAGGAGGTAAGCAAATAAGAGGGCCGCAACGAAGGGATTCTGTGTCCTACCTGGTCGGATCTGTTGCGCCAGATGCCACGAAGCTTGCATCGTTGCCCGTTCTGCGCGGGTCACCTTGTTGGGTTCCTAGAGTCGTCAGTGCCTCTCGTTAGGTAGCTGTCGGGATGGGATTCCCTTACCGGACATGCGACGGGTCACCCGCTGGCTATTGACGTTGTAGTTGGCGCTCATGATGGCGGCATTTCCTCTGCCTCATCCAGCGTTGTTGGGTCGTCGCATGGTCGGGGTCTGTCCCGTTGAACTGGGAGGAGGGATTCTTAAAGCCGGACCGACGTGGACGAGCGAGTCCGCCATCTCTTGCCTGCGCTTTGGAGGGGGGAGAGGATGAGGCTCTTCTGCTCTTATCCACCTCGTCATTTCCCTCGTTGGTTTGTGTTGTCGAACGCTGACTCGCAGATGGTCCACGCAGCTGACGCTCGGCCCAACCGCCATCCGGGTACGAGGGTCGGCTCGACGATGGCTTGATTGCTGATCCCTGTCGGATTTGCCCCTCTCGAACGAGCATCGCACGAAGAAAGGGGGGTGGAGGAGTGGCCAGTCAGACGGTCACTTTCTCGTTTTCTGGCTTCCCCGACCATCCATCACGCTCTCCACCCTGTCGAATTGGTTGGTCCAACAAGTCCGGCGTTTAGATTAGTCCAAGGCAGGCTTTCCCCGACCGGATCAGCAGGAATGGATCTTGAACCGACTGTTACTCCGACAGTCCATCTGTCCATGTGAAATGAGGACAAGGAGAGACGTTACACAGAAAGGTGATTCTCCAGCCTGAGCCCAAAGTACTGTACCTATCAGACCCGTCCATGCGACGTGTCAAGCCCCGAAGGATGGAGAGAGGAAGAAAGAAAGAAAGAAAGGAAGAAAGATTAAGCCCTCTGTCTCCCACGCTGTCGAGTTCCTCAAAGGTCTAATTTGGTTTATCAATGAATTAAGAACGGAAGATAACTGCCGATGTCCAGTGCGACTAACAGACGTCTCCAGCCTGTCATCCACCCTTTCTTTTTCTTTTTCTTTCTCTTTTCCCCATTTCCTCTCCCTCGTCTTCTCAGGACTGATCTCGTCAGCGCACCTCAGCAACGTTGGCATACGCCAGAGTAACTCCGCGCGTTGGGCTGCTCGACCGTGGCTTCCCCCCGCGATGGGCATCGCGTGGAAAGATGCTGAGGTTTGGGGAAATGGCTTTCAAGGCCCTGGATCCGAGGAACTGGACCAGGTCCTCTCCACAACAACGGGTAATTTTATTGTTATTGTTTGTTGATACCATATGCCTCATGCTTACCCCTTTCCCCCGTCCGCGTCGCCCATTCCCCGGGGAATTGATCCCTTCTGATGCTTACATTTCTCCCACGACGATGTGTCAGGGGAAGACAGCCGATGAATTGATTGATCCGCCTGACATGGAGAAACTGGACAATGGCAGCGCGACGACGTCGCCGTACCTTCCACTGCCGTCCCCCGACATTCTCGCCGACCTAGACCTGGGCCTGGGAATGTGCGGGATAGCGTCCAGTCCTCCAACCACCATAAGAGGTTCGTCGTCCGGTGTCCAGGCGACCGAGGTCCAGGAAGCTGTTGCGCATCCCAGTCTCAACCGGTCGAATCAATTGCCGTCGTCGGATGCGTGCCATCCTGGTCACAGTAAGGATGTCAGTGCCGACCCCCCATCCCCAGAGCATTCTAAGCGTCCGCAGACTCGGATTGATGACATTCTCTCCTCTTTCCTGGGCGATTCAAGCGAAGCCTTAGATTCGGCGCGCCTTGTCAAATTGGTTCTTGCCAACCAACATCTGATTGAAGAGCAACAGACCGTCTCGGCGAAGCGGTCGCAAGTACGCGAGCTCCGACAAGCCCTGAAATACAAACGGGAGGAGGAATCAATTCTACGGACGGCCTTGATGAAGAAACTCAACGCTCTGTTTGCCCAGCAGGACCTTTCTAAGTCTCTGGTCCAAGATTACGAAGTCTTGCAGCTGACCACCGAGGCGTACGTACAGCTGGAATACAGTTACCACGACGCTGAAGACGAGCTGGAGCAACAAGAATACAGGCTTGGCAAGTCCATGAAAAGGTTCGCTAGCCTATCATACAAGAGCCCAATGCGCACCTCCCTGGACTCTATCAAACATACCTTGGAAGATGCTTCTCCCGACGACAGTGATGGCGCTTCCTCTATGGCCACTACCGCCCAGAACCACCCTCAGAGTATGGTCGATTATCTCTCGCGTATGGGGGATGTTCGTCTACTTCACGAACATCTCATGGATCTGGACTCTCAATGGCTCGCCATCATGGATAAACATAAACAGCGGAGCCCCCTTCATCTGCCTCTTGATGACGAATCTTTGGAATTTCTCCGCACCTACGACGAAGAAAGGAGGAAGATGTGGTACGAGCTCAGTCATGCACAGTTGGACGTCAATCAACTTCGCTCCATCTGCGAGGAAAATGGTCTGTTAACCGACGATCGCACGGAAAGCTTGGGGTTCCTGTACCCCTTAGACTCCGAAAGTTCCGCCAGGCTAAGCGATGATCCTCTCAAGCTCTCCGTCGATGAAGGCTCCTCTTTCTTCTTCGAACCTCAGACAGCGGCCCAGCTCCATCCTACCATGTTTATCAACAAGTGGCTTCTACACCAACTCCGCAGCTCATCCGTTGAAATTCACCGGCTGAAATCGCGTCCCGAACTCCAACCCCTATGGGACCGAGGCTTCGACGACACCAGCATCAGTCGCTGGGCTCTTAGGGAGTGGTTCAGTGACGATGCGGGCCTCTCCTCACGACCTCCCAGTACTCTCCCACTGAATGAAGAACAAATCCCGACCACCGAGTCCGTCTTATCCCCAGAGAAGAAAAGCAAACCGGTATTTTCAAAAAGCCGCTCCGTACCGCTTCTTCGCAAAGTCTCAGTCGCTCACAAGCTTCGACATTCGTATTCCACGTCGTTTCGCAATCGCTGATAAAACCTAGTATTTCACGGCGTCTTAGGTTCGAACGAGCGCAGCATTCCATTGCATTGCATTGTTGCATCAGGTCTTTTCTGGGTTGTCGCTTTTTTTCCTCTAAAGTTAACTGTTTTGGACTCACGTATTCTTTTCTGCACTATACCTAGACTGGCTTGGCGCATTATTGTTAGCTTCTTCTCATTGATCCTGTTGCAACTTTGATATGTTAAATCCCTGGGAACGAAGAGCAAGACTGCCTATCCATACTCCGGAACACATGGCTTTGGGGTGTGGTTACTAAATTGCTGTAAGCATATCCTTAAACCCATGCTTCTCCTCATAGTCTAAGCCTCAGTATCGCACGTTCCACTCTAAATTGTTAGAGAATTGAAGAACCGATGTCGGAAAGATCCTATCATTGTCGTTAAGCTATGAAGTCCTAATACATGAGGGTGGATAACATCATGGCACTAAGAAAGAAGAAAGAAAGAAAACCAAGGCCAATTCGTTCATTGCATCCCATTATCCATCCCGGGTCGTAAGTCAGTGTCCGTTATCATACTCCGTTGAGCAATTTAATGTTCCATCCTATCCCAGCCGTTCCGTTTGTAGTTTCCGTGTATTATTTACATTCTCGAAGTGGCCTTCTAGGCGTATTGTTGCATTCTCTGTCGGTTTAGGAATACCGAGTCTCGTCGCCGTCGCTGTCACTAAGACTGTCTCGGCGACGACCGCGACCGCCGTTTCGACGATAGCCCTTGCTCAGTCCGGGAATCGGGTGATGGTAGCTTTTCGTGCCAGAATCTTCCGTCTCGACGTTCGAATACTGGTATTCCGAGCGGGACGGCGCCGACGAGAAGTCCAGCGGCTCGGTGTAGTGGCCCGGCATCGATCGTCGCTCGCGTTTACGCGGGCTGCTCTGGCGCGACGACGAGGTTGGAGGAGGCTGGTGCCGGCGGTCCCGACGACGGTTGTGGCGGCGCGTGGACGGGTCGCGGAGTCGACGGTCTTCGGTGGGCGGCTGGGAGAGCGCTTCCTCGGTGCCCGGGGTGAACGAGAAGTCCCGACGGCTGGGTTTCTGGCGGCTCGGCTCGTAGGCGTAGTCGCGCACTTGACTCATCTCGCTCTGCTGGTAGTGGCTGGGCGGGTTGGACAGGTCGTAGTCACTGCCATGGTAGGTGCCTTCGGCGTCGCGGTTGATGCCGCCCACTCGCGCGGGCTTTTCCTTTCGGTACGCCAGCACGTCCTCGTCCGCTTCGCCCTCCCAGTTCTCATCTTTGTGCCGCCGTAGGAGCTTCTGCTTGGCGGTCTCACGGAACCTGCGCTTCTTCTTGGGCTGGTCCTTCTCGGTAATCGTGGTTGCCGTGTCGGTGTATCCCATCCCGCTTTCAGTAGCGGTGTATCCATCGTCACTGTAGCCTTTGCCAACGATACTGCCGCCTCCTAGCTTGGTACTCTTGGTTGCATTACTGAGGGTTTGTCCGTCGGGTCCTTTGCGTCGTAGCACGGTGGACTTGTACTCCTCCCAGTCGCCCTGCCGCCATTGGAAACCCCCATTTTTGGCCCAGAAAAAGAACCAGATGCCGGCAATGACAAACGCGGCTCCCAGAATGGCAAACAGAGCGAACAGTCCTTGCATATTGATGTGGTTGGGGTCGACGGTGCCTTGGCCGGGAGCATAGTGGTCGTTCGAATCGTCTCGGGCGGCGAAGGTGTGTAGATGCTCTGATCCTGAGGCGGCGACGGGCTGGATATTGCCCACGACATCATTGTCATCGAGAACGGGTCTCTCAGGAATGTCGGGGAAATTCCCGACTCGCTTGATGGCGGGCATCGTTGGAGAATCGTCGTTCTAGAGCTGTCAAGAGCATGCAGCTCGAGACGAAACTCTGAGCAGAGATTAGTGATTGAATGCGGGGATTGACATTCCATGTCGTGACAGAATGTGGGATGGGTGACTTACCTCTTCAAGTAGCTGGCAGCAATGCGAATCTTGGTATGTGTGATCCACTCGACCGGACTATAGAGATGGTCGATAAGCGGACGGGGCAGGAGGTCTAAATTGTGAACTGTGAGTTGCAATGTCGGTCAATCCTGAATAACGTCAAGTCCAGACTGAGGCAAACCGCAAAGAAGTTGGAAATTGAGTCGAGCAGGACCAGGTTGCCGCCCGAAAATGTGGTGGTTGGAGGAAATGGAGAGGCTGGGGATGGGATGACGCCGTTGTTTGGGCGGCCTGCGTTGCCAGGCAACTCGCTGAGTCAGCGCTATCTTATCGGCCGTCATGCTCAGGCTGCATGTTTCTGCCTCGATCGCCTCGGATATTGAAAATTATGCAGATCGGATTAAAGATAGCATTGAAGACATTTTATGGAGAGTAGTCCGTAACTTGGTCGAATACAGCGGTGGTTGTGGTGTGCACTACAAGTCTTGTAGCTTGGGCTCTGAACTATAAGCTCTCGTCATGATTCACCTATATCTTCCCGGATTGGATTCCCTACGCTTTTTCGCAACGACTCTCACACAATTAGCATTCAAGGACGACCATGATAACCCAGAAAAGTGCTAAATAATCTTCCCAGTCAAACCAAGTCCCTTGGTATCAGTAATTACAGGATCCCTTAGAATTTGCACTCTCCGGATGCCAGAGCGGATGCCAGTACTGATTGAATAGAAGTCGGTGCGCAATCGCATTCAATACCAATCAATCAGGACTCGGTTACGATTCTAAAGCAATCCCTTTACAGCGGTCTTAGAAGCTAGACTATGTTCAGAGTGTGGACACATTTTCACCTCCAGCTGCAGTAATCTTCGCTCCGGCAGTCTCCGCGGCCGTTATAGATTGGGCAGGAAAGCGAACACGACGATGACTCGCCATCCGCTGACGCGAATCGATCCCAGAAACAGCGGCATCTGGACAAAAGTTTGTTTGGATCCAGACACCAAAAGAATTGAGTGGCTAGCGGCTCAATCTTCAGGACCTCTCTCCTCATGTCACACGCTGACTAGTACGACAGAACAGCACTAGATATCAGTTCCAATCAAAGGCTGTGACTGGTTTCATGTGACAGGATGAGATAGACACAAGATAAGGCACATGTCTTTCATGGCTGAGGGGCAATGGGCGGGGGGAAAGCCTGACACAAAGCATCGCGAACTGCGTTGTCCATTTCCCCGGGACAAAACCCGTCTTGCTCCGTGGACCGGGGGTCCTGGTAGGAAATCAGGCGTCCACGACTAGCCGACACCGGGCAGCGCAGGACGGCAAAATGCAAAAGACCAAAAGAGTCAAGTATGACGAGTCTAAGTGGTCAAGGTGATTCGGCGTGGCTCCAGGCTTTCCCGTGTCTATAGCGACATCGATGTAGATTCATCGTTTGATATATTCTTGGCCAAACAGGGAACATGGCCACCGATTGACATATCGGTGACCTCAATTTATCCGGCAGTTTGCTGCAACGGCGACAGTCAGCGTTAGGGCTTATGAGGTCATCGGAGCCGGTGTGACTGGTTGGGTGGTGCGTAACTGCATGGACGTGATTCTGATCTGCACGGAGCAGGAGACTTAGCTTGATCCCCTTGTATCAAAGTGGGGACAGTCCGGACGCAACGGACTGCATGGCGAAATGCATAGTTTACTCCGGAGTACAGCGACAGTCTTCTAGCATTCAGCACCAGGAGTGCGACAAGTTGGGGTTGCCAATGACTGGAATTCCTGGACAGGAAAACGCTGTCAGACCCGGAGACCGAGACATCCAACTTAGGTATGAATGCAAAGCCACCAAGACCAAGAGAAGGCACGCTAAAAATAGGGAGGTTGGTTTCAATTGCGAGCAAACTTAAATGCAAGTCTAAAGGATCAATGCATGTTTCGGCCTAACGGTTGGCCTTGGGACTCGACGAGAGAGGACGGATTCTAGTCTTCTACGGTATCCATCGATCTTTCGACCCATGCCGCCGGATAGATGGAGACCTGGTAGATGATAGATATACTCCGCTCCAGCTGAGAATGCCGTGCAGGTCGGCTGAATTGCAAGAAATTACAGGCCGTTAGCGGCACCAGCCTCCTTCACGCAGGCCTGGATGGCGCGAGCCATTGTTATTAGGATTGAGATCACAGGGGATCCTACTCCGTACGGAGTACTGCCAGGGCATTAACCATCCCATCATATGACTCATTTCCCGAATGGCGATAGACTGCTCGATTCCCCCGGTTTCCATCGTGGTCCATGACCCTGCTCGTCAGTGCCCGACGGCATCAATAACGAGAGACACGGAGCAGATGAAGGGCCGCCCTTCCTCCACAATCCACAATACGAATGCCGTCCCTCGTCACGAAGACGAGCATCCCCTGGCAGCGCGGCTCGGATGGATGAATCACGACGCATCCCCAGCAGATGTCCGGCATAGCCGACTTGCGCATCCCGGCCAGAGGGACGAGGATGCAATCTAATCAGCCATGGGGGGAAGGCTGGTCGGGTGTGAATTTTCTAGCGTGCTTCGATTGGATTTTCTACGCCGTTCATTCACCGGCGCTCCACAGGCGGCGTCCCAGAGGATCCGGTCTGTCGCGATAGCATCAGGAAGCTAGACCGGGAGGGTAAGTGGGGTGTCAAGTTTATTCAATTTTAGGAAAATTGTTATAATCTGTTTAGAAAATTTGTTCCCCGAGGAACAATTCGGGTTGACACTGGACCAAGACAAGGTGAGGTGAGGTTCGTGGTGATAAGAGTTGGTGCGACTACGGAGAGCCCACCTGGTGGTAGTTAAATAGTAGAAGTTGATATCTGCCGACTTCTCCGTCCTGTACCTAGATCTTTAGCATTTCACCCGACAAACAGGGAAGATGATCGATTAAAAAATGCGAGAAAAAAAAATCAAATTAAAAAAAAAAAAAAAAAAAAAAAAAAAAAAAAAAAAACAAAACTGCCCCTCCAGTTGCGAGATTTTTCTCTGCAGGGCCGAGTGGAGGCCGTGATTGGGCCGCAACGGCAGCCAGAAGAGCATCCCTTGCGCACGTTTGGGCCGCCACTTTTCCCCCCTTTCGTCCCTCTTCGGTGGAGGACGATCCTGATCTCTGTTTGAGGTCCCTCGTTTGTATACCACAGAGTGCGGTGGAAAGAGGCCCCAGTTGGGTAGAAGAAGTCATCTAAGATGAAGACCTTTAGGGTTATCTTAATAGAGATGCGGGTGGAGTCGCCGTTCCACGGTTGAGCCCGTTCCCAACCGGAGTTGGCATCACGAAGTATATCAGATGTCGACGTTCAGAAGAAAACTGGGATGATCAGGGGAGAAAGAGGAGGAACGGAAAGAAGGCGAGAGAAAGAAAGAGTGAGGGATCTCGGGGGAAATCCAGCGTTATCACAGGAAATAAATTGCCAAAGATAAAAATCGAAAGCCGCGACGAGAGAATTTAGCGGGCGATCAGGCATCGGCTTCCAGAGATTCATCCAGGGAGGGGCTTGGAAGTAGTATTGATTGAGTTCTCCTTCCGGTTTTGACGGTTTAATTCCGATGGATTCTCTCCGGTAAAAAGAATAAAAGAGAGAGCAGAGAGAGAGAGAAAAGGAAAAAGACAAAAGTGCTCCTCCGTCCCTTTTTCTTGCCCCTCGGAAGTTGATCTCTTCTCCTCCTCCTTCTTCCTCCTTTTTCTCTCTTCTCTCTTCTTCCATCGCATCTCTGATCTGACATTTATCTACCATTCGTTCCTTTTTTTTTTCCTTTCGCCCTTTCCTAGATATCCTTTCTCCCTCCCCCCCACAGCCAACCCCACCTTCGCCGGTGCCCTTCGTCAGGCGCAAAGGGGATCGATCGTTCACCAACCATCGTCGGTTACACGCCTGGCGAACTTGCAGGTTTCTTAGTCTCTGCCCGCCTAAAAAACCCTCCAGTCATCGACTGCCAGACAGGCAAATTGCTGCAGCTCACACGCCGCTTCTCCTGTCTCTCATTCCTTTCGTCTCTCCTCTCTCCCTCTCCCTTCTCTCTTGTCTCTCTTGTCTTCTTTCGCCTTGCCCACCTCTCCTCCCCCACCCCTTCTGGGGTCTGATTTGATTTGATTTGGATTTACTCGATTTATCTTTTTTATTTCCCGCGACTCCGCCGACCCACGCGCGCTGGCCTAAACCACTCCCTGCCCTCCACTCTCCAGTCTCCAGTCTCAACCCACCGTGGCCACCACTGTTTTCGATGGAGACATTGCAGACCGTAGACGACGACTGCCACTTTGCATCCATCGTCCGTCGCTGACATACAGCGATCTAGACGCGCCGTCATCGAACTATCGCCCACTGGATCTGCACTCCGTCCGGGTTTTGGTCTCTGAGATTCTGAGTCGACCGTGGAGAGTGGGCCGAACAGCGACGGGGGGGGACGAGGGCGAACGAACCGTTCCGACAACACAATAAGAGATTTCACTCTTTTTATTTCTAAAACTGAACGGAAAACAACAGAAAAGACAAGAAGCGAAAAAGCAAAAACAGAAAAAGAAAACGAATAAAGAAAAAAAAAAAGAAAAACCCGCAGATTGTTTGACTCATCGGATGAGCAGCAGCAGTGGCTGCTGTAGTCCGGCAAGCATCGAAGCCTGTTGGACCACCACGTTTCACGTCATCCACCTTTTTTTTTTTTTTTCCTCTTTTCCCCCTCCCCCTTTGGCCTTTCCCCTCTTAGGGACCCAACCTGGGCCTTGGCCGCCCTTCAGATATCATGTCCGGCAAAGTCCCTCATGCCGCCTTTTGCGAGGAGTACGACGAAGACGCCCATGTCATTCTTCCCGGTTCTCGTCAAGTCGCCAACCTCGCCGCCAAACGCTCCAAATCCGACTTGAGATCGTCATCGGAGCCCCTGGTCGACGTTGCCAGTGATTCCGGTTATTCCAGTCGTACCGCCGCTACCGTCAACAGCACCCAATCTGGCCCGTCGGGCCGGAAAAGTCCTGTGCCTCTTAAGGTCGACACCTCGCTCAAGAGATCCGATCTCGATCGTGTTCGCTCCCATCGCAAAGAACGTCCCAGGGAACGAGTCGCTCGCCCGGCGCGGGAGGAGAAGATGCAGGTTGGTGCCTATCCGCCCGGCGTCAGCCATCATCCCCCGCCGCCTCCCATGCAGCGGTCTCCCTCGCGGTCTCGCAGCAGACGCGAGAGCGCTCATCTAAGGCACTATCCGGGGACCTGCTGGGAGTGTGATCAAGGCTTGTATCACGCCTCGACTCCCGCCGAACCGCGATCCGCCATGGACTATCCCGCCTACTACATGTCCCAGCCCTCGACCCCTTCCGTGCACGACTTCCCTCCGCCCTCGCCGCAGACGCCGCGGTACCCGCCCTCGGTCGGCTCTGACGTCCACGTCGCCTCCCACAGCAGCAGTCGATCGCACGGCCGCAGCGGTCGGTCGGACACCTACCATGCCACCAGTCGACCCATGAGTTTCCACGGCATGATGCCCGGCATGATGTATAACTCGGGCCACCTGGGGCGCCCGGACCACGGCCCGCCCTTGTCCTCGTCGGCCTACGCCAACGCTCCGCCGTATGCCTCCTCGTACTACTCGCAGCAGTCGCCCTACTTCCCCGTGCCGGATTACGCCCCGTCCGAGCACCATCACCAGGAACGGTCGCTGTCCCGCACGCGGGAGCACGCTCGCGGCCGCCGGTCGTCCACGTACGGAACCCCCGTGGTGGACTACGACCATGCCTCGGCCTACGACGAGGACGAACCCGTCGAGCACGTCCCCAGCCGCGAGTCCCGACCGCGCCTCCCCTCCCATTCGTCCCACGAGCGCGACGAGGATTACTACCGCATGCCGCCGCCACCACTCAAGCACAAGGCCACGCCCCATATCATCCAGAAGCGCCCGGATCTGCCGCGCAAATCGGCCACCACGACCGCCATCACCGCGGAGCGTCGCCCGTCACGGTCGATGGATATGTCGGAGATCCGAGATGCCTTGCCTGAATACGGCTACCGGCGCTCGTCGCGGGAGACGGTGATGCCCGAGCGCAGCCGCGGCATTCGGGACGCTCGCCGCTCCACCTCCTACCATGACAGCGCGCGTCCGGCCCGGATTGCCGTGGAGAACTCGCGCCGCCGCCGACCCACGGTCTACTACAACGATGAGGGCGGCGACGACGTCGAGGAGAAGCAGCGCGAGGCCGAGGAATACCAGGCCTCGCGGTCTGGCAAGTCGGGCCCGATGCCGCTGACGGCCGACCTGCTGCGGGCCAAGGCGTCCTCGCAGCGCGCCGAGAGCGACAGCGGCAGCCAGAAAAGCCGCTCCAACAGCAGCCGGGGCAGCGACGCCCGCACGCAGAACGGCAGCGGCGTGGGCACCAACAAGCCCGAGGATGACAACAATATCGTCATGACTATGAACGGCGTCACGATGAGCTTCACGCAGGAGTCGGTGGGTGGGAAGAGGATCAGCGTTCGGACCGGGGACACGGGTGCCGTCGAACTGAACATCGAAGGGAAGCGACCGCAAAAGTATCTGACTGGTGGATCGGACTATACCGGCAGCGTCGCCCGCCGAGAACTCGAGAGTTCTCGACGCGCTCGCACGGATCGCCGATCGGATCAGGTCAGTCGACGTTCCAGTCGGTCCACCTACAGCGGTCGGACATACTAGTCCCGGTTTCGCTTCCCATCGACGGTTTTTTAGTAGACGGCTGGCCCTTACCCTCGTCTAGTCGCTGTTGCTTGTTTCCTCTATAATATTCCCCGTCACCGCGCGTTGACCCGTGGAGAGGCACTTGTCGTTTTCGCCCAAAAGTTCATCGTTTTCCGGAAGGATTTTGGTTTGACCACGCGAAGAGAAAACCATAAAAGAAAAAGAAACAAAAAGAAGACGTGTGAAAACCAAGATCCAGATCCGCGATATACCATTGTTGTCCTTGCTTTGTGCGAGATAAAAAGTTGGAAGGTTTGCTGCTTCAAAAGATTATGTGTTTCCTTTGCGTCGATTCCACCTGGGAGGTTGTTTGGCTTACTTTCTTGTGTTTTACTTGTCGTTTCCTATGGCTTCGACGGACTGATTTCTGTTCGGGTGTTATAAAGAGAAGGGGCGGGTTCACGGTTCTAACCGATCACGTCCATCATGGCGACATGATTGTACGATTCTGATGACCTGCAATGACGATGTTATGTTTTATGTTTTTATCTTGATGTTGACGTTGTTGACGTTGGTGTTGACGCCGATGCGCCTGTTCATGTCCATTGATTGATGTCTATCTGTCTGGCTGTCTCCTGTCTCATGTCGGTTCAAGCATGCGTTTGTATAAACTTTCGTCTGGATGACATGACCACTTGTTTCTTTCGTGCGTTTGGTTTTGTTGTCAGCTGGAAGAAATGAGTAGTTGACAGAGGAAAAGGTATACCCATTTGATTTAGCAATGTACTGTCTTTCTTGCCTTCTTTTCCCCCGTTCTGTCTTCGCTCCCTGCAAAATGACCAGGTACTGAGTGGTTTGGCTGTAACACCCTGCGCATTGATGAATCAATTTAGAGCCCTTTAGTATATACAGTGCCATGGGCAGGGCCGGTCCGATCTCTGAATAGTGAGTCAGGTCTTCCGCACAACCAACGCCAGGTACCCGAATAGCCTGTACACCGCAATGATGCCAATCAAGATGCCCACCCATTTTCCCGTTCGCCCCGTCGCATACCCATACTGGCTCAGCACCCCCTTGCCTTGTATCAGACACTGGCCTGCCAGTTCCGTCTGGTACATGCAATTGCAGCCCGGGCCGCAGGTATACGTTCTGTCCGAAAATTCATTGACCATCATACCTTGGAAGACGTACGCCTGTTACCGTGTCAACAAAGGCCGTGCGATAACGCGCTCGGATGCTCGATAGGGAACCGCTTACCTGGTAGTCGATGTAATGAAACACATACTTCCAAAACGGATTGAGGATCGTCGGAGAGACCAGGAACCCGCCCACGCTCATCCACAGCCCGTTGGCGAACGCGACCAGGGCTAACGAGATGACGAAGTTCGGGAAGATAGAGGTCACAAGTACCACCAGCGACTCGGCGGCCACCAGGTCCAGAAAAAGCCACATAACCCAAGTGAAGAAGGCGGTTGCCGTGGGCTGGAAGTTGGAGAGGAAGTAACTGACTACCGAGAAAAGGATAGCAATTAGGACTGGATGGGAGGGATTAGCATTCGCGGGAATTTGTGGGTCTGGGATGAACAAGCAAAGACGAACATAGAAATGGAAGACCGATGATGAAGTTCGAAACCAGGAAAGGGAGCGCTCCGTATAGCCCGTTTGCCCGTTCTTTGACGAAGGTGGAGCGGTCCTCCAGGAAAGAAGGGACGTAGGCCACGGCCATGAAGCTCATGAAGGCGGATCCGAAGAACTGATGTCCGTAGTTAGCCAGCGAGTCTGATTGGGAACTGCTAAATCCCTCGGGGCTTGAAGTACAATTGCATTGATGAATGGCTGGATGTATTCCTGCGAGGTGTGTAGACGCAGCCATACGGTGCCCATCATTATAGCCAGTCCTGGGTGATGTCAGCATCTCTTCCGTCGGTGGATAAGAATAGCAACCAAGACATACCTAGATACATCACAATGCGGATTCCGTATGCCACCACATCGCGATAACTTTTGATGAACAGTCGGTGCAGGAGAGACATCGTGACAAGGAAGATATTGGGTCGGCCGATCTCGTCCATGAAGACCTTTCCACTACCCTTTGTTTCCATGCCCTCGATCTGCTGTGCTAGGGCTGTACATGCGGGAGACTGTATCCAGGCCGATTTTATAGCGTCGAGTTGTCCTTGGTCACCCGTGAAGTCGGAACTGACGATGTCGAGTAGGAATTCGGCCGGATTTGTATTCGACGGGATCGGGAGCCCGATAGAATCGAAGTGCGACGAAACGGTGGATACGGGTCCAAAGTAACAGGTCTGTCCGCCAGAGAGAAGCAGAAGCTTATCGAAAAGTTGGAAGGTGGTGCTGGATGGCTGATGAATACTTGCGATAATGATGAGCTAGTCATGTCAGTCATATCCATCGCATACTCTGGGCAAGGGGTGCGGTCCTACATTGTTCTCGACAGCCAGCTTCTTCACGTACGAGATGACCTCAAAGCTGGCAGTGGAGTCTAGTCCACTTGTCGGCTCGTCCAGAAACAGGACCTTGGGACACGTTATAAGCTGACTGGCGACACTGACCCGTCGTTTCTGGCCACCACTGATCCCCTTGCGGATCGGCGTTCCCACCAGGGTCGACGCTTGGCCTTGGATACCGAAAGACCTTAGGAGGGTCTGGATACGCTCTTTGCGCTGCGACTTCGATACAGATCTATTTCGCCGTCAGCAGCCTGTCCGCATACGCAGCGGTCTCTGATGTGACATACCCAGGCAGAGACAAGTCGGCCGCGAATTTCAACGTCTCATATACCGTCAAAGACCCGATCAGGGCGTCTTCCTGTTCCACGTATGAGGTGATCCGTCCGAATGTCTCAGTGTCTGGCTTGATTCCGTTGACATGGCAGTCGCCGGTGGTTTTTGCGCCAGACGAAGCCGCGCGGCGGGCAAGGACGTTGAGAAGGGTCGTTTTACCGCAGCCCGAGGGGCCCATCAGAGCTACCAGCTCCCCTGCGATCGGTTAGAATCTGAGGAGATTACGGAGATAATGGTATGAAGGGCGATTTACCTTGCTGTACCAGACCACTGCTTCCGTCGATGAGATTTCGCGGCTGCTTCGTTCGACGGTCCTTGACGGTAACGGTGAGGTCAGTCCACGAGAAAGTCTGCACTGCATGGTTCATGAGGAACTGGTGCTCATTTCGCTCAAGATCGGGGCTATGTAGCCCGCTGAACTCGCGGGTTTTCATCGTTAGCAGTAAACCCGGTCAATAGCTTAAGCGTTGCTATCGTAGGGTGTGAAGTATAAGTAAAGGGAAGCAAGACCACTGTCCAGGCCAGGAACGGAAACAGCAAAGTGGAGGGGGGGAGATGAAAGGTCAAGGAATCCATGACCAGGAAGGAAGGCCAGCCTCTTATAGGCACCCCGACCAAGTTGATCAGCCTCAACGAAGCGCATTCATCGCCAGCCCTAGAAAGAGTCATGGATGCCCCGGGCGTGGCTTAGTCACCCGTGGTCCCCGACCTGCCCGCTGAGTCGGACTCCGTTTTCTTCCTTTCCTCTCCCTCTCTGCTCGACTTCGCCGTCTCCCTTCGCCGGTTCCGAGGCTGAGAGAACCCGAGTCCTGAAAAAACTCAGTTCCCCTTACGAGTCCCCGAGAGGACGGAGATGATGGGAGGGGCAAAATCAAACCCCGGCTCAGCTGAAATTCCCCCTCTTGGACCCTGAGTAACCAAAGGCAAACCGGGCGCCAGAGAACGTTCGTGCCACCGTTAGCTCGACCAGGGGGGCAGGGATTGACCCCGGTCTAGAGGCATGTGTGATGTGATTGCCGTTGGCCCGTTGGACGTTATGCGAGGTGATTGGGCTGCTCGGTCGGTCTTTTAATCCTGAGCTGATTGTTCTATATTGCACCTGCAGCCTGTCAGCGCATTGTTGTGTCCCCCTCAGGCCCGTGCCAAGGGCTGGTTGGCCTGCATTCAAACCGGTGGGACTGAACGACCAAATCCAGTCTAGGAGATCGCTCGTTTCTCAATCCTGGTCGCGTGTTATTGGAGCTGCAATGCGTGTCGGTGCTACGTGGTGGCATTTATCAGTTGGAAACACAAAGGCTAGGCGAAGTGCTTGTGTCACTTGAATCGATAGATTGGGAGTCATAGACCTAGAAAAACAACAGTTGCTCCTCTCCAAGATGACGGTTTGGCCTTCCCATTTCCACTCAAATAACCACATTGCAGGAGACAGCTAAGGTACATCCTGGACAGAATATCCATGAACAGTGTGCCCGTGGCCGGCTAAAGGAGCATCGACTCGAAAACCCATGCCACAATCACCAGCCTGGACAAACCATGTAACCCGTTCTAGGGCCGCCGCAGTACTTTCCGTCACCACCGCCTCTCTGGACCACGCACTATATCATGTCATCCGTTAGCGAGGTGCTTTAGCAAAGGAGGGATTAGGCTTCCATACAGAGCCCTCTCTACAAGGACTGTGGGTTGACTGTTAGTGTTTTTTTTTTTTTTTTTTTCGCTCTGCAGGTCGTTGAAGGAAGACTTACAGGTTGACATATGCCATTTTGCAACTGGTTCCATTGCATTCCTGTTCGAGATTAGATGTGATCGTCTTTCAGCCGGCAGTGCAGATGTCCAGCTGGAGATTTCGCCGAAGAACTCACTCCACAAAACTTATGTCCAGAGGCGCAATCATTGCGTGGGCTGAGCTTGAGGGCGGGATGGTCTTCATCGAACTCGATGTCTCCTGGAACGTGATCGAAGTCTTCGGGGTTCGCAGAAATATTCGGTTCAGCAGAGCCAACGAGGCCATAGGACTGGTCATGTTCGCCAGCCGCGCCCTCGGCAAGATGAGCATCCGACTCAAGAGGCAGGGCCATCGTAGTAGCGAAGGCAGCCATGAGGATGAAGGTAAGAAACGCAAGGAAGTGCATTTTGAGACAGATCGATGAGCGATCGTGGAGATAATGGTTTCGGAAAGGATAGGTAGAGGTAGGATGGAGAGGGGATCAAGATGTGATAGCAAAGGAGTCTAGCTTTTCAGAGGCAATTTATAGACGTCAAGCCTTCGGTTCCTTCACTGACATGCTATGCTTCACCCGGGCGCCGGTTGGATACTACTCGAAACTTCCGCGATTCTACCCGCAGTTCCAGGCCTCAGCAAGGGCTAGAATTTATTCTAAGCGTGGCAGCGAAGCATTCACTTAGTGCACTGCTTACCAAGACGGATCATATCGGGATTATCCGATTGTTTGCACGATTCCGTGTCTACATTCATGCATCGATAATATTCTCCTTGCCCATTGGATTCATCGATCCTAGTGGAAGAGATCTCAATTTAACTTGATGATTGCGGTCTACGAAAGCAAACAGTTCCGAGCTGACTTCTCTGCTCAAACCTCATATTGTTGATTGTATCTGAAAATGGAAAAAGAGCACACAGCTAGAGCTCAACAGCTGACAGTAGTGCTGATAACGCTCAACTCGGTCTATCTGGCGCCGATCGACCAAAAAAGACACCCACTCAGAACGACTATCACAAGAAAGAAAGCTTGACCATTTCGACCGACAAGCCCACATCCTGAGAACAAAAAAGAGCAATACACATGGCGAAGATCGCATCAATTCAGGTTTTGCATCTGCCATATCCACCACTCGTATTTCAGCTCTGTCTTCCCCCCTTTCCCCCAGGACACTGATAGCGGCTGATGATGTACTCGCTGCCACAGGGCTTTCCATCTCCGCCGCCACTCTGCTTGGTGCACTAGAATCAGATAAGCTAGTTGGGACTGCGAGATCACGGGAAAAGCGTGGGTAGCTTGTTCATACCTTGGTGCCACCAGTACAAGGACTGTGGTCGTATGTTGGTAAGCTCCATGTCAGGATGAAGAGCAGGGTGAAGCACTGACTAATTAACTCCTTTTACCTTGCACTTGGTTCCGTTGCATTTCTGTGCGGAAGAGTTAGTAACCTCCATTTCTGACCGTCTGGCATGAGAAATAAACACATACTCCACAATATCTCCATCCATTTGGGCAGGATCCCCGGAAACAGGGTACGTTCATCCGCATCGAGATTGACATGTTCTATAGCAGGATCAAGGGCCCCTTTGTAGCAGGAGATTGAATGGGGTTGCACCCGGCTGAGCATCGAACTGAACTGCGTCCGTAGCACTGGTGGAGTAATACTTGCCTTCGCCGATGTCGCTCTGGTAAGGAAGATGGGCATCTTGCACCAGTGGCCTCGCAATAGCTGCGGCCAGGAGAACCGACAAGGCAAGGAAGATCCAGTACCAACGCATCTTGATTCTTCAAAGACGATTTCTGTAGTTCAAGGCAAGTTAAGAAGATAAGAAGGAATTAGGGATATGGAACGATCACAGTATATTTTCTTCTTGGTGAGGTATTTAAGGACTTAGAAGTGGGGGGTTTCATGGTAGAATCCGGTTTCTTTTCTTCATGTAGACATCTACCTCGTCTCATTTCGCTCATTCACTGTTCCGCTGTTTCGCTGGTGGGAGTTCCCAGAGATGCATGGCATTAGACCATGCGTGCTTTGAAGGGGCAATCATGGTATCGACACAACAAGGCACATACGAAGATAGCGGGCATAGCATAGACCTGGCGTGATAGACTTAAGGACGAACGTAAATTTCAGCTAGCTGAACAAAACAGACAACATAAGAATGTAGGACACATTGTTGAAATGATATCCATGCAAATAATCAACTCGAATCACCAACATTTACTTTCCACACACAATAAGCCCTGCAATCTGAGCCCACTCAAGATCTTCTCGTCTTTCCAGGGCAGACCATGCCATTGAAAAGGCCATTTGCACCACAGAGCTTTCCATCTCCGCCTCCACTCTGCCTTGTACACTAGAATTAAAATGGTTAGCCAGATGCCCCGAGGAGTGAGCGTAGTAGTCCGTACGCTGGTGCCTTCTTTACAACCGCTGTTCATTTGTTAGCTGATAAGGCAAAAGATCAAATGAAGATAGACTGAAGAACTTACAAGTGAAGACCCCCAACCTTGCACCTTGTTCCGTTGCATTTCTGTTTGAACGGGGCTTAGTAAAGCTCAGAGATACAATCGCAGGAGCAGACTGAACATACTCCACAGTATTTCCATCCATTGGGACATCCCAGTGTGCTGAAGCTCTCAGTTTCGGGCTCCTCGATGTCGACTTCTGGGGCCACAATCCCGCGGTCATGTGGAGAAGCATAGTCCTGGACAGCACTGTCCTGCTCAACAGGGGCGGCCTTGACCATCGAAAAGGTTGCCATCAAGGCAAGGATAATATTGAAGAGATGCATCCTGAGATGAAGAGGGGGCAGTGTAGAGTTTGTTCCGTGGGAGAAAGAACTTGGAGAAAAGCGATGGATGTTGTTGATAGAGGAATGAGAGGATGGAGGCATTGACGAAGAGAATCTCATGGTATTTATGTCTTTCTGAGGGCTGAACGAGTGATTCTGAATCATCTCTGGCCTTTGATATAGTTCCCCTGCGGGCCAATCGGATGCTCTGTGATCCAACTCACTGCGCACGTCCGTAGAGGGCCTTAGCGTCTAGGCGCACTCTGGAGGCTATGCAATACCTATCGGGACACTGCGGATCTTCACCTACGCGCGATTATCTTGTTGGCTTAGGTGCCTTGGCTGGAAGACTACCTAGCGGAGATAGCTGGCTTTGGGCTCTAGCAACCATTTTAATATTCACTTAGGGCAAAGGTCTTGCTTTGCACCTATGTTCCAACTCACATCCCCAAAATAAGTAGTTGAGTGAAATATCATAAGAGAATATACTCATCCATCCTAAGTTTAGCTATACCATTCGATTGTACATATCATTCGCCAGGTCGAGTGTCATAGAAGCTAACATGAGGGTTGCTTTTCCAACCTGACAGCTAACAAAGCCCTGGCATTCCCAGGCCCCGGAATGAATTGATCATGTCTTTTAGGCTGCATTTCCACCCTTTGGAGATTGTAATCTGGACCAACCACTTCCGTGTCCATGGGGTGGTGTGGTTCTTTGTGCTTCAGGTAGAGCGTCACATGTTGGCCCAGTTGGAAAAGCGAGCGGTGTTGAGGCTGTTAAGCCAGACGCAGGTGCTGTCAGGGAGAGGGGCGAGGGGGTAGCTTGAGCGAATTATTTCTTGCTTGGGGATCTCCGGTCGACTTGGTGATAGATACACTTTCAGTGGGTGGTTATTTTAGGTAGTACCTGTCGTGGCTATTGTGTATACCGCGAAAGCGTCTTATTCGTGGCACAGGAAAGGAGGGCCTTGGATTAACAACCGACACGATGTAAAGAGTCCTTTAAAAGAATCCTTGAGCCAGATGGCAAATGGCAGCTGTGGGAATGCCATGGCTAGACGTAAAAATGCTGCCGTCAAACAAGCGACTCAGCTAGCTCAATCCAACGCATTGCATATCGAGTGGCCTCGCCGCAGTTGCAGCTAGGTGTACCCCGTGATGCCTCCTTTTCCATCGAGCTGCGGCTTACTCGCAGGTAAGAGCTTGGGAAAGAGCCGCCGGAGGCTGATCACGGCTGTTTACCGAGTCAGACCAAGCCAGGAGCATCCCTGACGACTTCCGGTTATAAGCCTATCAGCGATCTTCGATATGGGTTCACGTGTGACTGACTATTTGTAGGGCAACAAGAACAAAGAGAAGTGGCAGTGCCAACACATATGAAATACTCCAGGGGTTTTATTTATGAAGTAAAGTAATAACGGGTTTTGCTGGTATTCAAGCTATGAAGGATCTAAGGAAAACGCTACTTTTTTTGAATCGTGATTGATTACATCCTGTTGAAAATGACTGTCAGCATCGTCCGAAGAAACACTATAGAAAGACCAGACGTACCGCTGAACGGGGCTGAGACCCAACACCCGCATTCCGTTGTGCAGAACCTGTCGGGCAGACTCGTAGAGAGCCATGCGAGCCTTCTTGACCTCGGGCTCGCTACCCACCACCTTGAGCACGTCGTAACTGGAGCTAAGGATGTGGGTCATGCGGAAAAGGTAGGTGAGAACGGTGGTGGGTTCCAGGGTGCGGGTGGTATTCAGCAGGGTATCGGGCCATTGGGCCAGCAAGCGTGCAAGGTCGTGGGCGTGGCGCTCGGTCAGAAGGTCCAAGTTGGCGGAGTCAAGCTCGTCGATGTTCAATCCGGACTTGCGGACGATGGAGCACAAACGAGCGTGGGCGTACTGCAGGTAGGGGCCAGTGTCACCCTCGAAAGAAGTCATGGCATCCAGGTTGAAGTCGTAGCCGTTGACACTAATCTAGTTAGTACAATCGAGAAAGGTCCATGCAAAACAAAAAAGATACGTACCGCTTGCCAGTCATGTCCTGAACCATGACGGACGTGATACCCAGGATGTCGGCGGTCTGCTCGGGGTTCTCAACCTGCTCATACTTCTCCTGATTCTTCTTCATGACCTCGTGCATCTTGTCACCGACATCTCGCAGAATGTCATCCAAGAACTTGACGGTACCCTTACGGGTGCTCATACCGCGGACCATGCCGAAGTTGACGTGCTGGCAGCGGTTGGCCAGATCCTTGTGACCCATCAGCTCGGTGACCTTGAAGAGCTGAGCCAGATGAAGGTCCTGCTGGGCGGCAACCACGTAGATCATCTTATCAAAGTGGTAGGCCTCGTCACGCTCGGTGATGGCGCCGATATCACGGGTCAGGTAGAGCGGGGTGCCATCCTTTCGCACGATGATGGCCTTTCCGAGCTTCTTGGCGCCGTGCTTGGTGAAATCAACGATGACCGCGCCGTCGGACTTCTCGGAGACGTTCTTCTCCTCCATGGTCTTGTAGGCAGCGGCCATGCTCTCGTTCTTGATCTGGGACTCTCCAGAGTAGACGTCGAAGTCAATGTTCAGGCGGGCATACGTCTGCTTGTACTTCTGGATACTCAGGTCACGGAATCGGCGCCACAGCGCGAGAGCCTCCTCGTCACCATCCTCCATGCTCTTAAAGTACCGCCGAGCCTTCTCGTCCTCGCTGACCTCGACGAGCTTGGCGAGCTCCTGTTCGAGAGCAGCCACGTCCTCGTTCTTCTCCTTCTTCGCCTTGATCTGCTCCTTCAGCTCCTTGATGGGAGCGTCGTGCTCGGCCACGACGTTGTTGATCTTCACGTAGACATCAAACAGGTGATTGATGGGATCCTGCAACAGCTTCTGCTCATCACCGAAGTGCTTGTAGCCGTTCGCCAGCAGACCGTACTGCTTACCCCAGTCACCGAGGTAGTTCATCTTGATGACGTCCCATCCCATGACAGTGTACAGGTTCGCCAGGAAACCACCAATGATGGTACTCCGCAAGTGGCCGGCATGGAAGGGTTTGGCGATGTTGGGGGAGGAGAACTCGACGATCATCTTCTTCTTGCCCTTGGCGGGGTCCGACGGGTCGCGCAGGCCCTGGTTACCATTGGTACCATACACCTCCTTCTCCTTGAGGATGCGAGAGATGACGGTGCTGGTCAGGCCTTGGGGCTTGAAGAAGAACTGCAGGTGCACGCCGAAGGAGGTAGGGGGTTGGACCAGGTCCGACTCGGGGAACTTCTCGGCGAGTTCCTTGCAGAGTTCCGCGGGGTTCTTCTTGATTTGCAAGGAGGGGACCTACAGGACAATCGACATTAGCCAGCTATACAAGAACGGAAGAAGGTGCAAAGCGCAACCAGTGCATCCCCTGGTCAGACCGCATGAGAGTGACTTGGGTAGTAATCGCGTACCGGCAGCACCAGGTCACCCTTGTCCAGCGTGTTAGTCCATTGCAAACGCGCATAGATCTTCTCCGCGTCAATGCCGGTGGCGGCTCCAAGCTTCTCGGCGATATGCTCACGGTAGATATCGACGGGGTTCAGAGAAGGATAGCAGTTGGGGAACTTGGAGGACTCGTTGGTCGAATGCAGGGTGAGCCCCTCAACCGCAGGAAGGTCCGTCATGGTGGGCACGTCTTTGTACCAGCGGAGGGAAGCAGTTGGAGCGGGACTTTGAGACGAGAAGGGCGAGCGGGCGAGATTAAAAGAAGAGCGAGGAGGGGTGAGAAGAGGGGAGCGAAGAAGGTGTGGACGATATGACAGGAAGGACGACTGGAAAATGGCGATGGAAAATGGCCGGGCCCCGCTTAGAAGAGGGCGACCCATCAAAGGGAAGGAGGGGGACTGCTTTTTTTTTTCTCTGTCCTTCCGGTGACTCAGGCAAAAAAGAGTCGGGCAAATTGCGGGCAAAAAAGGGAAAGGGAAGGAACGAGGCGGCCAGGGCGGTGAGCACTCCAGTCACCTGACTGTCTGCCACCTGATTCCGTCTGCCCTTACCCTAACTCCTTCATCACGCCTGACGTCATGTGTCTGCATCACCCAACGTCCTGCGTTTGTTCCTCTGGTCAACCAGGCCGCCAGAGCCATGGCCTCCTCTCTCATCCTGGCCCTCAGCGACCTCATCCGTGACCATGGGACGTAATCGCCGACAAGCCGCTCTGTCCAAGTCGATCCAGCTCGCCCTGTTTCGCAATCCGAAAGACTTTCGACGCACCTGGCTCGGGCAGATTCTGGCCTTCTTCAGCTTGTTCTATCTGAAATTACTTCGCTATGGCGACGAGACCTTCCAAAGGATGCGCAATGAGGCGTGGGAGATCGACGAAGACGAATATAAATCCAGCTTCCGCGGCGAAAACAGGACCCTACCATTGAAGCCTATGGGCGACCTCGGATTCTCGGGATCGGTTGGTTCTCCGGCCTCATTCCCAGCCTCTCTCACCGTTTTCATCGGTTGAGCTAACCTTCTGCTTGATCCCAGACTTTCTTCAGCACCTCAAACTCCAAGTTCCTCGTCAAAAGCCTCCCCCGGCATTTCGAGCATTCCTTCTTCCGAGAGGATCTGTTCCAGCCCTACTACCGCCACATACGCACCCATCCTCAGACGCTCCTAGTGTGGATCACCGATTATCTCTACGCCCCGTACAAGTCCCTCGGCAGTCTCCTGAACACCACACCCGCCCACCACATCATCATGGAAAACGTGCTTTACGGCCGCGAGGAGGACCCCCGTTATTCGGACCTGTGGGAGACGTACGATCTCAAGCCGATTGATTACTTCTACCCCGAGCGAGACCTGGTGCCCGAACCGCTGGTGAGCGAGGAGACGATCAGCAGGTTGGCGGACGAGTTCCCGGATAAAATCCGGCTGACGCGCGCGCAATATGAGGATATGATGAGCATGCTGCGGACAGACACGGAGCTTTTGGAGGCGTCCAACACGGTCGACTACTCGCTGTTTCTAGTGCGCTACCCCGCGGCCGGCGAGCCGGACGCTGTGGGGAAAAGGACCCCCTGGCGGGTCGGCGTGCCGTCCACGGACGGGAAGTGGAAGTATCGGGCGGTGGTGTTGGACTTCTTTTGGGCCAAACACAAGTTGCACGCGCAGGCCATGACGGGAGTAGTGCAGACGTTCAACGTCCTCGGCCGACAGGGGCCGATGTCCATCACAACGACGGCAGAGGAGTATCGGCAGAAGTTCCTCAGCATGGTGGACGCGATGATGGAGGTGTCCTAGGCACGCGGACACCGTTCGTTGGAGGGGGAGAAACGGCGCCCTAGTGCAAATAATACCCGTAATATGCATAATGCGAAATTATATTCTTGAAGTATACCTGTATATGAATCATCAAGTCGCGATCGGTTCTTCCGAATCAATATAATATCAGTATCTATCCCGCACATCTACAAGCATCAGAAAGCCTCGGGATGAAGTATAACAACTCATGTCACGTCTAGCATAGCAAGGTCACTGTCGGTGGGCAATGATCTTCTTCTATGTCCATCTTTTCACGTAAAACAGGCCTAGGCAGCCTACCGTATCCGTCTCTTCTAATCTAGAAGCAGAAGACCTGGTCTTCGAGCTTGCTGACAGGCCGAGCCTTGGTGTATCCCAGGGACTCGGTGGCCTTCTTCATTGCACTGACCATAGGAGGAGGACCGCAGAGGAGGATCTTGATGTCGCTGGCGGGGGCAGGGAGGCGCTCCTGTGTTTGGGGGGAAAATCAACGTCAGCCAGGGGATTCGCGCAGTCATCGTGGTTATCCAAGAACGAACCTTGATCATATCGGGAGTGACGAATCCAACGCCGCCGGTCCAGGCCTCGGGGGGGTTGTTCAGCACGTAGTAAACACGGAAGCCGTCGTCCTCCTTGACAAGCTGTTCGAGTTCCTCCTTGAGCAGGATATCGTCGGGGTTGACATTGGCGAAGATCAGGTCAACCTGGGTGGTGTCGTTGCCACCGTTGCGGGGTCGGTTGCGGATGATGGCCTTGATGATCTGAAGCATGGGCGTGATACCGGTACCGCCGGCAATCATACCGATATGGCGGCACATGTTGGGAGTGTACACCATGGCGCCCTTGGGACCGCGCACCTTCATGGTCTGGCCAACCTCCAGGGTGGTCAAGTACTTGGAGATGTTGCCCTGGGGGTAGGCCTTGACCAAGAGATCGAAGTATCCGGCCTCGTTGTCGGAGGAGATGGGGGTGTAGGAGCGCACGACCTCCTTGGGCTGGCCGTCGATGGTGGCGGCCAGCGAGATGTGCTGGCCGATGGGCAGACCCAGGATATCTGTGGGGCGGGGCAGAGCAAAGCGGTAGATGGCGACATTGTGGGAGATGAGGTTCTTTTCTTTCAACACGAAATCCTGGAACTCGGTGGGGTTCAGGACCTTCCGGGCTTCTGATGCGCATTCGGTGAGTATACATGCATGTATGGGAATTGCCAGCATATGAGTCACGTACGGTTGCCACTGAACAGCTTCCACCCGGCCAACACAGCAGCCAAGGCCACCGCGTAGGGAACATATTCTTGCTTCACAATGAAGGTGCCAAAGACCAGGAGGGCGGAGGGAATGTAGACCCCATTGATATTCTCGGACGACAGAGCACTACGGTTTGCGACAACAGCGCGTCAATTGCCTGCATTCCCCGCATGAATGAGACGGAACACGCAGACATACCTCATTTTGATCAATGCCTCCAGCTACCCCGGGAGAGAAGTCAAAGAAACGGCAAAAAAGTAGGCGGGGAGAAGCGGATGAGGAGAGGAAAGGAAAGAAGAAGAAGAGGGAGAGAGAGCGGGAAAAAGATCGGGAAGAGGAGCTGCCGGTGGATTACGTTGAGGTGGTAACGACTCGGTAAAGTTACGGGCCGTATTGTCGGGGATCATGTGCGGCACGTGAAGATAAGGTCCGCGATAGCAGTGCTGCCTGGGTGCCTCGCTGCCTCGGTCACCGGGAAGTGCTCAGGCTTCGTCGTCGAGACTTGTTCCTCCCTGCATGTACCGCCGTACATGTATGTACACAGCGGTGGGGCCCCCTCATGATGATTCCCTTCCTGGGGTAAAGATTCCCGATGCTCTGCCGCACCCCTTCCTTTCCCTTTGTGAACAAGATTTCCGATCCCTTCTCCAACAACCTTCCCCCTTCCCCAATTTCCATCTTTGACTTCCCCCCTCCTTTCCAGTCATGACTGTCGCCGAGGAACCTCCTGCTTTCAATCTCACCGAGGTCGATCGAAAAGTCCTCTCTCAAACGGACGAGGAGTTTGAGTATCACAGCTGGGACGAGTTGAGATCCATCATCGGTATGTTTATCAACGTCTCGTCCCGCCGAAAGACATCATGTTGTTCATCATTCCCCTCTGGGTTGATCCACGGAGAACACTCGGGTGGTTCCGCATTCTCCCCTCATTTTTCCAGTCCGACCTTACATTCTGAGTTGTGAAAATTAACCCCCAAGTTTTCTCCCCGCACGTAGCACGGAATGATCTCGGCGTGCTCAAGCGGAAACCCTCCGACTTGATCCGATACCTGGCGTGGACCAAAGACATCAAGACGCAGTACGGTTCCATCACCGCCTATATCTGTCAGCATCGTCTGCACTGGCATTTGCCGGACCTGTCTGCCACCATCGGTACGGGGGAGGCTGACAGTGGACCCGTCTTTCCCTTCAAAAACCCGGTCCCCTTTGCCGATCCCGCGGACTACAAGATCCTACGCAATGACTGGCCCTACGGCTGGACACCGGGCATCTCTCACCTAGTTGTCTGGTTGAAAACCCCCGTGCCGGTGCATGGCGAGAATGGCGACATGACCGACGAGTCTCGGTCGCTGGTCGAGGGCTTTGTCCGGAGAACTTTCGTCGATCGCCTGGCCAGAGAATCCGCCACCTTCCGCCACCCGGAGACGCATGTGCAGTGGTTCAAAAATTGGACGGCGCTGCAGAGTGTCAGGAGCTTGGAGCATATCCATGTCCTGCTCAAGGACGTTCCCGAAGACATCTTGCGCGAGTGGACGGGGGAGGACCTGCCGCAGAACTGAGCCGACGCATACACGCAGCATCCATGTATCTCCACATAGATAACCCGCTGTAGACTAGATGGTCAGCCCGATAGAGTCAGATATACCAGACGGCGGGGTGGAAGACAGAAGAAAGCTTTAGCATTGGGAATCTTGCGAAAGAAACAATAGCCCCGCAGTTGTTAAAGTACAAGAAAAATAAGAAAGAAAAGATCAGAGAGCTTTCATGAGAAATAAACTCGAGGAAAATCAATCAGCACAGAAGAGAAGAGAAAAAAACTTGGTCCATCATTAATATACGCCCCACTGAAGTCCATGCCGGCAACCGAGCAAGAAAAGACATTTGTAAACCCAAACCTCATGATACTTCATCGCCTCCCCGCTCACGTCTTTTGCTCCTCGACGAATTTCAGAGCCTCCTCCCTCGACACGACATCAATCGTACTGGCCTTCTGCCGGAAACTGACGCCGTAGCACTTCTCGGCCACATGCAGCATCTCCGGTCGGAAAGTGGTGCAGATGAACTGCCCGTTGGTGGAATCGGAGATGGATTTCAACATCTGGGCAACGGCAGTTCGATACTGCGCGTCCAGGTTGGCGTCGATCTCGTCGAACAGGTAGAATGGGGCTGGGTCGCAAGCCTGAATAGCAAAGACCAGAGCCAGGGCACACAGACCTACAAGGAGATGTTAGTCAATAAATATGATCAACCCGTTATGAACTCTCCAGCGAGAAGACTTACTCTTTTGTCCGCCACTAAGCTGCTGGATACGTTGCTGTTCGTCATGCTTACTGTTGAAGCTGACACTGATTCCGACTCCGACGTAATTCTCCACGCTTTGCTGGGCCTCCTCGTCATCAGACTCGAGGGCATCTTCTTGTCTCATGGCACGGTCGGTCTTTCGCTGGATGATCAAGCGCCCACGTCCGGCGGGGACGAGCTTCTCGAAGACATTGTGGAATTCACGCGAGACCTGCTTGAAGGTTCGTTCGATAGCTTCGTCCTTTCTCTGATCGAGCACGTTGATGAGGTCATCAATAGATTTCTGAGATGCCTCGAGTTCTTCCCGTCGCGAGGTGAGCACCTCCCGCTGTTTCGTGAAGCTGTTGTACTGCTCGAACGCCTTCTTGTTGACGTGTGAGTACTTCTTGAGACTCTCGTTGACCTTGTGGAGCTTTTTAACGACCGCGTTCGAGTCGGTGTTTTTGTACTTGGTGAACGCCTCATCCGGAAGCACACCAAGGTCGCGGATGTTGGCTGCGCATTCGGCTGCCTGCTTCGTCAGCGCAGCTTTCTTTTGCATACTCTTTTCCATGCGGCGCTGGTGCTTTTCAATGGATTTGGCCAGCTCTTCTAATTCTCGTCGCGTTTCCGCATTTCGTTGCCCAAGTTCAGCCACTTGGGCATTGGTATGGTCGATCGAGTCGTCCACTTGCTGAAGACGCTGGCCCAGCTTCTCCAGAGCCTTGTGGAGACGCTTCATCTCTCTCTGGGTCTCTTTCAAGTTGCCCTGGCTTTCGTCTTCGGCCATGTCAGGGTCTTGGCCAACAAGCTGGTCAAGACGAGGGTTGAGGTTCTCCCGCAGCTCAACTTCGAGAACAGATTTGCGGCCCTCCAGCTCACTGCGCCGGCTAGACAGCTCCTGGTATTGCCGGCGGAGGTCTTGGGCTGCGGCATTAAGGTTCTCAAGACTTGCTTCCTCCTCATTGCTTAGAGCCTTCTGGAACGGCGACTTAAGTTCTGCCTCGAACGCATTGACCTGGTCGGTCAAAGCAGCCATGTTACCCTCGATATTTCGGAGTGCGCGCCGCTTGGCATCAAGATTGTCGATCTTCTTCTGGAGGAGGTCACGCTTGCTTCTCAATTCATGGCGAAGCGGCCCGCTGCTGTTCTGTACTTGGTGTCTTTGCTGTTCAAGCTTCTGCAATTCGCCGACGGATTTTGTGATAATTTGGTCCAGTTTCTCGAGTTCTTTACGGATCTCCGTGCCACGGTTCTTCTTTGTCTCGAACTCATCCCGCCACTTAGCCAGGTGCTTCACGGCGTCGAGTCGAGATTGTCGCGAATCGTGGAAACCACCAGTCAAGGCACCTCTCTTATCGGAACGATCTCCTTCGGGGGTGATCGCGTTAACACCGTGACTCCGAGCATACTGTGCTGCCACCTGCAGGTTGGGGCAAATGATAGTCTTGCCGAACACGTGGTTAAATGCCTTGTCGTACGCTCGATCATACTGCAGCTTCTCGATCATCGGAATGGTGTCACTGGCCTTGGGCATATTGATCGGTCTCGACCGCAGTCTGTTCAGGGGCATGAAGGTTACCCTGCCTGCCTTTTCATGCTGCAAAATCTCCAAGACCTTCGTAGCCGTCTCATCCGTGTCAACAACGTAGTGGAAAAGACTCTGCCCTGCCGTAACCTCAACGGCGGTTCTGTATCTGTCATTAACATCGAAAAGCTCTGCTAATGTGCCATAAACACCTTCGATATTGTGCTGGCGCTTAATTCTCCGAACAGCCGCAATTCCTCGGCTCGTGTTGTGGTCCATCATCTGAGAGAGATTGCGCTCTGCTCGATCAACCTCGTTCGAGGCATTGGAAAGAATAGAATCAAGCTTCGCCTCTTCCCTCCACAGTTCCTTCCTCTGGTCCATCAGCCGATCTCTTTCGTCCTTGGCATTCTGAACCTCTTGTTCGACAGACTGGATCGTGTCACCTCGGCCGTCAATTTGTTTGCGTAGCCGTTCAGTCTCTGGCTCCAGGAGGGCAATCTCATTTTCAAGTTCCACAATGTCCGTTTGAGTCTGCGATACTACCCCTTGCACGGTAGATATGGAGGAATAGTTATCCTTAATCTCTGCTTGAAGCCACTTATCGCGTTCCGACTTGTTCTTGAAGCGTGAATTCCGGCCTTGCTTTGCGTAAAGACGTTGACGGGAGGTCTCGGCCTCGGTGAGCTGCGCCTTCACCGCATCTTCCTCGTCTTTGGCGGCGTTGAAGCGAGGAATGAGGTCCTGTAATTCCCCCTCGCGTTCTTTAATGGCCGCCTGGACGGATTCCAAGTCTTCGTCATGGCGTCTTTTCAAATCTTGGGCGGCGGCTTGATTGTCGGTAAGAGATTTAGCCTGAAGTTCGACCTGTGCCAGGGTTTTCGAAGCCTCGCGACGCTCATCCTCCAGCTGCGATTTGTCGACCTTGAGGAATTCGATTTGCTGTTTGCATTCGGCAATCTCTGCATCGACCTGTGCCATTTCCTTTTCGCCCTGAATAAACCGATCACGGTTCAGGTCAGTATCCTCGACGCCTGTTTGTCTCTGCTCCTCCAAGTTATCCAGGAAGCTGCCAATTTCTTGTTGCTCGCGAGAGTAAATAGTGTATTCCAAGCACCTTCGCTCCTTATCTTTGTCCTGGTAGTTCCTTAGCTCGTCCTTCTCCTCCTCGAGCTCGGACAAACGCTCGTTGATGAAATCCAAGAGTTCGTCAATTTTGGATCGTTTGTTGTTGGTCTCGTGCATGATTTTCAAGGATTCGGCACGGCGCGCTTCGTAGACCTGCGTACCTGCCACCTCCTTCAGCAAGTTCAGTCGCTCTGAGTCTTTCATGTTCGTCAGAGCCGTCACGCGACCCTGGGGCACGATGTAGTAGGGGTTGGAGCGCGAGAAACCGGCGGATTCGAGCAGGTTCATGACATCAGATTTGGTGGCGTTTTTCCGATCCAGCGTATATTCGTCCTTTTTCAAGCCGATTGTTCGACGCAGCACAACTTCCGGCTTGCCGGTTGGGAACCGGTCATCCGAGTTATCGAAAATAATTTCCACGTACGCCGACATTACGGCCGAGCCCGAACCCTCCTGTTCGATGTGAGCCTTCGCTTTGTAGATGCCTCGATAGGTATACGCACATGAAGGAGAGCCTGTCGCTCCTCGCGACCCATATGAGTATACGCATCGCTGAGGACGAATCGAATGGCCGCGAAAAAGTTGCTCTTGCCGGAACCATTACGGCCGACAATGACATTGTGCTTCGGGGAGAACGGCTCGATAACCGTTTGATCCTTGTAGCTGTTGGTAGAAAACGAAAAGTTAGTTCTGATAGCTCCAAGAGTGCTGGGCAGCGTCTCTGCGACCCTTAGGAAGAACGAACCTTTTAAAGCCCTGGATGATGATCTGCTTAACGTACATTGTGACGAGGTGCGCACGAATCGGAGAATCAGAGCAAACACGACAGCCAAATCATCACGCAGCGAGCAGTCTAGAATCAGGGAGCCCAAGCCCTGAAAACGGGAGCAGCAAGGCGAGGTGATGATAGACGGGGGGGTTGATGTAGGGGGATGATTGATTGCGACAGAGGAAGACGCGCGTGGGCGACCGACGGCGGCTCTTCTTTTCCCTACGCGTTTCGCCCGCGGGGTTTCTGCCGGGCGGTGAGTGTCGACCAAGGTCCACAGTCGGCGATTCTATCCCAAACGGAAAAATGTATCTCGTTTTTCTTCCTCCTTTGCCCTCCTGTCAGCCCCCTCTTGCGACAAGCATCATTCCTGTTTGCCGTTCCCTGAGCTGACAATGGCCTCCTCCGATCCCAACCAGGCTTCGGGTCTGGCAGATGGCTTGGCCCCCTCTCACACGTACGTGCCTAACCAAGGGTATCTGAACGCTGATGGCACGACCCCCACTATGGCGGGGCAAGATCCTTCGGCGCAGGACGACAATGAAGAGGATAACGACGAATACTACGATGACATCTTCGAAGAAGAGGTGGACGATGAAGAATTTGCCGCAGCAAACCCGGCCGATCTGACGAAAGCCTACAACCGCCAGCGCAAGCTCAACGAAGTCTCCGCCGACCCTAACGCGCCGAAATGGACGTACCCGAAGACGAACTCGCAGAAGCCGACCGTCAACACCCATGCGTCGGTGGATGATGAGATGAAAACGTTGACGCGCCATGCAAACAAGATCAAGCTGGATGATGTGCAATCAGGACTGGCGGTTCGTGGCGAGCGTGGTGCTGACAAGGCCGACCGAGCGACCTCGGAGCAGGTGCTTGACCCGCGCACGCGAATGATCCTGCTCCAGATGATCAACCGCAATGTTGTGTCGGAGATCCACGGATGCTTGTCCACCGGCAAGGAAGCCAACGTATACTACTCGCTACTCTTCCCCGATGACGACGACGCCGCGCCTCTACACCGTGCCATCAAGGTCTATAAGACGAGCATTCTGGTCTTCAAGGACCGAGACAAGTATGTGACCGGAGAGTTCCGATTCAGATCGGGCTATAGCAAGAGCAACAACCGAGCAATGGTGAAGCTGTGGGCCGAAAAGGAAATGCGTAACCTGCGCAGAATCTACTCCGCCGGGATTCCTTGCCCGGAACCCATCCAACTCCGACTTCACGTCCTCGTGATGGGTTTCCTTGGAAACTCCAAGGGTGTTGCCGCACCCCGACTAAAGGATGTCGAGTTCGACGTACCCAACCCGGAGAGCAAGTGGCGGGAGGTCTACGTGGAACTGCTCAGCTACATGCGTGTGATGTACCAGACCTGCCGACTGGTTCATGCCGATCTGAGTGAGTACAATATGCTTTACCACAAGAACAAACTGCACATTATCGACGTCAGTCAGAGTGTAGAGCACGACCACCCTCGCAGTTTGGAGTTCCTGCGTATGGACATCAAGAACGTCAACGATTTCTTCCGTCGCAAGAGTGTCAATGTCCTTCCCGAACGAACCATTTTCGAGTTCATCATCTCCGCCACCGGCCCTACCACGCTGGAGCCGCGCGAGCCTTTGCTCGACGCTGTTGAGAAGCTGTACACACAAGCTGAGACGCAGGACGACGAGCAACAAACCGCTGCAGAACGCGAAGTAGACACCGCTGTTTTCCGCCAACAATATATTCCCCAGACGTTGGAACAGGTGTATGACTTTGAGCGCGATGCCGCGAAGGTCCACGCGGGTGAGGGTTCCGACCTGGTATACCGAGATCTTCTTGCAGACGAGAAGGCGGCTACTTCTGCTGCGGACAAGCATGACAGCGAGGCCGATTCTGACGCCAGTGGTGGCATTTCTGTTGATGGCTCCAACTCCGAGGACGACCATGACGAGGAGAGAGACCCGTTTGAGCAGAAGGCTCCGCGGGGACGACGGTTCGAGGATAAGGATGAGAAACGCGATCACAAACAGAAGGTCAAGGAGGAGAAACGCGAGAAGCGAGCCAATAAAATGCCGAAGCATATGAAGAAGCGCCTGGTTTCGAGCTCCTCGAGGAAGAAGAAATAAACGCATTCTCAGGTTCCAGCCTGGCGAGTGAACAGGGAGATGGAGAACGGTTTTCTTATCTTTTCTTTTTCCATGGGCAAAGGGGGTTTCAAAAAGTTTTGACTACATATGATTTTATGAGATTCACGATTGAATTATCTGATGGGCAAGAAATGATTGGGTACATGACTTGACATAGAGATATATATAGAGAGACAACCGAAGGATCAAATTCGATTTAACAAACACAACCCGTCAGTATTTATTATAAGTCGCCACTCAACTAGAGTTCGTAGAAGTGAATTGTTAGAAGTAAAAAAAAAAAAAAAAAAAAAAAAAAAAAAAAAAAAAATCAATAGTAATAACTAAGACCGAGAATAACAAGAAAACGTAATTGAAGAAAGAACCAACAGATATCTACGTACTTTCCTTTTAAGTCTCTAAAAGACCGAATAATAACCGAAATAACCCACAACAAATTAAGGCGAAGAGGTACCTCAAAAATGTAGAGAAATCTAATATACGGAAAAGTGCCGACGAAAGAAATATATTTGAACACTAGTCAAGTATGTAGTAACGAGGTGCCTATCAGAGCTCTCTTTGATCCTCATCCCAGACATTTATTAGCGAAGAAAGACACCTTGCATTTATACGTGTCAGTGCTTACATCTGTGCAAGGTACGCCTTGGCTGGCTAAAAAGATGGTCTGGACGTCGGTTCAGGATTTATCCTTGCTTCAAGTTCATCATCTAGGCCGTAAGATATGGAAATTGACAGATCGCGATGACCCAGCATCACGTGGACAGCCTGCCTAGCAGTAGGATAGAGCCGAAATAACAAATAAGCTCAAACAAAGATTCCAAAGAGATACGGAATTGGTATATATGTAAAGGCAGCTGCAGAGACCGTCGTGAGCATGCGTAAAGTAAGCTTTAGGGTGCCAGTCTCATTTTGGCTCTGACTCGAGCTAAAGTTTGTTCGACGACATCCTTGGGCAGTTCAGGAATGATTTCTCCGTCGCCAGTGGCTTGACTCACCGGCGCCGGCTGTTTTGATTCATCAAATTCGGGTGTCGGCAGTTCCTGCTGGTCATCCGGCTGGGCAGCGATACCTTTGAGGTTACCCCCGGATATGCGCTGGAATTCGATTCGCATTGGCTCACGGCCGATGCCCGGCCAGATATCAGAAGGTAGATAGTCACCCTGTTCAACACGGAAAGTCTCGCGGGCATTGACATCTTCTTCGTAGAGTTGATCCAACTTGTGCCTGCAATCGCGCAACACTTTCTCGACACGTTGTCGCACGTGTCTCCGGCGAGACACTTCTAGGATTAGACCGTCGTAAGCATCGAGGAAGCCATCGTACAAGGAATTGAGATCAGATAGCTCTAGCAAACCAACTTCAATACGCTCGTGCTCCTCACTCCATACGCGGGTGAAATTGTGGGCCTGGGCGATGTAGCCGGGCAACCGGGCCGAAGCGAGTGAGGAGATGTGATTGAACACGCTGGTGGTGGCATTGTAGACGGACAGGAAAGTGTCGCGCTGGGTTGTCACATGTTCCAGGACAGACTCCATCTCTGCGATGCGGTCGTGAATCTCCATTACCACGTCTTCCGCCTCGGCCGCATCTTTGATCAGGACGTTCACCATTTCTTGGTACTCGAAGTCACTCAGGGGGTCAAGAGGGGCATTCAGGTTGGCATTGATGCCTTCCTCGATGTTGGGACCCCGGCCGCTGACATGCATGCCGGCGGGCATGTCGCCGGTGATCGAACGCGCGGCGGCGCCCCCGCCTTCGGTGTGTTTGACCGCCGTCACGCAGAGATCAAAATGACGGACCAATGACTCCAACAAATTGGCCATTTCCTGCGCGTGCATCTCCAGGGAATGCAGCATGGATGGCATAGAAGACAGAGAGGGCAGGCTGGAGTTGGAAGCAGACGTGGACGAGGAGGAGGCAGAGGATCTCGACGAAGCTAGTTTGGTAGCCGCACGGTAATTTCCCAGCGCTTCCTTGATTGAACCGAGTTCCTCGTCAAAGGACGCGTTGGAGGAATCAAGCTCTCCTTGCGCGGCGCTGGTTCGGTCAATCGCGTGTTTGAGAGCCGCATGGAGCTCCTCTACGCCTCGCTCCTCCACAAAGTCATGCAGGCTCTTAGGCTCTTCATCCTGCGGGCGAAAGGAGGCATGGACAATGGTATCTCGCAACAGATCCAGCGTCTTTCGGAGCCGCGCATCGGCCGTGTCGAGACTCTTTAGCACGCCGGCAAATTCCGAGCGGCCTCGAAGAGACACTTCCTCCACTTCTGTGCGAACATTGTAGAGCAGCCGCAGCTGATTATTCAGGCCACGACGAAGAAAACCAGTGCGAGCCGAGACCACCACGCTCTCCTCCAGCGTGGAGCGAGCAGCCGTGACAATCTCATTGGCACGCCATACATGATTAATTGACGATAGCGACCGCTTGGCCGCGACTAGATGCGAGATAAGGGTCTCCAGCCGGGGCATTGACGCGTCCCGGTCATCGGATGGGTCTGGACCAGGGGCAGCAGGAGCACTGCCCGACACGGACGACGACTCGGAAAGAGACATGGCGGACACAATTTTAGGATCTTTGGCTTTCACGAGTGAGGTTGCATCCGAGCGTAACCGGGCGATTGGATCTAGGAGATTGCTGTCTCGGGGAGATCTAAGCGCCCAATGATGACCGACGGCGCCGTCGGACGTCTACCTTAGTCCTTTCAGCGGAGCCACCAATGGGGGGGATGCGGAATCCGACTGAATTGGCGTGCGAGGTGCGTAATATGAGTTTAGAATCACCCCATAAGAGGCGAGCATCGAGGAAAGGTGTCTCGAAATGGAGTTCCAACGGGTCTCAACCGTCGGATCGACGGTACTAGGCAGCGGGGAGAATGTACGGAGTAGCGGTGAGTTTCGACGAGGGAGCCGGGGAGGGTAACTAGATCTTTCAAGGGTTCGAGACAAGGGTCCGTCGCGATTCTCTTGTTTCAAGGCCTTCGGTTCATCCTGACTGGGGGGTATAGCATGCGCAGCAGCCGACTTCCCTTGTGTACATTCACTGAGGTTCGACGGAGGGAGGAGTGCTGCGGGGGTGAACGTGAGCAAGTTTAGCAGGGAAATTTCGTCATTAGGTTGGGGGAGGAATGATGACAAAGAAAGGGTTTCATGTATGTACTGAGAAATGACGAGTCCTTTCCAGGATCCAGAATTGAGGAATCGGGGTCTAGCAGAATGTTGGGAGAGGAGAGCTGAAGGAAGGCGAGTGCAGGCAGGGAAATGAGGTGAGATGGACGGGGAGAAGGCGGTGGGGACTTGGCATTCATCAGTGATCACCTCATCTAGGGACTAGTAAGTACTAGGACCAGGAGGACTAGGTCTAGGAGGACTAGGGGAGATGGAAGTCCGGGGAGGATCCGCAATTGCCAGGGGCGATGGCGACGGCTGCCTCAGGCTGATGCGACGGGCGGCGGCTATGGCGCCATCGCTCGCACGTGATGGCCGCGCTTGCGTGATTGACTCGATTTACTCCCTTTTGCATTATCTTTAGAATTATAATTCGATCGCAAATGGAAGTTTTCTCGGTCCTCTCTAATCCATGCTAGTTTTTATATCCCTCGGTCTCCCCTCGTGACTCTTGGCTGGTCCAGTCTCCCTCTTCTGTTACTTCTCCTCTCCTCTCCCGCGCGGTCCCCAAGTCTCTCTCTACCTCTCTCTCTCTCTCTCGCGCGCGCCCGCCACTGTTCTCCTCCCGCTTCTCTCTCCCCTCCCCTCTCCGCCTCTCTCTCTTCAGCCTGAACCCGATCATTCACCCAAGCTCGAACGTCGCTCGGCTCTAGATTCATACGATAAAGTCCCAACATTCGCGATCTCGCCTTTCTTCCCCTCAAAACTCGGCCCGAGTGGCATGTGGATGGTGGGCACTTGAGTCCCGCGGATATGCGACTTGATAACGAGCCAGCATCGGCGCAGAAAGAGCACGCCTCACTGCAGACCACCCCCGACCAGAGTTCAGCCCGGGATCAGAGCCAGATGGTCCTCCGTCAGACCTCGTTCCAGTCCATCTTCGGCGGCGGATCCGACAGCGCGGACGACTGTGATGCGGACTGCGACTCTGCTCAGCATGGGCCCCACAGTTACGCCGGTGCTACCTCGACTCCCGCAAAGCTTGCGGACGAAAATGTTGCCCCGTTCCTGGCGCGACACATTCCCGAACAATACGCCCCTCTAGGCTCGCGAATCGTCCAACCCGTTGATATCAGCAGCGCCAACTCCAAGTACTGCTATCGCCACCGACCAGACCTCAAGTGCCGACGCCAAGCGGACGAGCCGTCAATGGACAAGTTACAACGGGTGAGTCTAGTGAATCCCACGCCCGGCCCCCTCCTTCCCATTCTGCTGTCTGTTCCAGCGAGCTGACTCTGGGCAGGAACTCGAAACGCTCCCCCAGAGTGATCAGCAGGGCATTGCTCATGTCTGGTCGCTCTTCTCGGCCGCTCCGGCCAAGCACCGGAAACTGATTCTGCAGGGCATCATGTCTCAGTGCTGCTTCCCCCAACTCTCCTTCGTGTCGGCGACGGTGCGCGATCTAATTCGAATTGACTTTCTCACCGCCTTGCCGCCTGAGGTCTCTTTCAAGATCCTCTGCTACCTCGACACTACGTCGCTCTGCAAGGCCGCTCAGGTGTCACGGCGCTGGCGCGCTCTCGCCGACGACGACGTGGTCTGGCATCGCATGTGCGAGCAGCATATCCACCGCAAATGCAAGAAATGTGGCTGGGGTCTGCCTCTGCTGGACCGCAAGCGTTTGCGGGAATCGAAACGCGAGATCGAACTACGTGCGACAACGTGGGACATCAACGGCCCCCCCGCAATTTCATCTCCTGCCGACGATGCCAGCAGTCAGTGCACTGTCACCGAGGATACGGGCTCGGCCAAGCGAAAGATCGACTCGAGCGACGACGAAGACGACACGGCGGCGAAGCGGCAATGCTCGTCGTTGGTGACCCGATCCGAAACCGACGAGGATTACTTCAAGACCCGATACCGACCGTGGAAGGAAGTCTACAAGGATCGGTTCAAGGTGGGCACGAACTGGAAATACGGACGCTGCTCCATCAAGACCTTCAAAGGACACACCAACGGTGTCATGTGCCTGCAGTTCGAGGACAACATCTTGGCGACCGGATCCTACGATGCCACCATCAAGATCTGGGATACCGAGACCGGGGAGGAGTTGCGCACTCTGTACGGCCATGAATCCGGAATTCGGTGCCTTCAGTTCGACGACACGAAATTGATCAGCGGCAGTATGGACCGCAGCTTGAAAATCTGGAATTGGCGAACGGGCGAATGTATCTCCACCTACACCGGCCATCGAGGCGGCGTCATTGGTCTCCACTTTGATTCCACAATCCTCGCTTCTGCCTCCGTCGACAAAACGGTGAAGATCTGGAACTTTGAAGACAAGTCTACTTGCCTGCTGCGCGGACACACCGATTGGGTCAATGCCGTCCGAGTCGATACTACCTCTCGAACCGTGTTCTCGGCATCGGACGACTGCACCGTTCGACTGTGGGACCTGGACACCAAAACGTGTATCAGAACTTTCCACGGTCATGTGGGACAAGTTCAGCAGGTGGTTCCTTTGCCCCGCGAGTTCGAGTTCGAGGATCACGACGCCGAATGTGAGAACGACAATCTCAGCACGGTCTCGGGCGATATGGAGCCCGCCTCCCTGCAGGCGACTCTGGGCCTGGAGTCGAACACCCACAACTTCCAATTCTCCCCCTTTGGACCTTCTTTCGACAACGGACGTCCCACGCCACCTCGCTACATGGTCACCAGTGCCTTGGATTCGACCATTCGCCTGTGGGAGACCACCACGGGCCGTTGCCTGCGCACCTTCTTCGGCCATCTGGAGGGCGTGTGGGCACTGGGTGCCGACACTCTCCGGATCGTATCCGGGGCTGAGGATCGTATGGTCAAGATCTGGGACCCGCGAACGGGCAAATGCGAGCGCACGTTCACCGGCCACTCCGGCCCTGTTACCTGCATCGGCCTGGGTGACAGCCGCTTTGCGACCGGCAGCGAGGACTGCGAAGTCCGCATGTACAGTTTCCAAAGCTAGGGGCTGTTTCTTTTCTTTCCTAATTTTTCTTCTCTTTTCATGACCATATGTGACAGATCTTCTGCGGAGATCCTTGTGCTCTTTTTTCTTTCTTCCTTTTTATTTCTTTTATACCCCGATGGGCACGAAAATCCTTTACCGGCCTCGTCAAGTTTTTCTTGTTTTGCGGAAAAGGGGTATCATCTCGGGGTTAATTTAGGGTTTCTTCAGCGTCTGTCTGTCTTCGTTGGGATGGGGAAAAGGTTTCGGCGTCACGGATTGAAATTATGTATCTACCTACATAATCATGAACGCTTCAACGCGTATCTAATACATGGATTGGATTTTCATCCCTTTAATAGCACCTATAGCGCTCTTCGAGAAGAATCTCCATAAGGTACTACAAAGCATGTGCTAAAAGACACCGACATGCATTAACGATGATTCAATTCATGAGCTACTTACTGCCATTGAAATCTGATAGTGAAAACAGCCCGTGATGATGAAATATTGATGAAGATCCTGCCTACCAACGCCCAGCGTTCTCGATCTCCACGTCTCTAGAAAGGGAGAACGAGTGGAAGGAAAAACTGCACTAGCTGAAGCACATATTAAAACACCGTGTTAATTACCGAACGACAATCTTGTCAACCTCGTCTTTGGCCTCCGTCCATGTTTCGAGATTTTTCCTCGCCCAGTCAAGGTGACAGCGCGCGTAGGCAACCTAGAAAAGCCGGTCAGTCTTGCTGAGGGGAAATCTCGATCGAGCCACATAACGTACCATATATCGTCGTAGATCTGTCTCCTTGTCCTTCTGAAAACGCTTTAAGTCATGCAAGACCCCCGTGCTTGCGTCTTTGACGTCATTCTCGGACACCTTCAATGCTTCTTCCAACTGCAAATCGAGTCATGTTAGCTTAGTTGAGGTGTAACGGAATGGGAGGGATGGGATAAATACCTGAATTAGGCTCTCCCTGGTCTTTCCGATTTGATCGCGTCGGGTCCGCTCCGGGTCCACGTCGACAAAGCCATGGACGGCGTGACTGATGCGACCAAAGAGCTTGTTGCTCATGAAGGTTCCGCTGGAAGTTTTGCGGTGGGCCGGAGTGGACTGTCCAGCTTCGGGTTTCCGCGAGGGGGACACCGGGGCAGGGGGCTGGTGAGAGCCGATTGACTCGCCGTGCGTTGGGGGGAAGTCCGAATCGATGGCGGCAGTATCCTCCGGTCCACTAGGCTGGGCTTCACCATCATGGGTACCGGGGGCGCTGGTGGCCGACGAGGTCGACAGGGATCGCTGAGGCTTGGTCCCTGCGCCGTGGGGGGTTGAACGGTTAAGATATTGCTCGATGCGCTTTGCTTCCATCTCACTTCTCTCCAGAGAGTCAAGAAGGGTTCTCTTTTTCACCAACTCGTCTCGGGTCATCTCCTCCTGTACCCGCTTCAGAACTCGGTATCGCAAGACGCTGCGGACGACGCTGGCAAACTGGGCACTTTCCCTCATGGGTTCCGCAAAGTTTGCGCCCAACGAGCTGGACAGCTCCTCTGTCTCAATGTAGGACGTGTCCGCCGCCTGGCCAACGCGCTCAATGGCTGCGGCGACGGTGGGTGATTGTTCAGACAACGAAAATCCATTGTACCGGGCTCCCAGCTCCATCAGATCCGCAGATAAGGAAGAGAGATGCGCCAAAGTCCGTCGGTTCACCTTCTCAATGTTTCCTTGAAGAAGTAACTCCAGCTCCCGGGTGGAGGCTTCAAAGTTGACAAAATAGGGGTCAAGATCCTTCTCGCTCAACTTGCGCGATTCGGGCGGGAAGCGACCCAGAACGTCGGGACCGGGTGCCTCTGTGGTTGGGGAGGTGGCCGTCGGCGCCGCACCGGACGCATTCTTGAGTTTCGAGGAGGCGGAAGGGACAGGTAGCCAGGCGTGTGCGGCTGTAGGGTTGGCAGGATCGAGTGGCGGAGCTTTGAGATTGTTCTTAGGCACGGAGGAAGCAGGGTGGGAATTAAGGACCTCATTCTGGTGTGGAGTGTTAGCACGGAGGGGGACGAGGGAGGCCAGAAGCAACCTCCCGTGGCGGACGTTATACATACCCAGCTAACATTGGGATCCAAAAACCTCCACCACACCCCGTCCTCTCGGATTTCCTTCATCGTACGACACCGGTTCAAGAAGACGGCCAGCATTCGCTTCCGGAGCTCTATGATGGCCGTATCTTCTTTGGCTTTGGTGGGCTTCGCAGCATAATCGGCCATGGTGTGTTTCTCGGGAATGGGCGGGACAACGAGGGTGGGATGGAGGTTCACCAGGGTCTGGCGCAGCGAAGCGAATTCCGAGTACCTCCGACGCACTTCCAAATCCTGGGATTCATCTGTCAGTCTGAATGGTTCGAGGCGCCTGGAGTTGATGATCTGCATACTCCAGTCCGTATGGTGTACACTATGTAGCCCCCGCCGCTCTCGTTGTTCTTCCCGGCGTCCGTGATGAGGATCGGCATCTCCGGATTCTCATACAAAATCTGCTCTATGCGGCTATCGTACACGCTCTTGCGGAGGTAACCCTGTCCCGGTTGCTGGGTCCCGTAAGTTCCGTCGTTGTCATCGTCGTCGCTGAAATCGCGTTGTCGCTCCAAGTAATCCGGCGGGTCCTGGGTGGACGATCGGCTGGAAGGCGACGGAGGGGTGTAGTCGCGGTCGTAAAGAGCTGCGGTGGTCAGACAATGAGCAAGCAGGGACTCTTATGGGCCAAGGACGCAATGGGGAGCCAATCTTACGGGAGGCAAGCGTGGCGGAATGGAGGGATTCTGACAGATGGGCCTGCTCGTCGAATGCGCCGTAGGGGTTGTTATCCTCGTCGTTCCACATGGTTGGCCGAGAGGCTGGGTCCAGGCAGGCTACAATCCCAGGAACCGCGGAAAGCTCAATGGAGTAGGAGCCGGTGGGGGAAGGAAATAGTGGAAGGAAGGACCAGCTAGAAAATTGAAGTAGGAAGCACTAACGATGCGACGCGGCGAAAGGGAGAAGGAGAGAAGCGAGGCTGGGGGGAGAAACAATAAGCAGAAGGAGGAAAGGCGGCGGCCTGGAGATTCGCGGGGGGGAAAGAAAGAGACGTCACTGACTGCGGCGGGCCGGAGCGACCACTTGCGCATCGTCTTGATTCCTCAGGCAGCACTTTTCATACTTCGCAAGTCACCGACTATACGAAACTACCGTCGTTACAACCTCCTCACCACGCCGAGTCTGGCCTCTGCTCCGGATGATCATCATTCCGTTTTCCTTCCGCGTCCCATCCCTTCGCTTCAATCTCACTGTTTCCTCCACTCGCATTGGATCTCCGATCGCCTTGCGCCGAGCTGCTGTTTCCTTCCGCCGACCATCCCGACGTTGAGCCCGCCGGCTGGTCCGTCGAGTCTCCTCCTTCGGCTTGCCATTCGTTCTCGCTACCACTTGCTTGTCCAGACGATTCAGCAGCCGCATTGTCCACACCTCCCCAGTCCTGGCCATCAGCAGCAGTAGTCACTGTAGTGGTAGACGTAGACTGATTGGTTTCGGGCTGCACGGCGCCATCCGAGCTACCCCATTCCAGTGTGGAGGAACCCTGGTCTTGAGCTTGATTCTGGTTGTCCGTATCTGTGTTCTCCTGCTCATGCTGCTGATTGTCTGAAGACCATCCTTGCGGTTGTGACTCCTGTTGCTGTGAGCGTTGCTTTGGTTTCGGCGGCGGCTGTTTCTTTCCACTCCCACCCTTGGCCTTCTTGTCCTTGTTCTTCGGACCGCCCTTAGCCTTGGGAGGTCGAGAGGGGGGTGGCTGTCCTCGAGACCTTTCCTCTGTTGCCCGGCGTGGTTGCGTTGCTCCACGCTCCAGTCTCCGTATTCTCACCGTGGCACTCGATTCGAATAGCCGTTCGCGAACTTCGGACCGCCAGCGAAGTGAGTAAAGCCAACCACAGCCACAGCCTAACAGGGCCACGAGAACGACGATGGCAATGACGATGTTGCTGTTCATCGGAGACGGCTGGATGGAACCTAGTGGGAACGTGAGTGGACTGTTCGCAAGGGGCGGGGGTGCTTTCTTAGATTGGCTGGGGAAGGGAACCTTTTGAGTCTGTAAGTGTTGCTGCTCTGGGCTTGTCGAGGAATGCAAGCAGGATGGCAAAGAGACAGTAGAATAGCTAAGGGATAGGGGTACGGGGGGTTGAAGTGAATGGAGGGGCCAATGGCACCGACAATTTGTGTAGGTGAATTGAATGTGCCATGCCCTCCTGCTGAGAGCCACGCAAGTAATCATTAACAGAACGACCGAACAAGGGCCGACAGGAAAGAAAGTCTTTGTCTATAACTTTTATCTAATCCAATCATCATAAGATATCATGAAGCGTCTACTGCCCGCTGAATCCTGGAAAGCCAGTCAACATGCAATGACACTGCTTTACCGTGCATGTAGAGCAGCTGTAACTTCTCCTTCAATGTCTGCCCGTCGCCACCAAGGCTCTTAGAGGCAGGGAACCCGGGCGATGCCATCACGGCTGCGAGCTCGATCAGACGGACACCCAAAGTAAACGTTTCGGGTTTTGTGGTCCAGCCGAGAAATCCATCCTTGCCCGACCCAGAACCATCCACCACCAGCTCGATGAGGTACGATAGTCCGTCGGAAACCCATTGACAGACAGACCCGGTCAAGCGGGCATCGTACGAGCTTGCTGCTAGTTTAAGCAGCTGCCCAGACCATCGGTTAACTTCGCGGACCTCGTCGATGAAGAGGTTCTGTTTCTCTTCCTCGAAGAGGGTGGTACTTTCTTTCATGTACTCAGAAACCAAGTCTGAAACTGGAGCCAGGCGTTTCCTTTCGGTCGATCCGCCGATTCGGGACTCCTGGCCTGTGGTGTACCGGATCATCCGGCTGCAGAGGAGATGTGACCCAGCGTAATTATCGACAATGAATTCAGAAAGAAGTTGACTAGCATTGAAGGGGGAGAGTGTGACAGCCTTGAACGATGTGACGGGGGAATACGAGAGCACCCATGAGGCGGTTAAGGCGGCAAGGTCGCGCAGTTCCTCGTCATCGTCATTCAGCATGTCATATAGAATCAAATATGGTTCTAGGAAGAATGTCTCTGCCACAGGGGCCTTGCCTGGGGAACGGAGCACGCGCCCAAATGCGGTGAGGGAGGCAACCGCAGCATGGCGGGTCGTGAATTCCTTCAGTGTCGTTAGCGAAAGCATACATAGAGCATAGAATCCTACATGGACGGTTATAGAGGCTTACCGTTTCCTCCTGCATCGCAAATCGAAGTTTGATGGCCCACCTAGTGACGTCCTCCTGTAAATTCTGGCATTGGTTTGCAAGAACCTTGGCGGCCAAGAGGCATCCCTGAAGACGCAGTTCCGCATCGGATCGAACCCGGTTCCAAATGGGTGCCGCTGGACCAGGGTTGATTTGCCTGTCTAAAGCTTCCCACGGAAGTACAACCCCTCCTATATTATCGAGGCCGAAATCGAGGACACTCTCTAGGCAAGATGCTAAGCTGTCAATCGCCGATGACTTGACATCCTCGGGGTAGGCCCCTAATATGACGACTGAGTAGAGGCGAAGAAGGGTGTTGCGGTTTCCAGCATTTTGGCCAAATGTTTCCTGCAGCTGTTCAAGAAGCCAGGCGCCGACATTGGCATCAAAACAGGAAACCTTCAAAATGAATGCCTCCAACTCCTCGTTGGACTGATCTGTGCCAAGCATCCGCAGAACCGCGGCCCATGCTAGCGCTCTTCTTAGGAGAGAGGCTGCGCGCGTAGTGCTCAACGATTTCCACGACGGATGCGAAGAATCGAAAATGAAATCCAAGACATCATAGAGCGAGTGTGTGTCAAAAATATCGTTTAGGGTGGCAAAGAAGGTTTCTAGAACGGGTTCTTAGCCAGAGATTAGCTATCAGATGGGGTATTTCTTACTTTCAGCTCCAACTTCGAAGCTTTTCACCACAGACTCGGTCAGGGCCTCCACCAAAGCAGTGGCAACAAAGGGCGAATCGGCCAGCGGGAAAAGCACAGCAAATAAGTGCTTAATAAAAGATGATAACTCATCCACGTGTTCTATGTCTGTGTCAATAGAATGTGTTGTAGCTTCAGTACAGGTCAACATACCGTTCCAGAGTGAGTTAGAGACAAGGGCGAATCTACGTAGCGCATATTGCACACAAAGAGCCTTTCCGTGGAGCAAGTCCTGGGATTTCGACTGCGCGTCAGCATCAACAAGTGACTTGATGTCCTTGATGATTTCGGCGCGATTCAGAATCGATGCATAAACCCGGGCAGCGTGCTCCCTGATACCCCAAACAGGGCTACTGAATTGTGTCTTGACCAGTCCAAGAATCAGGCTATCATCGACATCGTAAACATTCGGCACCTTCTCGGCAATGAGCTCCAAGGCTGGGAACACACGCTCCGTAACAACGGAATGGTCATCCTGCTCGGCGATATTCCGTGTATCTTCCTCGGTGAGGAGAGTCGATAGTAGCTGGATTAGGCCTGGGTACTTCTGGAACGAAACACGAGCTCCAGGCTCCGACCCAGATTTGCCACCGAATCCTAAGCCAGTTCCCGTGCGGCAAATACGCGTCAGTAAAGCCCGGAAGAGCATCAGTCCGCAGTTGCGAAGCGCCCATCTAAATTATAGTCAGCGTCCAGTTTCGTCACATGGAACTTTTGGTGCGATGTGACATACATGGGAGATCCAATTCGTTCAGCGGACAAGGTTAATGCAGGCATAATGAAGGCCTCAGTGAAAGCCCCGAACTTGTTGTTCGTAAAAATGTCCTTTAGACAATTCATGGCATGTACTTGAGGTAGTTCCAGCTCTTGTTTGTCACTGTCATGGGAAGCCGGTAAATGAGAGATTTCGTGAAGGTCATCAACGACCTTTTGGAAGAGCAGCCCTCCCGGTTGTGCTGAAACGATACCAGTGATCAGAGCTGGTAAACCGGCTGATCGGCGAGTAAGTTTGGAAGCTGTCTCGAATATAATCTTCCTAGCATCCTATTTCCGGCAGATTAGCTCCCGCTGCGGTCATTCATACTCCACCTGAAACCACTCACCTGATACCATCGGTTCGGAAGGTCGGAAATCTCTGAATTGCTAGACTGTCCGCACCGCAAACAACAAGTGGCGAAGGTCTGAGACACGGTCGAGAAGGCTCCTCTGTGACGGAGTTCGGCAAGCTGCGTAAAGCTGGTTGTCCCAATCTTCTCGTAATCCTCATAGGTCAAACCCGACAATCCCTGCGGGCCGTATGTGGAGTTTGCTAGGGTCGCATGGAGAAGGAGACTGCCTGCGTCAGTAATGTTGGATTGAGACACGAGATCATAGAGGAGATAGGTACCTCGATTCTCGCAGAGCACGCCAGGAGTAAGACAGGATATCCTTCGGTCCGACAGAAAGCCCTTCGGCGGGTTCATCACTGTGTCCTTCTGGGGAATCGATGCAGAGCACAGGTTTGACTTCGCTCCAAATCTTGTCGCAGATAAACACAATCCTCGCGTGCGTAGACCGCCAGTTCTCGTGACTTGGCGATTCAGGGTCGGAAATTAAAACATGAAAATCCGTCATTGCAACAATATATCTGAGAGCGGAAACGTGTCCGTGGAGTGGCGCATCACGCAGGTGGTATTTCACAATAGCCCCCGAAACAGAAAGCTTGGCTTCTAGTCTCTTCAGAATGGCATCAACCACGCCAATCTTTGTTTCCCACCACTGCGAGGTGTCGGAAGTATTCCGCTGCGCCGCACAGAACAGGATGTGATAAAGACGAGCAACGGTGTCCGCATAATCCGCACGGCTAGTCCTGCTCGCCATTTGCTCTGCCGTGACCAACGCGCTTAGCAGCTGTGCCTTGTCCGAGGCGTTGCTACCCGGTTGAATGCCATCACCGAGTAAGAGATCGCGCGGGAACAGATTCACTATTGAGAGAGACCTAGCTCGCACTTCCTCAAAGGGATCGAGAAGCAAATCAACCAGCAATCGCAAAAGACTAGGTTCGAAGACTTCGATGTTCATTCTCCATTTGGCGAAATTCCCTTCGTTTTTGCTGACGATGCTTCCTTCAAAACGAGCATCCAGGCCAGACTCCAAGAGGAGAATCAATGTTTTCAAGGACGTGATATGACGAGGGTAGGATGCCGTGGGCTGCAGGTCTGTCTTCAGGAAATCCAGGTATTCGGTCAAGCAGGCCCGAGTTTCCGGATCATCGCGCGCAAAGTTGGGGGGCTGCTTCTTGTTTGCCGAAGCCATCACCTCGGCCCAGTTCTGTTCACTGCTCATGATACCACCTTTTAGGCGAGGGATCAATTTACGTATAATGCTCAGTATTTCCCCTCGAGAATAGGCATCTGATTCGGCGTGGAAAGAGGGAAGTCCCTTCAAGATAGCCCTCATGGTAGCAGACGAGAATGGTTTCGTAGTGGCATTGGCCGTTATGAGAAGCGACAAGGCAGCTATTCTGATGCTGAACTCTCGGTGGAAGAGAAACTGCCCGATCACTTCGCTCTTCAGAATCAAATCGTCATCGTGTGCTCCATTCCTGGCAGCGGGGCCTTTGGGGGAAGTATCTAGACGATGGTAAGGGAGAAGTCGTTTCGACGGAATAAACAAAGCATGGGCACTTACGATCTTCATGGACCAAGCCAATCTTCTTGGCCATCTGCAACGACGCGAAGAGAAGAGAAAGTTCGTCAACCGGGGCATCATGCATGTCACCAGTCAAGAGGTTCTCCAACGGCAGTTGGTTTAAAAAGCGTCTGAAGCCAGCCGGATCAATACTGAACAGAGGGTGTAGGAAGTAAGAGGATATGGGCTCAAGGAGATGCATGTTCTGCAGAATGACATGTCTAACTGGGGCAACCCAGACTGACAGCAAACTTTGCACATACTCGCGCGAGTAGCGGGTTTGGGGCAAGGTTTTCAGCTTCTGGAAGAAAGCTGTCATTGTGTCTCCGGGTCCCGCGGCCAGCTCGAAGCTTTTTGCCTGGGCCATTAGAGCCAGCACGAACACCTCCGCAGCCGTCCGTTGCGAACCCAGGCTGTCCGATCCATCATTGGAGGTCCGTTCGGAAAACTGGCTTACATCTATCGAAAGAGCTTTACAATCCTCTTGGAAGAGAGGAATCCATCGGCCTGCGTTTTCCTGAAGCCAATTCTGAACCATTGTGATGAGCTCAATAGGCGAAACGGCGTTCTTGCGGACCAGAATCTCCAGCGTAACGAGACACGCCTTGAGCTGAGAACGACGCTCGTTCAGTACGATGCTGGGCATCGTGGCATTGATCACCCGCGACTTGATGAACTGTCGGTCATCTTCGGCCAAGTTTTTGCTTAGAAGAGTCACCAAAGACTCTAGTAGCTGCTTCATCGGCTTGGGCTTGCCGTCCTTGAAGCGAATCAAGAATACCTGGAATACCGATAGCCAAGTCTCGCGGGACAGCACCAGCCGTCTCGTGCCCTCGCACTTGGAGATCCGCGCTGCGTCGAGGAACGCACTCAGCGTGTTGCAAGCCACCGAGGTATGAGCATGCGAGATGGATGCCGTCGCAAATGTCTTCAGCAGACTTTGCCATACGCAGCTCACTTTTCTATTGCCAGGGAATTAGGGCTCATTGTCCACCGACGGAGATATAGTGGAACTTTTACAACAAAACCACAGGGCACTTACTCTATGTAATCACACGACTGCATGAATCGGCCCAGCGGTCCTTTGCTGATCTCCAGCATGGTTTTCTCGGGAACGAGCTGTATGCATTGCGCTATCTCGTCCATCTGGAGGGATCCCGCGTCGCCGGGGACGCCGGACACTGCTTGGCTCGTCATGGCGTTACCGATGCGACATGCCCGTAGCCAGCACTACACCGTAATGGTAGATAGAAGTATGTCTAGCCGATAATCGACATTCGATAATCGATAGTTCAATGATCCCCGCGATTTCAATTTGCCCTCTTGTGGATTTTGCCGGTGGGACCCCCAAAGCGGGTTAGCGCCGGTCAAACGCTGTTCCGCGATCCGCCGAGCCGCCGCCCCCGTGACTCGCCGGTCACGGGGCTGAAGTTTTTGTTCCTCGACTTTGCTGGGAGCAAACTGAGGTTATCCGTGAAACTCGTGCCGGCTGGCTGAATCGACCGTCTCATCCCCCCTTCCCCACCCATTTTCTTTTGTTTCTTGACTGTATTCTTTTAATTTAATATTTTCTCCCACCCTCTTCTTCTTCACAATGTCCATCTGGGATTCGTTCGGTGGCCGCAAGCAGTCCAAGGGCCCCGAATTCGACGCCTCGTCCGCCCCGGATGCCAGCTCCTTCTTCTCAGACGTCGCCATCCCCGACCCGACGCAGCTTCATCCTCTGTCCGGCTTGAACCAAGATACCCTTGACTACATTACTCTCGAAGATTCCGCCCTCGACGAGCTGCCCGGCTCGCGATCAGTCCTTCCGTCCCGAGGATGGTCCGACGACCTGTGTTACGGCGCCGGCACCACCTATCTCGCTGCGCTGACTGTGGGAGGAGCCTGGGGTCTGGCCGAAGGATTGAATAAGACCCCCGTGACCGCGCCCCCCAAGATTCGACTGAACGGCGTCCTGAACTCGATCACGCGACGAGGTCCGTTCCTCGGCAACTCCGCCGGCGTGGTAGCCATGGTATACAACGGTTTCAACTCCGGGATTGGCTATGCTCGCGGCAAGCACGACTCTGCTAACAGCATTGTGGCCGGTGCCTTGAGTGGCATGATTTTCAAGAGTACCCGGGGCCTGAAGCCGATGATGATCTCCGGTGGCATCGTGGCGACGATCGCCGGTGGCTGGGCGGTTTGTGCACCCTGGCTTGTTCTTAAATCTCTCTCGCTCCAATGGTATTGATCGCTAACTGAGGAACAGGTCGTGAGAAAGACTTTCTTCTAATCGCCAACTTGCCCGAATCCCTCGCAGAACGAGCCGAGTCAACCTCCTTATGTCCACCGTCGTTTTCAGCAAAGCGGGAGGGTGTTGTATTATTTAACTCTTCGTTTTTTTTTTTTTTTCTTCTTTTTCTTGTTCACGCTGTATTAGAACGATTCTTTTTTCGTCCTCGAATATCTTCGCTCCGGCGCTCGAAGCATCTTGATTTTTGCACAAATTCTCCATGGTTGGGACCGGCATGGTAATGGGTTTTGATAGCTTTTCCTGTACATATAGCGGTCTGCTGCGGTCTTTCATGGGCTGGGAGCTTTCAATGAAACTTATAAAAGGTGATGCAAAATCCAGACTGAGTGGCGTGTTATAAAGATGCGATGATGGAAGAGACTTCGGAGTATATATTTTGACTACCTGCTTACCTTGCTGGGGAAGTTGCACTACTTCCCGATTAAAGGTGCCTATCAATTTAAAATGCAACTTATCTGGCATCTTCAAAATGAAATTAAACAAAAACCATTGATAGGCCAATAAGAAAGTGCAGATCAGGCACGGCTCTGCAATCACGTCATCACTTGAGGCGCGACTCCTTCATCACATCTTCCTTTCCTTCCCATTCCACTACTTCACTCCGCCCGTACATAATTCTCGCGTTTCCACAGAGTATGGGTCCGGTCCCCTCTTGACGTTGATGGCTGGGTCTTAGAGCACAGACAAAATTATGGACTCCTTGGCTCGCCGGGGTGAGACAACAACCTAAATGATCCTGCCTCTCTAGCGGTCTAACGTCAGTTAACAGTCTCAATGTTCGTTCTTGCGCAGGGATCAAGGCGCTTTGACAGTTAATAGGAGGCCATTGGCTCTTCAGGAGTGTTCAATTTCACGCAAACGGCCACTGCATCTCTTCTCTCCGACTATTCCGGTTCCTTTCCGACGGGAGTTGGCGAGATAAACAGAGGGCATCTAGCATGCCTATGTGCTGCTTCTTAGGTTCCCGATCCTTCATCTGACGTTGAGAGTCGGACAAGGACGCTCCTGCCCAAGATGGCCACCAGAAACAGCGAATTTCCGACATTTTCATGTCCCTTCCCACCATCCCGGCCTGGGACCGGCGAACCCAGAGCCGACCTCAGATCCTTTCGCTATCCATACTTCCGACGCTATGCCAAAATGTCCCTCCTACTGGGCCTGTTTACCTTCATCATTTTCGCTGCGCGCCGACGTCCTGGACCGGTCCTACAAGACCCTATGCTATCGCCTGGCGTAGCACCACCCTCGGTGCCCGCAGAAGCCTTTGCGCCCGCTCGTGGAACGGACCTACAAATCCATGACCCCAGTATTCTGAAAGTGGGCGAAACCTACTACAGTTACAGCGTTGGGAAACACCTAGTTATTCACCAAGCTCCGTGTCTCAGCGGTCCCTGGGAACGGACAAAGACCGTGCTGGAAACGGAGAGCATCATTCTCAAAGGCGACCGCAAAGCCCCTTGGGCTCCCATGACGATTGAAGTCGACGGGACATTTTATTGTTACTACGCCGTGAGTTTTGCCGGGTGTCGCGACAGCGCGATCGGGGTGGCCACGTCGAAATCGCCGGGACCCGGAGGCTGGACCGACCACGGCAGCATCGTGCAATCCGGCACGGGGCCGGGATCAGCCAAACACCCTTACAACGTGTCCAACGCGATCGATCCGAGTGTCTTCGTCACCGACACTGGCCAGGGATACCTGACCTGGGGCAGTTACTGGACCGGTCTCTGGCAGGTGCCCCTGTCGAAAGACCTACTTTCCGTCGCCAGTAGTGAGGGGTCCGAGGCGCGCCATCTCGCCCACGAACCAAGCGCCATCTTTCCCGGACGAAAGAAACTCAAGAATACACTGTGCGGAGACCCTACGGGTGGCCACCCGGTCGAAGGAGGGTTCATCTCCTATCACGCGCCTTATTATTACCTCTGGTTCAGCTGGGGAAAGTGCTGCAAATATGACCCGAAGAACTTACCAAAGCCGGGGAAGGAGTATCATATTCGTGTCGGGCGATCGCTTTACCCCCGTGGGCCTTTTGTCGACAAGACCGGCCGTGACCTGGTCGACGGTGGAGGTGAAGTCGTGTACGGCTCGAATCGAGATGTGTATGCTCCCGGTGGGCAGGGAGTTCTGACGGAGGATGGGAAAGATACCCTTTATTATCATTTCTGTGAGTTGCTTCTTGCTAGTACGAGGAAGCGCGAGGGTGCAACTAACCGGTTTGCCAGTAAACACGACAATAAGCTATGACTTTTGGGTAAGCGTGACCGTTCTTATGCTTTGGGTCCAAGATCCTAACGTCCCGCACAGGAAGCTCGACTGGGCTATAACCCCTTGGAATACATAGACGGCTGGCCCGTTGCCGCATGAGCTAGATGGTTGGATGATAGACTTGATGAGAGGGATTGAATTCATGGTCAGAACACACATGGCTTCGATAGACGTGCATTAGGTATAAATTAATCAAGCTGTTCATATGATTAAACGTCATATTCTATCTGAGTACAAAGTGACGTAGAAAGCCACCCGATTCGTGACTCCAACAACTCCTATATCATCCAGAAGGAAACGAACTCACGTCAAGTACAATAAACATATACAGATCATCATTCGTAACAAGCCAAACAACCATAAGAATCCCACTTGCGAAGTCCTAATCACTCAGCGCGCCACCCCGGCGAAACGACGTCCTCGCGCGGTTCACACTCGGTCTGAGGCCGGCGAACAGCGACGATCCCGAAGACGACAACGTGCGGAACGTGGCCACCACCGTATCGGACTTACGTTTCGGCGGTCGAGCCAGCGTCTTGGCTGGCTCTTTCTCCTCAGGAGTAGGAGCATCGTTAGCGCGTTGATCGGACTCCTCCGTCTTAGACACAACCGGCGAATCGGGCTGTCGCTCCGGGGAACTAATCTGATCGAACGGATCACCCTGCGACTCTGACCGGGGAATCGGCGTTAAGGGATACTCCGGATGGGTAGCGAGAGGAGTCGTGGCCTTGGGGGTCGGCGTCGAGGTCGTGACACTAGGACCGAGATCGAGGGTGCTTATATCGCTGTTGTCGCTTTCCAGGCCGTAATTCCATCCGCCATCGTTCTCGCTCGCCTTCTCCGGCTTAGAGGAAGAGGGACAATCACGCGGCGTGTATGCGTTTGTGGGGGTGATATCCTCACTCTCTTCGGATCTCTTGAGAGGCTGAATAGTGGACGTGGAGGATGACGGCGACGGTCGGTTTTCGTCGCGACGCTCACTTTCAGGGCTGGGTGGTTTGAAGATCGACCCGGAGCCGGAGTAGGAGCGCGAGAAGGAGGTGAGGATCCTTGGAAAGACCATGTTGGCAATCTGAAAATACTTGCTAGATTCTGGATCATATATCTTGCCGAAGAAAACGTGCGAAGTAGATAGAGCTAGAGAACAGGATGCCGCCCATCGATCGTTTTATATCTCGAGAAGACACTAAGCCTACAGGTAAGCAACGATTACTCACAAGAAGTGACTGACCATCTCAGATGATTGGCGCAACACGAACTGCGCCTGGCACGTTGACTGGGTTCCTTGTTTCGTTTCTGTCGTGGGATCTCCGGTGTACGACTATCAGATCATTCAGCCCGCCCATCAGAGACCGGATCTTGTGAGACAACTAGGCTGTACTTTCTAGGTAGCTGTTCTGTGTTTGCGTGGCTTTGCCTGCTAAGGTAGTCAGTCAGCGTAGGGAGACTCTACGGTAGCAAGGACCAACGGGAATAGGTTCGAGGAGTGATTGTGGCTGGTTGCCAAAGGACATCAGTTGACAATGACTATTGACCAAGCTAGAGGGACCACATTCCCCCGAAACATGAGAGAAGAAACTGATCGGAATCATCACGTCTATAAGAAGGCAGAAATGTGTCAGTCGATCAGATGCGGTCAGCTGATCAGATGACGGCGTGGCCTGGGATCATCTGATCTGGGGGATGACGGGCCTTCAGGATTTCTCTTTTGTATCAGAAAGCTAGTAGCAGGAATGCTTGTGGGAGCTGCGAAGCGAAAGCTGACGCTTGCAGCCGAGCGTGCATCAAAACCACGTTATGTATATCTGTAGCATACACACACTCAAGTATGGCTCTACTGACAGTCAATACAGGAAAAATCAGCCGGCTTTTAGACAAAAAAGAACAAAAGAAAACAAAAAATTTAGTCCCGCCGGACTTTATACAGCGCCTTTTCTGTGCCTCCTGTCCTTGCGAATCACAGTGTAAATGCATAAATGGTCTGTGTAGGGAATACGAAAAAGAAATAGCATGAGGAGTACTCCGTGTCGCAGTCCTCCTCTTTATCCCACGCCCACATATGCACTCGGAATCCCGAGATGGAGATGATAATCATACGGAGACCGGCATGTTGAGACTTCCATCAGAAATCATCGCCACGCCGGTAGCCACCAAAGATAGATAGACAGCATCGGGAAATGAGAGAAAAAAAACAAAACAAAAACAAAACATGATTTATGTATTGGCGGTGCATTGATTGGGTTTCCAAAAGGGACGAGAAAAAGAAAAAGATATCACAGAAGACCAGAAGATTATAAAGGCCTAGTTCTAATCGGACACTATCCGATCTTCATCGTTCACTCGTAGCTCCACCACGGGCAGTTCGTCGTCGTCGTCGTCATCATTGTCGGCTTCCAATAGAGGAGGAATATCTTGGAATGCACTCTCCTCGATCGGCGTGCCCGGATATGCCGCGCCGGGGCCCGGACTGTCGGTCAAGGCGGCCAGTCGGAGGTCCGAGTCGCTCATGTCTCCTCCGCCAACAGCCTTGTTGCTGGCGGTGTCGTCGTCAAGCAGGTCATCGTCGTCATCAAAGGTGGATCCCGGCAGCGCTGTGGTCATCTGTGAAGAAGAAGGGCCGTGAGCTTGGTGGACTCGGTTGAACGACCACGAGGGCGGACTTGGGAAACCGAAGGGGTTGGATAGTCCTCCATCACCAGACTCCTCGTCGTCCTCGATATTCATACCTTCCAGTCGATTGTTCTTATCATTGCTGCTGAGGCTCTTCTCGCCGCGCGTCGGGTTGGTGGAGTACTCAGGAGGCGACTCGTCACCGCCGCGGTTCTTCCCGGGGGTTCCAACCTGCAAACCACCATCTCCCTGGCGACCTGCTCCGGCTCCGGTTGAGGCGCTCGACGACCCATTGAGGGAGGAGCCGCCGAGACGCCGGCCGTCCCCCGACGGTGACTGTCCGCGAGACTCGCTGACCGAGCCCGACTCACTGGGTGGTCGCGTGGACGACTCCGTGATCTCCTCCAGGATTTTGCCGCCCAGCGGACGATCCGATCGTCGACGGTAGAAGAGGAGGTAAGCCGACGAGGTCACCACGCTCTGGGGGTCAAGAGGTCGCGAAACAGAGGAATCTATACGCGTTAGTCACAGGGGAATTGCGCCGTCGATCGAGCACAGACATATAAAAAAAAAACTTACCGTTGTATTCGTTCCACTGGCCCGTCATGAAGTTCTTGGCGTACGCCGTATAATGACCTCCTCCCAGTCCACCGTAGTGATTATCGACTGCAAAGAGGTCGTAGATCAGGCCCTTGCCATCTTCAGGGGCTTCCACTCGGCCAGTCATGTCCAGACCCTCCACGGGGAAGTCTACCAAAACGTCCAGCTTGTCCCGGAAACCCCGGCTGGCGCTGAAGCGCTTCAGATGCATGACGAGAATATCCGGCGTCTTCCAGAGCTCGAACTTCTTGCTGGCACGGCGATGTTCCTTGCAACGGGGGCAGTACCACGCATCGTTCTCCGAAAGAACTTCCTCCTTGTTAAATTCGTCCAGACACTCGTCGAGGGTCACTCCCTTCTTCTTGCGTATCTGCCGCAATTGGCGCCGTTTGGTCAACTCGGGGTCTGGAAGACGGTCGACATCGTTCCAGGTTGGGGCCCCGCGAACGGAGTCCCTGTCCCTGAGCTTTCCGGTGAACAGAGCATCATAAATATCTTCATTCCAGTCTAACACGATTGCCTCACCCGGACGGATGAGGGGGCGCTCCTGAACCTGTTTCTGGGGACGCTTGGCGGGTGGAGCGGCGTCGGATTCGCTGTCCGATGCATTGTCATCCACGTCTTTGTTGGCAGCCGCTTGAGGGTCGCTGGGCGCTTCCGACATCGACTCAGGCTATGTATACCTTTATCAGCATGTTGTACTTTGTGAAAATAAGAGTATTGGGCCAACAACTACTCACCTCCTCCGCAACAGCGGGCTTCGTCTTGATTCGCCATGACATCCGGGGGTACTCCTTGTTATCCTCAATCGCGGAGAACCCGATGGGGACAGTCTCGTTGCTTCGGATCAGCTTGATTTCAAACAGATTGCGCAGGCGCGAGGGAATTGAGCTTTCGGTGGAGTCGGCATCCTGAGAGGCGTCAGGCGCATCCCGCATGGAAACGTCCACCATTCCTTCCTCGCCATCCACGGAGGTCGTCTTGATCTTGGAGTCGGCCGACTGAGCATCGTCCTCGTTCATGACCGAGATGTCCGAATCTTCCGGGCCGGTCTCGTCCGACGAGGTTTCTGGGGCCTGCTCATTGAGGATGTCCCGGGTCGTCATGGGGGCAACGTCTAGGAGAAGCTTTTTATAGATAGCGTCCCAGCTATAGACATCCTCGCGGTCAACGATGATAAACGAAGGGACTCCGAAAAGCGTCCGTTGGGCGCTCTTGGGGTTGTTCCCTTTCGGCCGCTCCACTCGGTTGAAGACAGAGACGAGCAGGCGATCGGCCTTGGGCGAGTCGATTTCCGGGATCTCGTCACGATCGGAACGACTGAACGAGTGGAAACTCCTTTGGGGCTTGTCCGGGTTGTAGTTCGTCGGCACGGACTCGACTTCGTACATGGCGATGTCGTCATTCGCGCTGATATGGGCTTCCGCGATCGAGCTGGTGTTGTCGAAGAGTTTGTAGAACTTGTTCTTGTAGATCTCAGTCATCACCAGTCGCTGGGCATCTGAGCCCACCTTCTTGGCGACCAGCTCCTTCAAGGACTTGATGCTGGAGTTCTTATCAATCTCCACCTCCACCCGGAGCGGCTTCGAGTGCAGGGGGAAATAGAAGATCTCTTTGCTCCACACGTTCTCAATCGGCAGCTGGAGGGTGAGGTTGTTGAACGGGTCGAAGATGATGCTGACCTTGTCGCACTCGGGGCAGTGGAGAGTGGACTTGTACATGCCCGCAAAGAGGTCGGTGATGACCGAGTCGTTGCGAGCTTTGTAAATATCCCAACACTTGTCGGCAAACTCGGTCAGGGCGGCTTTGTCGTGGACCATGTCGTCGGTAGAGTCGGGCTTCTCGATGTACGGCTTCTTCTGAATCCGGTTCAGGTCCTCCTGCAATCCATCAAGCAGGAAGAGCAGGAACTCCTGCGAATCCTGTTGCCCGTAGCCCGAGAACGCTGGTCCGTAGCGGCCAATGGTGTTTTTCAACTGCCTCGGGGCAAATGAAGACTGACCGGCTTCGTCATAGATCAAACGGAGGAGGTTGGCATACGACTTGGCGACTTCGCCGTTGTGGGCCAAAGGGTTGCTGGGGTTCAAGTCTTGTTTATAAACATCATCTACAGGGGCAAAGCGGTTAGCGGGACAAGTGATCCACAACCCAGCTGCGGACGATACGTACTCAGGAAATAGTAGGATAGCTCTTCCACGCTCCGCACGCACTGCAGGGCAGAATTCATATAACAAGTGTTTCCGAGATTACTCAGTCCCGTGTTTCCGCGAGGCTTCCCATCCTTCCGTCTTCCCCGGGGGGGTTCTGGGACGGGGGACGAACGCCCACTGCTTGTCGGGCTTTTGTTCTTCAACTTGGAGGTAACGCCGTTCTTCAGGCTCCCGGTCGGCACACCCAGGCGATTGAGGGTCTGCTTGGACGCCTCGGAGGCCCATTCACCGTTGCCGGCACCGGGGATCCGTTCTTCCAGCACCACGACGTCGCTGCCGCCGAGACCGGCGACATCGAGAGTCATGCGACCGTTGTAGTTCGGGTTGGAGGTTTGGTCCTTGGCCCCCTCCAGCAATTCCCGCTGGGCGCCCTCCGACAGGGAGAGGAAGGTGTTGAGGTCGAGCACGAGACTGTTGCCGCCGTTGGCAACCATCGAGGCCGCGGGGGCCGGGGAGGCGCTGCGCGAGGCGGCCGGCGTGATTGCGGCCGATGCGGTGGCGCTCCCCAACCCGCCTAGTATTCTCCAGACACGGACCTTGGTCGCCATGTCGATCTTGGCCTGACTCTTTGCGTCCTTCAACCACTTCTGAAAGTTCGTGTGCCGGCTCGATAGGATCCGCACCGGCTTCATGTTCTTCTCCTTGAGGCTCTGGGGCGTGGTCCCCGCGGAGGGGTTCGTCAGCTTGAGAATGGTGAAGATCGGGGGGTTGATTTCGTATTGAACGTTCTGCGAGTCGCCGCCCACGCTGGTGTCATGGGCGTAGCGAACAATAGCAGGGGACTGCTCCGCCAGACCGTACCACTGAAGGATCAGATCCCAGCCCTCCTGGGGAACGATTTCGAAGTCCTCCCCCATCTGCAGACCGGGCCGCAGCGGCACAAACGGCTCGTTCGCCTCGTCGACCAAGCCTGCATTGGCGGGATCGGTTACGAGTACGAGATCGGAGTTGTCGACGGGTCCGACGTCTCCTTCGACGGCGGTTTTGTCGGCCAGGTCGGCATGGGTCGAGCTTCGAGAGAGCACCCGCTTCAGCCAAGACATGGAAACCACGTAGCCCTTCTGCTTCTCCTTCAGCGGTTGTGCCATGTGGAGAGTCACCTTCGCCACTTGATCATCGTAAGAGGGAGGGGACGAATCGGACGGGTTGGTCGTTGCGGGGGTGTTGGTAGACATGCTGGAGGGCGTAAAGTAGAGGTTGCCGCCGTTCGCGGTGGAGGTATCGTCGTCGTCGGCATTCATCGCATCGTTCGTGTCGTTCCCCGTCGGAGCCGCGTCCATGTCGACGTCGACGTCGCCGTCCACCTCGGAGGCGGCCCGTTTGACGCCGGGGGATGGCGACCGGGCATCGACGGCAGCGGGCGGCAGGCTGGCGTCTCGTTGCTCGGAGCTCGACATGTCGGTCGGGGGGTCACTGGACAGGGTGAGGCCGGCGCAGGCGGTCGAGGGATCGGAATCCGGGGTGGGCGAGCGAGGAGCAGAACCGAGCACTTCGTCCTGCAGGTGGGCGGGAATGTATCGAGGGGGCGGGGAGGCGGAGGCAGAGGAAGAAGACGAAGAGGAGGACGGGCCTCGATTGGAAGCGGACGCGGAGGAAGGACGAGGATGCTGGTGGCTGTTGGCGGACGACGGCGAGGCGGAAGACTGGGGGTGACGTCTTCCAGCCTGCGAGGCAAGCGACACACCGGGAAGAGATCCGGGTCTGCGAGGCTCTGCTACCTTACGGCGCTTTGTGGAAGACGTCGTGACGGTGAGCTGCGCACGTCTCGTGGCAGCTCGAGGTAACACGATGGAAAGTGTGAAGAAGGAGGATAGAAGGAGAAAGCGAATCCGATGCGGTGAACAGTCTGGGCAAAGCGAACATAGAAAAAAAAAGAAATGAAAAGAAAAAGAAAAAGAATACACACAAGGTAAGACCACAAAGAAGTGGAGGAACGAATAGGGAAGAAAAATTAAAGACGAAGCAGCACGAAAAGAGTTTAGCAACGAAAATCCGTGAGAAAAGAAAATCCGAAGGGGAAGAAAAACCGTCCGACTGGATTTGGGTCCCGCCGACTGGTCCTCGGTGGAGTCGACGCTGCAGGCCTTTCCCGACTCACTGAACGGTCGATGAAGGATGGAGGATGACTGGAGGGAACCGAGGGTTCCTGAACTGTCGCAAGGGATGCAGGGATGATGCAGGGAAGAAAGAAGGGGAGAGGAAGGCGATGAAAGAAAGAAAGAAAAAGGGAAGGCCCTGTCGGTTGTTGGTGACATCATGAGGTCGAACCCATCGGAGACTAGAAAGAACTCTCAGGTAAAGATTGCAGTAGTGATTGATATTGCTCATAAGAAACCCTCTACTTAATTATTAGGTAAATGAAGATTGAATGTTCCGTCTATCATGGAGTGCGCGGTGGACCGGTCCAACATATATGTAGCCATGTATACTCATACCACAGAGCAAGCAGAACCACCGCGCGTTAACTTTCTTGATTGATTCCATCGCCTGCAAGCAAAAGCAAAAGCAAAAGCAAAAGCAAAAGCGAAAGCAAAAGGAAATAGAAACACAACAAATCATCACAACGATCGCCTTGTTCTCTGAAGCCCTGACGGAGGCTCTACTCTAGCTAGAGATACTTCAAGGCGATAACCAAGACCGCCACACACGCGCTGAATCCCAGAACCATTATGGAGGCGCAGAAGTAAAGGAAGATTGACTCGTCAGAAAGCTGGTCTGGGGCCGTCTCGAACTGTGAGATGCGCGACCCTGAGAGGCTCGATCTACCTCCATAAAGCAGGCCACTTTCGAGGTCTTGGATAGCCATGGCACCTGAGAGGGCCTGGGGAATGTTAGCCTTTCTGTTCTATCTCGGGTATTTAGTGATTGATATTGGGCGTACCTTTTGAAGGATGATCTGTATCCTGCGTGTAGATGTAACGAATGTATGTAGATGCTCAATCATATACCTATTGAAGGGGAGAAAGGAATAGAAGCCGAGACTTTATACAACCATATGCGAAGAATGACAGATCAATGATCCTCCTAGACATGAGATGTATGATTATAAGCCATCAAAACGGATCTCTAGTCCGTTCCAATTAAGGGGACTGTCTGCCTGTCGGACTCTGGATCCCGTCCGATGCCATCACTCTGGCGACATGGTCTTGGGGCAGTAACAGATCCTCAATAGTAGCAGAGCAGACGGCACTCCGAATTAGCTCGCACGCCGAGTCGTTCACGGACGACAGCGGTCAGGAGGGTGGAAAATGACATAAAGGGCCCAAAGCATTGGTTAATCCAGTCTATTTGCCTGTAAAAATTGAGATGTGCCCACTTTCCATCATTTTGAAAGAGATTCATTCATATTTCGTGCACTTGACCGATGGGTCGAGTATAGAAGAAAGGGTCGCTAAACCTTCCCGGTGGGGCCTAGCGCGGGCCAGCAACGCTAGTCCCCATCCAGCCCAACCGACAGAGCGCAGACCCCGTGACTTCCCCCGCTCTTTTCTTTTTCTCGCTCACATTTTCTCCCTTCCCCTCCTCCCCTCCCAACACCCTCCCAACTTCCAAATACCCGAAAAATCATCCCCTTCTCCCCCCCCACAATCCGTGAGTGCTCATCATTGTTCATTGTCATTGTTATAGATCCATCGCTTGGTCTTTATCTCTATATACACTTCTGTAGTTATAGAATACATATCTTGCTTTGATTGAAAAAGATTGATCCCAAACTGAACTCCCTCGCTAGTCCATTCAAAATGTCTGAGCGCCAGAACGGAATCGTCAAGTGGTTCAACGATGAGAAGGGCTACGGCTTCATCACCCCCGAGACCGGTGCCGACCTTTTCGTCCACTTCCGCGCCATCGAGGGCCAGGGCTTCAAGTCTCTGAAGGAGGGACAGCGCGTCACCTTCGAAGCGGTGCAGGGCCAGAAGGGAATGCAGGCGGACAAGGTTCAGGTCCAGCAGGACTAAAGCGGCAAATGACGCGGGATCAACAATCATGGCAGCTTCACGAGTTTTACCCCTTTTGAGGTGCAATAATGGGGAGGAAGGACCTTGGGTTCCTGCGCTACTGGCGTCTCGGCACGAAAGCCTGCGCAGCTGAACTCCATCGGCATTGACAACCCGGGTGATGGGATCCAAAACTATTATTACTTCTTCAGGCAACTGATGTCCCCGCTCACCCTGTGTGATCCTCTTGTTTCAAAACCCAATACCAATATCTGCATGTTCGGAGAGTGACAATCTCCACCATCAATTTTTCTTTCGTAAAGCATAGCGTGAGTATCTTATCATTCACTCTACTGTTCTTGTATCAACCCTTCCCCCCTCTCCGTCCTCAATCGACAGCCATCTAGACCAGGCCAGGGATGTACCGCCGCCCACACTCAAGTGGTTGATAAAGGCACCAAAAGGGATCAAATTCCGTCCATCCGTCAACACGGCACATGCCGTCGTCGTCCCAATCCTCGCTGCCGACCCCATGTCGCACGATGAACAGACCTTCCGGATCCCATTTTTCCTTGATCTCTCGCAGTCGATTATACTTCTCTCCCCAGAACCACTGCTGCCAGGCCGCCAGCTCCGAATCCGCCTCGTTCAAGTACATGGCGACCGGGCTGGGCTGGCTGATCGACTGCAGGACGGGCCCTTCGACAGAGGTGACGCGACGCTGAACGTCCCGCTGGTCCTTCAACGTGGGCTCGAAGACTCGATTGCCGACCAGCAGGATGGCCGCCGTCCGCCAGCCGGGATGCATCGCCGTGTTCACCACGTCGCCGTTCGTCGCCACCCGGCCACCGAGGGTATTCGCGACCCAGGTATCTCCGGGCCGCAGGTCAAGGGCGGCCAGCCGGTCGACCATCTGCGCCGGTCCTTCCGGTCTGTCGTACGATTCCCGCGGGATGAGGATATTCTCCTGGTGGAAGGGAATGCCGCCGACAAACTCGCCCTGAGGGATCGCCAAGAACGAACTCAATCGCGCGTAGGCCGTGGACTGGAGATCTCCGGCGATGCCGTGCCGTTGGAGGGATTCTAGGAGGGCTGAGAACTTACCGTCTGCCTCGTCCGCATCGGTCTCGCTGATGAAGAACTGCGTGAGTCGCACGAAGTAATCACCGGTCGGAGCACGACCGATCCAATACTGACCAGAGCTGTGGTTCACGGACAGACTGCGCACGGTGTAAAGAACCTGCTTGACGGCCTCCCAGAAGGCCTCGTCTCGTTCAGGCCTCATGAACATCAGATTCGATACAACCGCTGGGATCTCGCCGAAGACGGGCATCGTGAGACTGGTCACAACGCCAAAGGTTCCTCCGCCGCCACCGCGGAGTGCCCAGAAAAGATCTTGATTTTGGAGCTCGTTCGCGATCACGAGCTCGCCCTATCTCGAAGAACAGCCGAGATTAGCGGGCGAAATGGAGATCTAGGTGACGTTCTATACACATACCTCTGCAGTGACGACCTCGAACTCGTGCACCAAGTCTACGGCCAGTCCCTTCATAGGTGAAAGCGCCGTCGACACGCCTCCTCCCTGAAGGTATCCTCCGGCAAAGCCAACCGTGGCGCATTCGCCCGCCAGAACCGTATGCCCATGCTCATCCGCCGCAGCGTAGAGCTCTTTCGTCAGAACGCCGGCCCCGATTCTGACGCTGCGTCCCTTGGACCTTGCGTCTCTTTCATCGGCTTGCTCAGTAGTAGGCACGAAATTGTCGAGGAAGGTGATCTCTTTGAGACGCTGTGTCAGGATCTGAAAGGAATCCAGCGCACTGGATCGCCCGCCCGAATCATGCCCGGTGTTCTTCACCACTAGTCGCAGGTTTCGCTCTCGGGCAAACTTGACAGCTTTCTGCACCTGCTCCGCATTGTCCACCATCGCCGAGTACCGTGCGACCCGGCCCTGGCCACAGGGCCCCGAAGCATCATCTTCGTGGACGAAGCAGGTCTCGTTGCGCGACAGGGACACCTCCCATGCGTGCTCCTGCTGGGCACCTGTGCTCGCAATATCCGCACTTATTAGTCTCATACATACGATAGGACTGCAGAAGATTGCTTACCCGGCTGACTTGCTCTCCATGTCCCATTGGACGATAACTTCACTACCTGTTCGCATGCCACTGGGTCGTAGGTATCCCCGTGACAAACATGGCCAATTGGTCGAACTTCTACGACGTTACCGTGGAGTGACGTGTTTAGGGCCTGCCATTCTGTCGGGGATGGCCAGCAGGGCTCGTGGGGTCGACACCGACACTGTCGAGGAGCGTCAAAGCCCACAGGAGCTTGCTTGGCCGCAAGAGCGGATGTCAATAAGAGAGGGACAAGTCCGAGACTGCAGTACATTGTACTATGAACTCGAGGGAATGTAGATTTAGGAAGACGACTTCTACGGAAAGATTCAACTATCGGCTGTTCTTTCGGGGACAGAGCGGCACCGGAAGAAGAAAATGTTGAATCGGTCTTTCTCTTCCTTTACTCTTTCCTTTCCCCCTCAAACACAAAACGAGAAACGACCCCGACGGTTGCCTGGGTGGCGCAAATTCCAAATCCCTTGCCATCAATGACTACCGATCTAATGGGCTAGATGGTCTGACCTCCTAGCTGGATGCAAGGGGTTTGAGGCGGAGTTCACCCCTGGCTTCATAGTTCTAGATGGCTGGTTCAAGTATGCAATCCGCCTATTTCGCGCTGCAACATCATTGGGTGGATTTCGATGTGACACATGGTGGATGGACCATTCCAACCATTCTGCTTGGGGATACGCGTGCAGCGACTAGGTAGTCAAGATCCTCCTAACCCTACATACTTCAACGCGGGTGGCAAGGAGACATGCAGCTTTGTTTATGAATACGAATTACGAACCGACTAAATAGCAGATCCAACAAACGGATTTCCTTCATGCCTGGCCGAGCCTGCCGCTCAAAACGGGGAATAATAGACACTCAGATAAGGCATCGAGTTCCGATACGAGAACGAAATGGCCTCGTGGACCCAGTTCGTTTTTCGGAGATCTAGGTTGGGACTGTAGCAATCTGTCGTCAGTCAAAGCTCATTTTCTCGGGGGAAAGTCACCTACTAGTAAGAGCGGACGTGATCTTTATATGACGCCGCCATGTCGGTCCAGCCGACCCGCTCGTAGAACGTCGTCAGCGCATTTATCACGGCCATATCGTTCATACCAAACGTGACCAGGTACACCTGGGGCTCGGGGTAGTCACTGGCCGGTGACAGGGTATAGTTGGCCATGGTAGTCATCAGATGCGTCGGAGGCTGTCCGAGGACCAGGTTGGGCCAGATATCGCCGCGATCGCCCTCGGGGATGCTCAGCAGGTCCCAGAGCTCCTTGAGCAGGGCCAGGCCGTCGTTGCAAACCTGGTCGTTGACACGTCGGCCACCAATCGTCCAGATGTCGACGATGCGCTCCCACTTCACCCACTTGTCGATAAGGTAGAACTTAATGCGGCTCTTGCGCGGGTCGCAGAGGTCGCAGGCCAGGAGACTGGGGAAGACCTTGTCGTCGACGGTGCGCATGCCGTCATCGTGGGACGCGCTGAAATAGCACTGGAGCATGCGCAACGGGGCTTCGATGGCCGAAATTTGCAGCTTGTCGATGGCTCCGAAGAAAAGCTCCTGGATGGAGGTGCCCGTGGCGAGAAACTTCATGTACGGGTAGAAGTACACCTTCAGACTCATGCCGCCGTTCTGGAAGTCCACGGCCAGGTTATGCTGGCCTCGACCAGCGGCCGGGAGGGAGTCGCTAGTCAACAACGTTTGCTCCTCCTGCTCGGTGAGGACTAGCTCGCGGTGCAGGGCCTGATAGCGGTCGAGGACGATGGAGTTATCCAGCTGGGCCAGACGGCGGGTGCAGTCATGGATGGCCTTTTTGTTGAACAGGTCGGCCTCCGTGCCGGCCAGATGGGAGACGGGGTCCCAGGAGATGCGGACGACTTTGTGGGAGACGTTCCAGCTCAACTCGTACGGCACCTTGTAGGGCGTCAGGTTGCTCAGCCATCGCTTGTGCTCCTGACCCTCAGTTGGGAAAGTCCCCAGGAAGGGAATCAGGTGCTGCTGGAGGAGGTATAGATAGAGACACTGGCTTTGGCTGTCGTAGCCGGAATCGCGAAGCATTCGCTCCAGGACGGGACCAGTATGGTTCCACCATTTGCGCTGGTCGTCGTCCGTCAGCGAGGAGTATTTGCTGAGGGCCTGGTAGAGGACGACAGTGTTGTCCGAGGGAGCCTTGTTGCTTTGGATTGTCATGATGCCGAAGAAGAACGAAAGATAAGTGACCCAGCGGCAGACGGAAGGAGAATTACTTGAGGAAGGCGATATACTAATTCACTCGCGCATTAAAGGAAAAACGATGCAGAAATCGAGCATTTTCTACGTATTGATGATATCTTCAGTGACGGGCATGCTGCTGCCCCCCTACCTTCCCTCGGAGTCGGTTAGCATCGCTTTGCCAATGCGTACGCTGATACTACGATACTACCTTGTCAGACACGCGCATGATCGGATGATGTTTTACTTCCCCCCTCGCTTCCTTTCCACCGCCATTTGGGTGGAAGACCGGGTGCGCTGAGGAATGGACATTAGACGGATGACCGGCAAGTGGAAACAGCTGCATACGAGTCTTATTGGCTCTGTGGCGCACTGGCGACACATTCCCAGTAGGTCCTACGAGCGGACCTCTACTAATCGCTAGCGTCACAACGCTCGCAGTCCTGCGAGCCACACCTGGCTACAGAGTCTAGACTATGTCATCCTGATTGTCCTCCTGGCGGAATCTCCCGTTCGCAGGGATGTTGGTCGGTATGTACTCTCGGCCATTCTTCACCGCGTCGGCCGCCTTGTCGTACTCCTCGTGCGCATGTTTCACGCAGTCATGCGTGTACACCCAGGCTTGGTGCAAGTACGCCGTGGGCCGGTCGGTTGCGCTGCTCTCCCAGGCGGCGTTGAGGAATGAGTCCCCGGCCTCGGCGGACCCTTTCTGAATGAGCGAGACGCGCTGGTGCCTGAAGCGAGGGAAGTGTTAGAGGATAGAGCAAAGGAATTGACAACGCGGTTCGAATGTTCAAGCTGCATACCTGATTTTCTCCATGGCTCGCAGAGCTAACGGCACGTCTCCGCCCGAGCGCTCCAGACAGATGGCCAGCACCGCGGCGTCCTCAATGCCCTGATTACCGCCTTGACCAGCGTAAGGGAGGAAGGAGTGCGCTGCGTCCCCGATGACAACCATCCTGCCGCCGCTTGAGACCCATCGGCTCAACGGTGGCCGGTTGATGAGTGATTGATTGAAACATCTTCCCGGAGGCGTGCTTGCGACAATGGCCGAAAGCTTTTTCCCGGCCGGCCAGTCCTGCAGGCTTTTTAAAACGACATCGGGAGACGCAGGCTGCATCCAGGCTTCCGTGGTCTCGGTCAACGTCCCCTAACGTGCGGTTAGATGGAACCGGGTTGTGTATTGCAGACTCTCTGCGGGCTGAAAGACGACGATGACATACCCTCAACGCACACCCCCAGTGTATGTAGCGACCCCTGGAGGCCGTGCCCATGGCCACCATCGTGTCCTTGCCGTAATACATGTGGAAAACATCTCGCCCAGGGGATTGCTTCAGGAGCCACTGCGCTTCGGGCACATCCGCAATCTCGTGGGCATCGAAAATCGTTCGGTACGCGATCACCCCGGTGTCATCCGGGGGTGGGTTTTCCCCGGTGATAATGACGCGAGCTTTGCTGTGAGTTCCGTCGGCGGCGACAACGCAGTGGCCGCTGATCTTCTCGTCGTTAGCGTAGACCCCGGCCTCAGTCTTATTTTCCCAGTAGCCGTCCACAGGGACGCCGAACCGAAGGTCGATGCCGAGCTGCCGTGCATGCTGGTATAGCATGTTCACCAGCCCAGTGCGCCGGAAGAGATGACCCTGGATTGGGTTCTGCGGGTTGTAGGGCATAGCGAATCGCCGGGTGCCCTCGGTATCGAGAAGCTCGAGCGCGGACACATCGCAGGTAATGTCCTCGGTGATCAGCCCATCCAGGGTGTCGCTGTCTTTCCATGCCGCCAGAATCCGGACGCTGTTGCCGCTTAGACCGATGATGTCGCCTAGACGATTAAGCTCGTCAGCATCTCCTCTGAACTGTCATTCGCTTCTGTTAGCCGTCTACCGAGTAGATTGATATCGGGCTTCTTCTCGAGTCCGATCACCCTCAGACCCTTCCGATGACATTCAATGGCGGCTGTCAGTCCGGCGATTCCGAGGCCAACGATGATCACTGTTTTGCCAGGGGCGTGTGACTGGGCCGCGCTCTGTAGTGCAGTCATTGTTGGTAGCTCCGTGATCAATCACAAGGTTTCAAAAGTGGATGGCCGCAGTATGGTTTGGAAACGGCCCCGAATCTATTCTATGAAACTAGAAATATTCTCGCTCACAGAGTGTTACATGCATCGCCAAGCTCATCCACCGTCTCTCTGCATTCCTACGGCTGCACAATGTATCCGCCGGCCATGTCTTTGCAAGCGATTCATGGAGAGGTTTTGGTGGACCCGGAAAAAGAGATGAAAGTACAAATGAAAAGAAAAGCTAACCCCTTACACCACACGCGGAGTGGTGGAAAGACAAAGGCTACAGACCGCAGGAAACGCGTATTCAATCTGGAACCCCTTGCGTTGGAAGTTTGTCCACCTAGCGTTACAATCCTGTGAGGAATGCTGGCGCAACCTGTATCCAGCAGGGTGTGCTCATGTGCGGCTCCAGCTTGGGCGATGACGTGTTCTGCTCAAGGGGGTGTTGCATTCTAGATTGCAATATCGATCCCCATCCTACAGTTGATTGTATGCCAATTCATGCCATAATAACCAGGGCTAGACAGCCATATCTCAGTGGCCTCCGGCCGTGCCAATCCGAGACATTTCAGTATACACACACACCAGAGTAGCGCGAGCCGCAAAGGGCGAAGTATTCCTGCATCATGACTTTTGAGAAAACGATAACTGTATATGGGGCGACAGGATCACAGGGCGGACCGGTTGTCCGGTCTTTGCTGAAGAATCGTGCCTTCAAGGTCCGAGCCATCACACGAAACCCCGAGTCGCCAGCGGCTCAAGACCTTCGTGCACTCGGCGCTGAGATCGTCCAAGGCGACGGATGGAAGAAAGAGCAGATGGTGGCCGCATTTTTGGGGTCATGGGGGGCTTTTGTTAACACGAACTCGGACGACCCGGTATGAGGGCCGCTCGACGAATTATTTCGGATATATAGAAAGGCTGACGCATCGCTTAGTGCTTGGCCGGTGATGGCTCTCCCACCGAGTTTGACTTGGGAAAGACAATCATCGATGGCATCATTGAGACTGGCACCGTCAAGCACTTGGTCTACTCGTCGTTTGTGGATACTTCGGCTCTGACCAAGGGCCAGGTAACTGTCAGACCAGCGGAAAGTATGTTAACCTGCTATCTTAAGGCCTACCGCGCGTCTAGGGGAGATGTCTAATGGTATCGCAGTGAAAGCCAAAATCCAACGATATGCGGAGGAATCCGGATATTTTGAGTCAGTCTGTCCTTTGTATCAGGGATGGTATATGGACATCTTCAGTCGTCGAGATTACGCTCAAGCCCTGGGAGGATTCCCATTCTTCCAGGACGACGAAGGGTTTCGCACTCTTCGCTCGGCGAAATGGGGTTCTGACGCTGACATGCCTGTTCCATGGATTTCCTTGGAGGATGATTACGGTGATATCGTGCATGGTATCTTTCTGGAGCCGGAGAATTGGAACGGTCAGGTCGTTCCGACAGTGAGTGACATTAGCACATATCCCGGGGTGACCGAAACTTTTGCAGCAGGTACGTTGTGTCCTATCACTCAAGTATGGCAGGTCTAGGAGGCGAGCTAATGAATGTAATACTACAGTCACGGGCCAGAGGGCCAGGTATGTGCATGCCAACGACTGGAAAGCCCTCTTCGGCGATACGCGACAGGGCGAAGAGAATCGCAGCATCTTTGAGTTCGGGCGTTTCACAAACGGCAAGTATTTTGGGAACCACCCAATTTCTACGGACAAATCAGCATATCTCAAGGCAAGGGCAGTGGAGGCTCAAGGGAGAGATCCCAGAAAGGAGAAATTGATAACACTGAGCCAGTGGTTTGCGAAGAATCATTCCTCGGAGATTCGTGGACGTGAGGCATGAACCGGAAGCAGGAGATGGACTGGAACGTATGACTGTAAACCTCACCGAGCGCCATATCTTGGAAAGAATGCAAGAAGGCCTCGGTGGGGGTTCAGTAAGATGTATGATGTACCCATCAGCCAAATCCAGCTGCAGTGATCAAGGAGCTCCCCCCTGCGTCAAGCCGTACCTCTTCATCCTTAAGTCAAATCCCTTCTGGCTGCATTCCAGTGCAACTCAACTGAGCCACCCTTGAACCCCTCACCGGAAAAGCTTTGGCGGTGTGCTGGCCGATTTCCAGCCAACTCTAGACATAAGAGCTGGTTGAAACTGAACCAGGCCCCCGCTCTCCACCACAGCACAATACACCGAAGTCAACGTTGTTTCTATACGATGACCATTGACACCACGCTCCAGGAACATGGCCTCGTGGCCGAGACTCCTCCTCTGGCACACCTGTATGATGAGGCCATCATTGACAAGTTGCAGAATCCCGCCCCCTTGACGTCAGAGCGAAATTTGTGGGCGTTCTGGGATGGTGGCTTCCATGCCATGCCCGGATGGAAGCAGCGGAACGTGCTGAATTGGGTGCGACGCTGCGGACACGATTGGGATGTGCGTCTGCTTGACAATGTGGCCGGCTCGAGTGCGAACATCAAGCATTTCGTACCGCGCGAATCCCTGCCAGATGCCGTCTGGGATGGCCAGATGGAGGGCGAGCACGCAGGTCAGCATACGTCGGAGCTTGTGCGGCTGGCGCTCCTCTACCACCACGGTGGCGTGTTTCTGGACGTATCGATTTTGATGTTGCGTGACCCCGACGCCCTCTGCTGGGCGTCGCTGGCCGATGAGCGCTCCCCGCATCGTGTCAGTGCCTGGTACCATATCAACATGGGCCAAGTGGTGCATAGCTCGCTGGCGGCGCGGCGACATGATCCGTTTATTTATCGCTGTAAGCCCAGCTCCCTTAGAGGACCCTCTCCCATGCGCTTCTACGACCTTGCGACTGACAGTGAAGCCATGTGCAGGGATGCAGGTGTTCCTCCAAATGTGGAGCAGACGCCGCCATGCAGATGGACTCCATAGCCATCCTCTGGTGCGACATCTGGAGCTGTTCCAGATTAAGGTGTTCAACATCCCGGCCGACAAGAATTGGGTCGGCTATAATGATTATACAGCTATTCTGCTGGCCTTCCAGCGAGTGGCACGCAACTGCGAGCCAGACGGTGGATTCGATGGTCCAGCATACGTACAGCAGCATTTCCATCTCCTGTCGGTGTCGGATGAAATGGAGACCGGTTTCTTTGTGCCTGCGGAGAAGCTGCCTCTACTGCTGACGCTGCCGGTCCAGGGCCAAGGCGAGGGGGGTGACGGCGCTGATGCGAAGCGATATGTCTATAAAACGCTGGCTCAAAGTTCAGTGGCCAACTACCACCAGGGAATTAAATACCTTGGCTATGCAAACCCCGTGGCAACACAGTGGAACAGTGCCGGAGATGATTGTCGACCGGGATCGTGGGGCGAGCGACTGCGGTACGGAAGCGTGCATTATCGACAAACGCGAAAGGTTGAGCCTGCTCACATGAAAGAGATGGAACCAACATACATGGGCATGCTGGATACTGTTGAGTAAGACCGTTGACACTTCAGCGTTCTAGGGCTAGCCAAGTATAGAAACAGGTAGATTGAAAGAAATTCCCAAATGCTTCGTTTCGAACTAGATGGGACCGAGCCCTAACTCCCGCAGCGCCAACAGACTTGATAGACTTCGTTATATATATATTGTCATACCGTAGAAAGCCAAGGGGTTATGTTGCGGGTGCTGCCGAAGCCACACGAACCTTTTCCTCAATTGCAGCCGGGCAGTGCCCCTTTTCTGTGAGCATAGTCTAGGAGACAGTTGCACTTCATAACTCCATAGTCTTCCATTGCAGTTTGAAAAGGTGAGAGGGATTCTGGACTCCTCTGGCTGAGTGTCACTGCCCAATTCCAAGGCAGTAACCGTAAGGAATTGAAACCGCATGAATAGTGTGATGCAAGGATAGTTTCGCCATGCACAAACCACACTTACTTGAAGTTTGTCGTTGTCGATCGACCTGAGCCGTTGCCATTGAGATTGAACGAATCTAGGTCATCTGCAGGTTCCTCGATCTTCCCCGATCAGTTGATCTCTTACTCTGCAGAATTGATAGTACGGGCACGTTCATTATTCTTTCTTATTTATTTATTTTTTTTTCGGGAACAACATGACTGAGGTAGACGCGTGCTTTCCATGGCATGCTACGCAGATACTCCTGAGCTGAATAGTCCATTTTCGGGATACAACCTTGACAGCCAAGGTCATCCCTTGCTGGTCAGAGTGGTGAATGAAGGGGAATGCTCACCCGTGGGTGCTGGCAGAGGATTCCGAAGAATGTATCTGGCATGGCATGTGTCCGCAGCTAGACCAACGCCTAGGCAAGGAGAAGAGCGCGGCGCGGGCTTTGTACCTTGGAATCATGACGATGACCGCTTTGCTGGATCCTGATTCGCTGCATGAGACAGGAACTAGGAGGAGAACAAGCAAGTGAGGCCTTTTCCTCTTCTTTTAATTGGAGACCGAGTAGCCTCGCTAAGCAATTTTCAATAGAGAAAAGCCTTCACATAACACTAGGTAAGTGCAAGTCCAACTGCCGGCTGGCACGAACATGTTTGCTGATAGCGGGCAAGCAGCAAGACCGTACCAATTACTGATTAGAAATGAAGCGTATTTGACGACATACGACTAGAGAGAGACCAAAGGACAAAATGGTTTCTTCGAAGATCAACGGATTGCGTGAGACGTCCGGAACACCTCGCTTGAAACTGGCAGCCAAGACTCGCCGACAATCGTTGACCACCCATCCAGTATCTGTACCGCCTTTTCAGCACAAAGAAACATCGACAGGGTGCACTCAAGGGCAGCTTCCCGTGATACACGAGGTTCCCCAGACATGGGATGTATGCGTGCATGATGTGATCCGCGAGAGATGCCAGGAAGCGCCAGGTTCACCCGCGGTCATTGCGTGGGACGGGGCCTTCACGTACGGGGAACTTGACGAGTTATCAGATCGCATTGCGTCGGCACTGATGCAGGCAGGCGTGACACCCGAGACATTCGTCCCAATCTGCATGGAGAAGTCACGGTGGACGACAGTGGCTGTCTTGGGCGTGATTAAGAGCGGGGCCGCGTTCGCGCTGCTCGATCCATCCTATCCCCTGGCTCGACTTCAAACCATCTGCCAGGATCTGGCAAGTGACATCATTCTGTCATGTGCAGCTCAACGCGAAGCCTGCATGCACCTGGCAAATGTCATGGTCGTGGAACACTTGATCCAAGCGTGGTATCCCAATCCCCAGACCTACCGGCCATCATTGACAGTCCGGCCGGCAAATGCTCTCTACGTGGCGTTCACCTCCGGATCAACCGGCAAGCCAAAGGGAGTCGTAATCGAGCATAAGGCGTACAGCTCAGGGGCTAAGGCACACCTCCAGCAGTTTGGAATTGATCGGACCTCTCGGGTTCTGCAGTTTGCATCCTACGCTTTTGACGTCAGTGTCATGGAGACGTTAAGTACACTGATGGCAGGTGCCTGCCTTTGCGTGTTGGGAGACGGCCAACGAACGGATACCACTTTGTTCATCGACACTCTGAAGCGGCTCCAAGCAACTCACGCTTTTCTGACACCGTCCTTTGCGCGAGCCGTGCCGTGGGACGGAGTCGGCCGGCACTTCACCACGTTGATCCTCGGCGGGGAGGAAATGCGCGCCTCTGATGTTGTTACGTATGCTCGGCGAGGAATCCGGTTGATGAACGCGTACGGCCCAGCAGAGTGTGCTGTCAACGCCACGGTACAAGTCGGCATACAGCCTGGGGACAAACTCAATTGCATCGGCCACCCTACCGGTGCGGTGGCGTGGGTGACTGATCCGGACAATCCAGAGCGGCTGATGCCGCCGGGGAGCATGGGAGAACTGCTGCTGGAAGGGCCTATTGTTGGTCGCGGCTACCTGCACAACCTGGAAGCCACGAACCGGGCATTTATCAACCCGCCGGAATGGCTGCGAGCGGCTCGGACGTTGCCCGGCCAGGAGACTTCGTACAGATTGTATCGCACAGGGGACCTGGTGGTGCAGGAGCGCAACGGGGCGGTTACTATCCTCGGACGCAAGGAAGGCCAAGTGAAGATTCGCGGGCAACGCGTGGAGTTGGGCGAGATTGAACAGCACATCTATCAGCTTCTTCCCCCGCCGACGGAGGTGGTGGTCGAGAAAGTGACCACTTTATCCGACCAACGCGACAGTCTGGTTGCTTTTGTCCTGCAGAGAGGAAAGACTGACGAAACAAGCGGCAAGTCAAGTCCGTTGTTCTTGGCCCCTCAGCCTGCTGTGCTCCAGGTATTTGGCGCTGCTCAGAGCCAGCTTCAGGAGCGACTCCCCAGTTACATGAACCCCTCCGTCTTCATTCCCCTCGCCCGAGTCCCTTTGACTCGGTCAGGAAAGGTCGACCGCGCCCTTCTGCGCGCATCGGCAGCCCGCTTATCGCGACACGAGCTGCAAGCGTTCGCAGGGTTATCCAGTCACCATGACGATCGTTCTGCCGCCACCATGGCAGAATCCACGTTGCAGCGCCTATATGCAGAAGTGCTCGGGCTTCCTATCACTACGATTGGCATGAATGACTCTTTCGTCCGCCTCGGAGGCGACTCCATCCTCGCCATTCGTCTAGTGGGAGCCGCCCGCCAAGCAGGGCTTATATTTACCGTTCGAGACGTGCTGGGAACGAAGCGCCTGGAGGAGCATGCGCGCACGGCCGTTCTCGTATCCGAAGACTCACCCTTCGGAACTAAAGGCGCTGGTGATGACTACGTTCCTTTTTCGTTGTTGGGTTCCGAGGGGGAGCAGACGCGCGCCGAACTGCTGCGCCTAGCAGCGGAACAATGTCGCGTTGCCACAGAGGATATCGAGGACCTATATCCATGTACGCCACTGCAGGAGGGCATGGTGGCCATGTCGATGCGCCAGCCACACATGTACGTTGGCCGAATCGTTTTTCGTATCCCGGAAGATGTCGACCTTACCCAACTCCAGGGCGCATGGCAGGCCACGGTGGATGCCAACGCCATACTCCGTACGCGCATCATCCAAGGGTCTCAGGGGCTCTGGCAAGCCGTGGTGGCGCGAGGTCAGGGGCTGTTTTGGGAAACCACGGCGGACTCTCCTGCATGGACGACCGAGGCGACCTCTTTGACCACGAGTTATCTGGGTGTGCCGCTCGTACGATGTACGCTTGCACAAAGGGAGTTCGCCCTCGTTGTCCACCACGCGGTATGGGACGCCTGGTCGATGCGGCTGATCCACGATGAATTCGAGCGGGCCTTCCAAGGAGAGTTCCTGCGAGAACGGCCCTTCTACCCATTCATCCAGTATCTACAGGGAATAGAAGGCATGGACGAATTCTGGCGCAACGAACTGGCTGACTGTGAGGCACCCGCTTTCCCAGCGCTGCCCTCGATCCACCATCAACCAGCCCCAACCGCGATGTTCCAGCACCGCATTGAAAACATCGAGCGGACGTCTCGCAGTCAAACCATGGCCAATTACCTGCAGTTGGCCTGGGCACTTCTCATAGCTCACTACACCGACTCCGCGGAGGCTGTATACGGTATGACTGTCAGCGGGCGCAACGGGCCCCTAGTTGGCATTGACGAGCTGGCAGGCCCGACCATAGCCACGGTGCCGATGCGCGTAAGCCTGCAGCCATCGGATTCCATAACCGCGGCGTTAGAGCAAATACAGGCCCGCGGGGTGCGCATGATTCCGTACGAGCAGGCCGGGTTGCAGCGTATCGCACGCACAAGCGCCGACGCGGCCAATGCATGCCGCTTTCAGAGCCATCTCAACATTCAAGTCGCCGACGATCACGCGGACAGGCGCTTTCCCGTGGTGCAGGGAACCGTAGTTAGTGGTATGGACCTGTCTCGCTTTTCCAGCTACGTCCTGAACCTACTTCTGGAGCTGAACCCTGATAATGGCACGGTCACTGTGAATACAACGTATGACCCGAAGATTCTAACAGCCGCCGAGGTCGAGCGCATGGTCCACCAGTGGGAGCATCTTCTGCGCCAGATTTGCCGATCACCGACGGCAGCCATTCAAGAGCTGGACCTCGTTGGCTCGCGTGATTGGGAGCAGATCCAGGCGTGGAATGCTGTCGTGCCGCTCGCGGACCGCCGCTGCCTACACCACCTTGTGCGGGCACAGGAGATGCGCCATCCAGACCGTCTAGCCGTATTCGCCTGGGATGGTCAGCTCACATACCAGCAACTAGCAGCCCTGGCATCCAGGCTCGCCCGACGACTTCGTCTATTGGCGGTTGGCCGCGGGTCGTTCGTGCCAATTTGCCTGGACAGGAGCCGCTGGTCCATCGTCGCCATCCTCGGGGTGCTCCAAGCTGGCGCTACCTGTGTCCTTTTGGATCCTCAGCACCCACGACAACGCATGCGGGACATCGTCGCCGGCCTGGATGCCCACCTTTTCATCAACGCGCCGACGACAGCCACGGTGACCAAGGGACTCGGTGCAATCGAACTCCAGCTGTCAGCGAGACTCACCGAGCAGTTATGGGGACATACCGGGGAGCAGGCCTCAAACCAAATGTACAACAACAACCCGAACGTAGACCCGGAAGAGCTGGCTTTCGTGATCTTCACCTCTGGAAGTACGGGACAGCCCAAGGGAATTGCCATGCCGCATCGCACAATCAGCACCAGCATCCGCCACCACAGTGCCGCCATGAAAATTGACGAAAATACACGTGCCCTACATTTCTCATCGTATGCGTTTGACGTCAGCATTTACGAGATCTTCACGACGCTCGCCGCAGGCGGCTGTATCTGCGTGCCATCGGAGCACGAGCGCACCAATCAGCTGGCCGATTTCATTCAACGGGCCGCCGTGAATTGGACATTTCTGACACCATCAGCCGTACAGGCCCTCAATCCGTCTGAGGTTCCAAGCCTCACCACCCTGGTCCTGGGTGGTGAAGCGGTAACGCAAGAGAACGTCCACACCTGGGCTACCCCCGATCGTTCGCTGATCAACGGTTATGGGCCAGCCGAAGCGACAATCTGCGCCGTGGGCTCGATCCCGGAGAATGGCTGGAGACCGGGGCGCATCGGCCACGTCGTTGGCGGAATAGGGTGGGTCACTTTGCCCTCGGATCCTAGCCGGCTGGCGGCTGTCGGGGCTATCGGAGAGCTGCTACTCGAGGGGCCATTCCTCGCCCAGGGCTATCTCCACCGGCCCGAGATCACGGCCGCTTCATTCATCGATCCTCCTGAGTGGCGCCGGCAGTGGACTCCCAGCCGACCCGCTGACGACAGCGAGACTGCCCAGCCGCACGAGACGCGGCTCTATCGAACGGGGGATCTTGTACAATACCAGGAAGACGGATCGATTCGATACCTTGGGCGTCGGGATACGCAAGTCAAGCTCCGCGGTCAGCGCATTGACCTCGGAGGGGTTGAAACGCATGTCGGACGGCTGTTTCCCGGCGCCGGCGACGTGGCTGCGGAAGCTATTCAGCTTCCCGTGCTGTCTAACACCACCTTGTTGGTTGCCTTTGTCCACTGCCGGGAAGGCCATGGCACGGTCGTAGAGGAAGGGCCGGTCCCTGTCGATACCATTGCAGGCTTCCGAGATGCCGTTGATCAGACACAGTCCCGCCTTCAGTCGCTGCTTCCATCGTACATGGTGCCCTCTATGTTTGTACCCGTCGGCCGGATGCCGAAGACTGTGACAGGCAAGACAGACCGCCGTCGTCTGCGCCAGGCAGTGCTCTCGCTGTCGGCACTAGATCTCCAGAGTTATCGTGTGATGACCAGCCGCCAGGCGATCGTTCCCGTTGCGACTGACGCAGAGCGACGTCTCCAGGAAATCTGGGCGCAGGTGCTTCGGGTGCCGCGGGAGGAGATTGGATCAAACGACGGGTTCACGGTGCACGGAGGAGACTCGGTATCGGCCATGTGGATGGTGGCCTTGGCCCGTCGCGCACATTTCAACTTTACCATCGCCGACGCCCTGAACAACCAGCCCCTATGCGACCTGGCAAGAAACACCAAACAAGAAACCGCATTGCCTTCCGCAGCGACGGAGCTGGTGTCGTCCTCAGCCACTGCATCAACGAACAGGATGCCAAGTCATCAAATTACAGCTGCCCTCGAACAGACCGGGCTGTCCTTAGTCCCAGCTGAAGATATCGCCGTTCATCCAACCACGCAGGCCCAGGCCTTCCTCATCCAGCGGTATCCTTGGACCCACTGGCGATTTTCATTCCCCGGGCATGTCGATCCGGACCTCCTGGGTACGGCATGCACGCGCCTTGTGGCTGCCCACAGTATCCTGCGCGCTCTGTTTGTTCGGCCAAGTGCCGGAGCTGCTCCGGTACAGGTCATCCCGAAAGCACTCGACACCCCTTTCCACACCGTTACCAGCCCCGATAACATTGACATAGACGACTACTGTCAAACATTGTGCAACGCGGAGCAAGAGCTGGATGTTCTTACTACCGTGCCACCCGCTCGATTCACGCTAGTCTCTAATCCCCTTCGTACGGCACAGACTCTTATCTTGCGCCTATCTCATGCCCAGTATGACGGGATCTGCGTGCCTAAAATCGTGGCCGATCTGGAGGCCCTCTACAACGGGACAGTCCCAATCACCGCGACGCGCTTCGAGAGGTATCTCGACGAGCGGCGTGAGCACAAAGACTCAGCGCTGGCCCACAAATTCTGGCGCGAGTATCTGGCCGGCTCGAGTCCCTGTCCCGTCTCGATCCTTGCTCCGAGCTCTCTTGTTTCCGGTCAACGCGCCTCATCTCTTGTGTCAGCATCCCAAACTCTCGGATACACCGCTCTGCCCCCTCAGATGACTCTTGCAACGGTTGTCAAAGCCGCTGCGTGTCTTGTTCTAGCACGCCACGCCGGTCGCACCGACATCGTGGTGCGGCAGACCGTCAACGGCCGCAGCCTGCCCCTTACCCAGATCGACGAGGTGGTCGGGCCTTGCGTCAACTTCATCCCATTCCGGGCCACTTTGAATGCGGCCATGACGGTGCAGGACTACCTGTTGTATACGCAGACGCAGCATACGCGCAGCCTCAGCTCCGAGAACGTTGAGCTCGACACGATCATCCGAGAATGCACCAACTGGGGGCCAGCGACGGTGTCCAGGCCCGGCTTTATCCTGCAGCATCAGAATATTGACATGGATCTACAGCTAAGCCTGGCAGGGAACCGTTGCGTCTCACTTGCTTCATCTGGCCGACTGCGTCCAGGGTCTGAGATCTGGATTTGTTCAACGCCTCGACCATCAGGGGTTGAGGTGGAGGTTATCGCCTCCGAGCGAGCTCTGACGGCAGAGGCAGCGAAGAACTTGACTGTCGAAGTGATCGACGTGATGCGTTCTCTGCTTGATGGCGGCAAGAGGGTACTGGGAAGCTTTGACGGGATGAAATGGGATGACTGAGTGTAACTCCCTAGTGTGCTACGCGTATCTTTTTTTTTTTTTTTTTTTTCTGTGTGCGTGATATTTTAGAATGTCGATGTGAGATAGGATTCAACTCCCTTGGTTGAGTTTAGTGATAAAGAAAGGTAATGATAGCCAAAGGAAGGGCAAAACCATCGATGCTTTTGATGCTGGGTTGTTGTTGTTGGAAGGAAAGAAGACGCGAGAGCCACGGGCAAGTCCCCCCGCGGTCACGTGGGTGGGATCGATTACGAAGACCAGCAGTAGACCAACAATTGTGCAGCAACTTGGCGGTGATTCTTGTTGTGTCAGTAACTCTGAGTAGAGAAGAGATTATAAGTGTAATGTGTATTGGTTTTGGCCCAAAACTGTGCGTGGAAATACCAACGATGCGACATATAGTTAACGTAATCAACCACCGAGCGGCGGATACCATCGAGCGGCGGATTTTCACCGCAATCATTACTATTCGAAGCTTTACCACCACCAACGCCATTTAAATTAACTAGATAAATATATGAAATGATAGCTATTTACTAGGGCAATTTCGAATTGTATGTCCTACTGTTCCACAGCCACTACAGCGTTGCGGAGCTCGTCGGCGAGGCATCGGAGTAGATTCCTCAGGTTGCTCATTAAACTGCATATTAAGCTGCTGAACCCGATTTTCGCCTTCTTGTACATTAAGAAGGCGGTCATTTCCTAGTTCAGCACGCTTTCTTGCCTTTCTTTGACGTTGTCGCCCATTTTCAGCGCGTATAGCCCTGATTTCTTGCTCTAAGAGCAGCTGGGTTTGCATTGCCATTTGCGCCGCTTTCTCAAGATGTTGAATATAAGCAATAGGACTGCTAGAAAGCTGCCGTTTTTTATTAAGGCTGTTCTGCAGGCTTTTAACCTTTCGATCTAGCTGGCGAGTATTCTGCGGGGTTTGAAAAGCAGAGGAAATTGAGCCTTCAATTAATGATGGCGTAGGCGTACGTAGTTGAAAGGTAAGCGTAGAGAGAACATGCTCTGGATTAAGCGGCTTAAGTCCTGTTCCTCTAAAACCGCTGTAAATATTAGATGAAATAAAGACTTCCTTATGTGCATCCGGATATAGCGATAAAAAGTCTTCTTTATCGATATGATTATTGCCGACTTTCATACGATATTCAAGAAGCTTTCCGTACGCCCTCTTAAGCGGGTTAAAGACACCCACATCAAGCGGTTGAAGAAGATGCGAAGCATGGGCAGGCATGCAGAGACAGATTATTGCATGCTGTTTGCAGAAATCATCGAATTCAGCAGTAAGATGGCTGCTATGGCCGTCAAGAATAAGTAATCGCTTAACACCAGTCATATAACGCTTAGAAAGCGGTTCAAAGATATTTTTCAGCCAGAGAAGGCCTATTTCATCAGTCGTCCAGCCATTCTGACTAGTAGAAATCCATCAGTCGCGAGGAAGCTTAGGTTCTTGGAACCAGGCAGCCTGTTGGACGCTTGCTTTTAATATAATGACTGGCGATAGATGTACGCCTTTTGACCCGATTGTCTCGATGACTGTGACCCATTCGCGATTGCCCTGAATGACTCTACACGGTCGCTCACTTCGTTCAACTGCAGTAATCACTTTTGAAGTAGAGCAGAGTCCCATTGCAAAGCCAGTTTCGTCGAAATTCCAGATATCGTCTTCGTGTATGCCGTGTTCCTGAATAGTCGCTTGTACAGTCTCAAACCATGGTTTTATAACCTTTGGATCTTCCTGCTTTGCGCGTTGATAGGTAATCCGTCTTGTATATCGCGTACATAGTTCAGAATGGCGTTTAACGAACTTATAAGGCCAGTTGATTCCGAGAGCTGCCGTTGAATCTCGTAATCGATTGCAAAGCAATGTTTGAGCCATTCCACGTAGGAATTCAGGTCGAATTGGAAATCCTCGCGTATCTGCGTCTAATAATTGCTTTAAAAGCAATTCCTCTTCAAATTCGGTCAGTTTATGACCATTTGCGCGTGTTTCTGCGCGTGGTTTCCTTCCTTTAAGACGCGCGTGTAAGGTCTTTTCAGGCACCGCGTAGACTTCAGCAGCCTTTGAAATTGATTTGATTTTTCGACCTTTATAGGCCTGTATAGCCATCTGAAGGCGAGCTTCTTGAGAAAGTGGCATTTTATATGATTGATGCGAAGAAAAGACGCGTTAAATGATGCTTGAGGTGGTTGGAGTGAAAATCCGCCGCTCGATGGTATCCGCCGCTCGGTGGTTGATTACGTTATGTTTAAGGGCCATTATGTCATCATAGGGATACCCCGATCTTTGCAACATGACCGTCCCTACTCTCCTCGTGTCTGTGCTTCGAAATTTTCAAGAAATAGGAATAGGGCCCTCATGAATATGTCGTCAAGTCCAAAAGATCTGGAGCAATTTACACGTCCAACCCCATCCATTCATCCCGCCGACGTACAGGCCTGCGCATACGAATTCGCAAATTTACGGCAACAACCCGGGGAGAGCGCGCGATCTGTGTTGAATCGCCTCATTCCACTTACCTTGATCATTCAGAGAGACCCCAATCAATTCTATATCCACTACTACTTCGAGATGCTTGACATTGACCTCCGAAATGAGGTCAAACGGGCGCCAGAACTAGTCTCCACTCACACCCGGCCGAAGAATCTTGTCGAAGCGGGATTCCTCGTGGAACGGTACGAGCGCTTGCTTGAGCAGGAAAAGGCAGAGCGCTCGCGGCTCCATCCTCACAAGCACAGGGCTTCTCGTGGCGGGCACCGACCTCATCAGAGACGACGGTCACAACGAAATCCCTCTTGCCATTCGCACTCCGAGGCCTACCATGCCCCAAAGCGCAGGGGGTTCGTCCAAGTGGGAAGTCAACCCAAGAATCGCTTGACAGACGCAGAACGCTAGAGTCTAAAGGATGAAAATCGATGCTTCCTCTGCAAGAAAGAGGGTTGCCGGATTGGAAATCACAAGCCGCGGTTAAGATCCTCTTGAAATGCGGCCAGGACTGGAACTGAAGTGGGAGAGACAACAATTCGAACCGAGACCCACCAGAAAAGCCGAGAGGACATGGTCATCCTTGATAGATCTACAGCGCCTACACGCAATTGATATGATAACAGGGAAAAATACCAAAGCCTCAGGTAGGGCCTGTATTCAGCCAAACCGAAAAAAATGTCCCGTAGACGTATGAGACTGTTCCTCTAGGAAATCACATTCATAGTAAAGGTTGTGCTCAAATTTCATTACCGCTCTAAACCAAAGCTATCATGACAGCCAGCTAACCGTTGCATGCAATTTGTAGCCGAACAGGATCCAAGTCTATTTACCGTGCAACAAATAACAAAGACCGCGCGATACATGTTAGCCCGTGAATGGCTCGCAGTAACAAGGGTGGATAGCCTTGACCGTCTCGTGACTCCCTAGAAATAGCGACGATCATGGCATGACTAGTTAATCACGAAATAAAACCCAAGCCTACGCTTCACCCGTCTCCCAAAGGTAGGTCGACTGAGAGTGGAAGTAGACGCTCATGTAGACGCCCTTCTTCTCCGTGTAGGAATACGAAACCCACGACTGCAGGCGAGAGGTCTGGGAAATATCCTGGTCGGGGCTGTTGAATACGTTAGCGGAACATTAATTCAAAGTTATAAGACGATCAAGTAGAAAAATGGTGATGTCAAAGGAAGGGCAAAGCTCAATGAATAGGAGAACTTACTAAAGGTCCTCCACAGTCTTCACGTATGAACGTGCATGTTCCGACCAGCCTAAGGAGTCCCAGAATCGGGCCAAGGACTCGGCCACAAATCGATCATTCTCGCCATGAACCGGGAGATAGAACTTTGGCACAGGGAATCGACCGCCGGGATGGATTTCGTAGTTCCAGATCATGGGCGACAGGACTTGGCTGGCGGCGGTGTCCTGGCTATGGTCGAACCCGCCGCTGAAGGCGCGAGTACCTTCGCCGATGCGCAACAGGGTCCAGAGTTCTCTCAAGTGATCCAACCCGGCCATTATCTCGGGCTCGTCGATTAGGCGCCCGCCCAGGGTGAACATTTCGGCGATCTTGGGCCAGGTCACCTCCGTATGAGCGCCGTAGAGCTTCAGACGCTGACGTGGCATGTCGACACAGTCGCAGGACAGGAAAGTATACTGGTTGTAGCCCGTACTTTCCTGCATGTAATCGTGCACGAGAGAGAAGGCGGGGAGGAATTGGTTGCGCTCGGCGTCCAGGCTTCGTACCGTGTCGGCGACGAGGTTACCGATAGGGATACCGGTTGCCTGGGCCTTCAGATTCGGAAACACGTATCCCTTGACCAAGACGGTGCCATCACGAAGGAAGTCGAAGCCGAACGCCCCCTGTGACTTCAAGGGGTTGGCATCCGGGACTTTCAGCAGCTCCTGGACTTGATGGACCTCTCCCGGGGACAGGTGGCAGTCCCCGAGCAGCCGCTGAAATAGTTGCGTATCGAAGTCCCGTAGAGGAAGCTTCACCAGCTGCCTGAGAAGATCGCCTACTGGGATTCCGTTGAAAGGATCCCGCGGCGTGCCGGACAGGAAACTGACGGGCTCGAACCCGATGCGCACCAGACGGTGGCAGCCTTTCTGAAAGTTGAGACTGAACTCAATGGGCAGCCCACTGCGCGAGATGGTGCTGCGCCACCGCTGAGGATATGGCCCGAGAGCCGGCAGCAGATGGTGGATGAAGAAAGACAGAAACTGATATTGTCGGTGTACGTCATATTGTCCGGCTTCGAGCATGCGGTTGAATAGCGGACCCGTATCCTCCCACCAGCGAGCCTGGTCCTCACTTGGGAAGTCGTAGTAGGTAGCTAGGATACCCGCGGGAGTCGGCCCTCCATGCTTTCGTATCGGCGTGGCCTTGGGATGCCCAGAAGCACTTTGGTGTACGATGGAATGGCTCGAGGTGATCGTCATACTGTGGGTAGTAGCCGATATAGAATGGCAAAGAGAGAACAGGTGTAAGCTAGCAGTTGTCTGACGGACTGCACCAGGTCTGTGTATACATTTCTATGAATCGTATCTGATCAGAGGATGCCAAATCGCCGAGATGAACTCGGGCATTGTCGGTAAAGAGCGGTGACAAGTGAATCATTTCGCTCTCCTCCCCCTTGCTTTAGGAAGGGGTATAATCGATGAAGGCTGGCTGTTATGCATTTGTTCTTGCGGACATTCCGGCCTCAGCTGGCTCTGGCTTCTGTCGGCAAGGAGCCAAAACCGCAGGAATGCTGCCTTTGTCATCAGCCAACTATATTCATCCTTTGGCATGCAGAGCCCGTCGGGTGACACCAAAGCCCTAAAATCATCGAGGATTAGTCCAGCAAAGTCTAGACCCTACTTGACTAATGTGTACAATATCCAAGCTTTGCATTGTTCGCACCCTTGGCATCGTATTTTGTAATTATGTACGGTGGTATCTTGACGTTGCACTTTCAATACCTGCGAGTTATCTTTCAGGGCTCCTTGATCGCGAGAATGAAAAGGAAATGGTATTTTAAGGAGCGACAAATAGTGGAAGCTAACCCTTCGTAGGTATCGTAGAACAATCTTTGAACAAATATATGACTACTGCTACAGCTGACGCTTAGTAAACACGATTGGCATTCGCTCAATGCCAAGCGAAAAGTGATCTTCTGCGTGGTCCACGAAAGGTGTTGCATCCACACCCTTGGGGAACTGGATATCAAAGGTCATGATTAACCGAGCAATGGTTGTGCGGATGTTCATGAGCGCGAGCGGCTTGCCGATGCAAGAGTATGGGCCTGTGGAAGGTATCAGCAACTGATCGCAAAGCCTCGTTGAAATAGCTGCTGGATATAAGGAAGAGCGCACCCGTCATGAATGGAGCATGGGCTGACCGGTGCTTGATCAGGTTGGGATATTTGTACCAGCGCTCAGGAATGAAAGAAAGTGGTTCTGCATAGGCCGATCCGGCTAGAAATCATAAGCCATTAGCTAGAGAGAATGACGATGGACGGGGGTGTGCTTACATCGCCCAATGACCCACTGGGGAGAAAAGACCGTCATATCGCCGGGGATATGCGTGTCCCCTAACTGGATCCCTTCTGCAGGTGTCTTCCGCGGGATAATGCTGGGAACTGGCGGATGCAGTCGCAACGTCTCGTTGATGAACCCATTTAGTCGGGGCAACTGCGAGATTCGGTCGTGAAGGAATTCGCCTGTTGCATCGGTTTCGATTGGCAGCAGCTCTGCGCGCAGCTGCTCCACCTCTTGTGGGTGATGGGCCAGTTCATAAACGATGCTAGTCAGAGTTGTGGCGGTTGTATCACTATTGAGAGGTGTTATGACGCGAGATTCATGTGGAAAAAGAGAACCACAGGACGAGACACCTACCTTCCTGCCGTCACAATGAGCATAGCATCGCCCATCAGCATATTGAACTCGTCGGTTGTGGGAGCCCGACCTTTCAAAGGAGCGAGGAAAGAGGCACAAATGTCAGGGATCTCGACCTTGTCCTGAGCGGCATATCAACAAAGATCCCAGAAACAAGCTCGGGTTGTGGAGCGGAAAAACACCTACGTTCATGCGATGAACAAGACGCTGCGTGACAAACTCCACGAATCTATGCCAATCCTTGGAGAGTGAGGGCATAGTGACTAAAGATCGAAATACCCACGACGGAACGCAGTATTTATACGGCGTGATGCCCGAAAGCAGGACGTCGATGGCCCAGTGGCTTCCGCTGGTGTCGAGCATGTCGAAGCTGCGGGCGAAAGCCAAATCACCCATGACATCGTAGCTGTAGAAATTGAACCAGTCGCTGACATTGACCGTGAGCCCGGCGGCAGCATTCAGGCGATGGAAAAGCTTTTCGCGATATCCACGGATTCGCGTCTCGTAGCCTCGTAGGGCTCGATCGCCGAACCCTGTGCTCCAGATGCGACGGCGCTGGTCGTGGGCCGCTCGGCTTCGATGCGAGTGCAACGAGAGCATCGGATGTCCGTTATCATAGAAAGAGCCCTTGGAGCAACGTGACCGAAACCCGTAAATGAGGTCGACTGCCTCTGGATCGGCAATGGAGAGCTCCGAAGGGCCAACACGCACCACAGGGCCATATTCTTCGTGCAGCTCATACAGCTTCCGGAAGGCCGGGCGATCTCTGAGGTTGATTGAGAACCATAGACCGGACAGCCTGGCTCCGTAGGGGCCGGGAAAGCTGCGGAGAGGATGGTAGTGTGCGCGGTAGACAAGGAGAGAGGTGTATAACCCGATGAGATAGGCAAATGACAAGCCCCCTGCGGTCTTTACAGAGTCATACAGGGGAACACGGGCAACTCTTGCAACCACAAGTATGGCGATGAAGACAAGTGCGTGCCATTTGACGTATCGCAGAGGGTATAGATGATGCTCTCCTCGTCGAAAATATCCTGCATGGGAGGCAACGCCAACGACGCCTGCGAGGACATGTGGGAGACCCATAGCGGACGACAATTCCACGGTCGTTGTGTCGAGAGCAGAGCGACGGAGATTTCCTTCGCACTCAACCCGATGGGAATGGCGATAGCGAGATAGGATATCAGGTTCAGTGGATTAATGAAAGAATGATTTCAGCAGCCTCTGACTGCGTTCCAATCATAGAGAGCGAAGAGGTCGGCCACGTCAAGCAGTCGGCTACTACCGGCATGCAAGGCAAGGGATGGAATGCAGGCCTCGAAGATGGTTGAAATGTGTGAGATTCAATTTGTCGCCTGTTACGCATCCACATAACATCACCACTGGTATTACCAAGGTTTTAGCCCCTTGCAGCTGCAGTCAATGTAGTCTCGCGGGGAGAGGAGTGACCCGATCGGTTGGACTCTGATCTTCGCATCTAAGTCCTCTCTGACATCCTGAAACCCATCCATCTCTTGTGCACCAATCCTTCCCCTAACGGAGGCGAGAAGGTCTAATAGAGCTGCTACGTGGTAAGATGGCCACCTTCGCTGGGCTAGAGCTGCCCTCGGGGCTTGCGGCGACAGGCTGCATCCTCGGGCTCCTTCTCGCTGGAACCTTCTTCTTCATGGTGGCTCCCCAGCCGGAGGATCCCAAAATCGTGAATAAATATCGGTGGGACTATTTTGAAGCCAAAGCTAGACGGGAATTTGACATGAGGGCTGAGGAATTGATCAATAACGGAGTCGCCAGGGTGAGTGGCACAACGCACCTTTGAGAGACGATGGAGAGAGACTGATGTGCATAGGCAACTTCAACCTTTCATATGATCACTGGGTTTGGACTTCGATTGATTCTGTCGGATAAACTGGCCGATGCAGCGGGCATGGATGACCGGCTGGACCAAGACAAGGGAATTGCTTCGGTATGCCTTTCCTCTTTTCTCAAACAAAGCATACATAACAAGAAAACCATCGGGCGTCACTAACCCAGGTGACTTTTCCAGGTCAACCTTGTCCATTTGAAAGGCCTTGAGACCAAATTTGCCGGTGAACTACACGACTCGGTTCCACGTCCGGCGGCGAGTGCCACATCCAAACGATTGGGTAGGGAGGCTTGCGATGCGATAAACCCCGTTAAGACTTGAAGGCTGATCTTTGGTCCCCTTGAGGCTTCAGTGCATTTGACCCGACCTTTCTCAGACGAAACAGAGGATTACCTGCAGAAAGTATGGACCGACTCGACAGGTAATGCAGTGGATTCAGTTAATGCTTCCTGTATCTTCTTGCTGACGGCGAAACCATAGAATGGCATGAGCTGTTGCTCTACCCCATGGTAGGCCGAATGACGGCCCAGATAACAGGACGGGCCTTTGTCGGACCCAATCTGTGTCGCGATCCTCGTTGGCTCGAGATCATCGCGACTTATTCTGTCAAACGATACGCAGCCGTCGTGGCCGTCCAGCAATTTGCCACTTTCCTTCATCCCTTCGTCCACCGAATTCTTCCGGCCTGTCGCAAGCTTCGGGATCAAGTTCGACAGGCTCGAGAACTCATTCAGCCGGAACTGGACCGCATAAAGCACAAGAAGGTGGTGGATGAGGAGTTCACTAGCTTGGCATGGATCCATGAGTTTGCCCAGGGTTCCATCTACGATGCCGGTCTGGCGCAACTGCGACTTGCAGCTGTGGCTAACCACACCACCACTGACATGATGTGCAAAATCATGATCCGACTTTGCCAGCACCCAGAGCTGATCCAGCCGCTTCGCGAGGAAGCTATCTGGGCTGTTCGAGATGGTGGGTTGCGCATTGCTGCCTTGCAGAAAATGTTCCTGATGGAAAGCTTCATGCAAGAGAGCCAGCGTCTGGAACCATTTATGCTCTGTAAGACCCTCATTCTTAATTTCTTAATGAAGGAAAATACCCCTATCAGGTCGCAGCCTAATGTCTTTTGCCACGATCTAGTATCCATGTTTCGCTACGCCACGGAGACAGTCGACCTCCCAGACGGCACCATAATCCCCCAGGGAACCCTCATGGCCGTCGCAAACCCCAGCCGACTAGATCCTACAATCTTCCCCGACCCTGAGAAGTTTGACGCCTATCGTTTTGTCAAGTTGCGCCAAGACCCCGAGCGTGCCCATCTGGCCCCGTTCACGAAGACCAGCTACAGCCAATTGAACTTTGGTCACGGTAAACAGGCGTGTCCGGGAAGATTCATCGCAGTGAATGAGATCAAGATCGTACTCTGCCACATTCTACTGAAGTATGACATGGAACTTGTCGAAGAAGCCCCCTCGGAGCTGGTCCGAGTTGGTCTTTTGACCGTGTGTAATCCCGGCACGAAGATTCGAGTGAGGAGAAGAGAGGAGGAAGTTGCCTTATAAGAGTGCTGTCTACATGTTCCTAGTGAAATCAAACATATGTTGATATAAAGCTTCAAGGAGTTTATATCATCATACTAAACAAGAGGTAAACCATTCCGTTATACATAAGAGTTAGAAATCACGACTATGGTACTGTGTACATAGTAAACTATCTCCTTTGGTAACACATGTACACCGAGCATCCAGACCGCAGTCAAGGCGTGTAGTTTCTAGAACTAGCTAAAGGCAACGGTTTCATCCTTCCACGAGGGACAATGTCTCGCTGGGGGAACCTGAGCATCTCATCCTTGCTACTGTTACCGTACATCTATGCAAAGTCGACGCAATCCTTTGAGCAGGGAAAGAATTGCATGAATACCCCTCTAAGCAGTCAATCATGCAGTCAAGACTCATTCAATTTCCAGACCAGGGATAGAAATGCAACCTAGGCAGCAAGGGGGTTTGATCCAGCCCCCCTGTTTCTTTACCTGATCTCCACTGTCTAGCGATGTCTCAATAATAGATCATGAGTGATGGTCATGATACGGAAAGGTTACATGCCGTGTTCCGAGCCCGTAGCATTCAATGTAACTGTCCCCCAGCCCTGGACATATGTGCAGACACACATTTTGACCGTACAGCTCGGCACTAGCTGTGCCGTGGAATGCTTCACTGACCCTTGCATGGCTGGGTGTTCCACACCTAGGCTACCGGCTGCTGGAAAGGCAGGCAACATTCCAGTATGTGGCATTCAAGCCAGCGCACCAAGTCTTGACAGGGTGATTATAGTACCATGCGAGGGGCAAGGTTTCCAAAACTCGAGGCATGCGGGGGAGCAATTTTGAGTGCGCATATCTATACAGTCGGCATGAGCGAATGTATGCAAGATTTGGCCAGTAACAGTAGTCTCTTATCTTCTCTCTCGCCCGACATGTACAGCGATCGACGCAACGCAGTAGACTAGAGAGCATGCAATTCTCACTTAGTCTGCTTTCCAAGCGAAGGTCAATAATATTGAGCCCAGCCTCAGTCCCTCGTAGCCAGCAATAGCACCAGATAACCGGCCATATTTGCCCAACAACAGATCCGTCAATTAAATCGACAATGACTGTAAGCGAAACTGGAGCCCGACCACCTCATTCCTCCGGCATCACCGTCCTTGTCGTAGGTCTGGGACCGGCAGGGCTAGCAACGGCGATTGAATGTCACCGCAGAGGCCATAAGGTGATCTGTCTGGAGCGGAAGCCAGAGAGCTATCACTTGGGTGGGTAGACAATCTTGAATCAACCGGTCAAGTCAACGCGCGCTAACAAGAGCCTTGGATCGCAGGGGATTTGATTAGTTTGACAGGGAATGCCGTCCGGGTGCTGGAGAACTGGGGCGATGGCGCCGTTATCCGAGCCATGCAACACTTCCAGTGCAATTTGAACACCCTGCAAGTTTACGACGAGACCGGCGCACTGAAGCTCCGGAAGCCTCACAACGCCACGGACGCGCAAGAGGACGGATACATGCTGCGGCGATCACGGCTTCTAGAGATTTTTCTGGATCAGTTGAAGAGCCTGGGCATCGAGATTCGTACCGGCATCCAAGTGACCGAATACTGGGAGACTGATCGCAATGCCGGGGTTATTGTTGGAGACGAGATCATCACCGCAGACTGTGTGATCGCGGCCGACGGCGTTCACAGCAAAGGCAGAGCACAGATATCCAGGGAAGAGTTTACCCTCGAGGCTACAGACGGCGCTGCATATCGGGCCTTTTTCCCTGCAAGCACCATCGCGAAGGATCCGGAAGCCTCCTGGATTATCAAAGATGCCGGCGACAAGGACTGCTTCCACACCTTCTACGGAAAGGACATCGTCATCATGGTGGGAACCGCGGAGAATCATCAATATATCTTCTGGAGCTGCGGACACAAGGAGAACGCCGAATCCGAATCTGACTCGGTAAGACCGGTCCTCGAATTCATCAAAGACTGGCCGGTCGCAGGCAAGCTCGCTCCTCTGATCTCCAAAACTCCAGACGCCAATTGGATGAACCAGGCCCTGTTCACTCGAGCGCCGTTGAAGAAGTGGGTGTCCGACAAAGGGAGGATGATCGTGGTTGGCGATGCAGCCCATCCGTTTCTACCGCATGCTGGTCAGGGCGCAAACCAGGGCATTGAAGACGCAGCGGTCGTGGCTTTGTCTCTCGAGATTGCCGGCAAGAACGACGTGCCGCTAGCCCTGCGAGTGGCCGAGAAACTAAGGTATGGATGCTATACCTGTTCCTATTGAATAACGTTCTATGGCGCTGACTAGGATATGATACCAGGTACCACCGGACTGCTGCCATCCAAAAACGCGGCGTCCAGGCGAGAGATCAGTCTTTGAATGTTGACTGGAACAAGGGAGGGTTTACCAAGACACTTGAGCTTCGTCCAGCCTGGTTGCATGACCACGACTGCGTGAAACAGGTCTACGAAGAATTCTCCAGTGCTGCTGATGCTGTCCGAAAGGGCACTGGCTATACACCGGCGTCGGGGATCCCAAGCGACTAGAAATGCTTTGTCTAGGTTGAATTGCTAGTCTCCAGAATGTTCAAAGGACAAGATAATTTTGCGACGTATAGTCAATATCAATATAATTTACAAAGTGCCGATATACTGGTTAACGGACGCAATCCCCTCGTAAGTCGCCACAGCGCCGTTTCCCTGCGGTGGCGGCGCGGTGCTCGTCCAGTTTGACACCATCAGATACAGTCCGTTGGGCTGGGTGGTCGACCAGGGATGAATGAAGCCACCGTATAGCAACGATCCGTCGCCGACCTGTTCTACCTGCACCTTCTCCTCGGACCACGGGCCCGTCGGTCTTTTGGCGGTGCGGGAGACGATCCAAGGATTCGTGCTCGGCGCATTCAGATAGACCATAGCCCAAGTGCCGTCTTCCAGCTTCCGCACCGACGGTTCTCCAAAGGTGCCCTCGAGGATCGGCGAGCAATGATCTCCCCAGTCCCAGCCGTTGCCATCCAGTCCCCAACATTCATACTCGTCCTTATCCTTGATCAGGTCCCAGCGGACGCGCTGCAGCAGCATCGGGCCGAATTGAACAGGAGAGCGTGTAGAAAAGATGTACACCCACTGGTCATCGCGCTGCATGGTCCACATCTGGAAGGGATCGGTGTTGTCTTCGTTATTCCACCACTTGGAATTGTCCAGACGCTCAAAGGTGTTGCCGTCCGTGGAGACCGCCAGGCCGGAATAGTTGGGGGTCCAGGGCGCGGTCCAATTCATGACGCTCATGTACGAGATGAAATGCTCGCCCGTCTCGGGGAAGCTGATTCCATCGTTGGGAAGCACCGAGTACTCCCAAATGCCCGAGTTGGTGCCATCGTCGCCGCGATTGCCATTATGCGTGATTTGCTGCGCGAGCCCGTCTGCATCTGCGTCGACTCCGGCAGCGCCCTGGAACTCCAGGCCGTCCTCTTCGCCCGGATGGATTCGCGAACGCAGCATCACAGGGCAACGCCAGTCTTTCGCATCCTCCACCCGCTTCGAGCTCAACGTGTCGCCGAAAAGGAAGCCAATTTCGCCGTCGTCTTGCACGTACGGGATACCCAGGTCCGTCGCGGTGACACCCCAGCGGCGGCCACTGTCGCAGTCTTCACAAGTTAGCCGTTTCTTGAAGACGGCATGCGCGCTTTGGACAGAAGCGACAGAGCACAGCAGAATGCCGGTCAGGAGGTGTGCGCGGAGCATTTTCGGTTGGTTCGTTTTCGGTTGGCTCGTTTTCGGTCTCGCGCTGTCAAACAGAAGAGAAAGCGATGCAAGTGGAAAGACGTGCTGCAAATCATTCCTGAAGGCTACCGCACTGGAGCTTTTCTATTAAAACGGAATTCGCATGTAGTGAGAATGTCGGCATCATTGCCAGTGAGATACCACGTAGGAACCCGAATCGGGTCGACGTGACAGTAGCCGAGTCTGGACCCAAGTATACACCGCACATCCAGCGTCCGGATTCGGAATGAATTGAAGCTCGGGGATTACCACCGCAACATCGGTGCGTATACGCGGCGTTGAGTAGGCCCCGGATATTTCCGCATCCGGGGAAGCTTCATCGAGCAGAGTTTTTTTGGGGCGCAACGAGCTAGATAGATCACCGCGAGGCTTGCAGATTATTGTGATGATCGTCCTTCATTAAACTCTCGATGAAAGATAGTGAAAGCCGCTATGCACAATGCATGTGCAATGTGAAGTCGAGTGTGGTTCGACTGGAAGGAGATCGCTTCGGATATCGTAGACTGATGAGCAATGTGGAAAAGTAGTAAAAGAAGGATGGAATCGCAGGATGTAGAAACATGCGGTCAACATTGTGCAGGGTGGGAACTCAACTTCTGTTTCTACCTACTCTAAATCAGGCAAATCCGTGAGAATTGTTTGGATGTAAAGTATGCGGTTTGGTCATATACATCTGGTTTACGATTGAGTCCCTGCTGTACTTGCTCTTTTGGCCCCAGGATCATGATGATATCAAGGAAGAAACCGTAGGTAATCGGCCCCAATAAGCCTCTTGAGAACAGTCTCGTCCAGTCCTTCGAGTCCAAAAGAGAAATGCGCCCATTTACCTTTACCCTCTCTTCGAACCTGTTGCACGCGCTGTTGCACCTCCTTCGCTGCGTGCAAAATCTCCCGGAACCGTTCTATTTCTTTGCTCCGTCGATATTTGATCCGCTCCAGTTCGACATCCCACGGTAGGTCGGCTGCTTCGGAACCATCTCGGACCGGAGAATGAATGGACGTTGCCAGTGACCGGGAGGAAGGATATCCCACCCGACAGGCTGGAAGCAACTCGCTATCATCAATCGGCGGAAGCCAGCCAGGTCCCAGCCGAACGAACTCGACATTCCGCCACGATCCGTTCCAATCCGGACCCGAGGTATATGTTTCGCCATTTGGTCCGACACTCTCGCAGCTCAGAGCACCAAGCCAATCCCCACAGCCCTCTAGGTCAATCCATTTTAGACAGTAAGTTGCGCGTGCGAGTCTCCGAAGAATCGATGCGGCTTCGGCCCAATCATCATTAGACGTCGCGCCTGTGGCGGTGTGTGAGAAAGACCACGCCCTGGTGGTTGGGGCGATGGCATTTGGCGTAATAGCCGGGGCCGGCCAGTAGGCCAACGATAGATGAGTGAGAGTTGAAAGACGCGATAAGAGGTTGATGAGCGGGTTCCAGTTAGCAGCTGTTGGGTGTGCGAGGGAGAGATAACGGAGATTCTGGAAGCGGAGCCCTTGACTGAGTGCCTGCGGAAGAGGTGCATCAATGCTGGTGGGCTCGTCAACCTCCTCGTCAGACTCAGCATCCCAAGAAGAAGGAATGACTTCCTTCTGCTTGTGTTGTGCGGGAAGTGACCTTCGCGACACTACCAGCTCATGGGAAAGTTGATTGATATTAATCCATCGTCCGATCGCACTGCCCAAATCAAGCCGTATAACCTCCGATTCATGCCGAAGCCGGTCGAGCCCATCCTCTTCGTCCTGTGTATCGAACTGCTCTTTCTCAAACAGTGGTCGTAGGCCTTGCATTATCCCCAGTATCGGTTGGTCTCGCGCATATATGCCAATGTAACTCAGCAGGAGCATCTTAATATGGCTCGGCAGAGTATCCAAGAACTGTCCATCATAATGTACATGCCACACCCATTGGGCGGCCATCGATTTAAGCACCGTGTGTAAGAGGGTGTGTCGCTCAGGCATAGTGTTGCCCGGCAGACGATCTAGACGGTAGATTATTCTCTCCGTTTGTGAATTCCCCAGATCAGCGGTCTCATTGTCTTCGGCATTATCTCCAGCAGCGTTCCCCAGAAGCCAGCTTTCCGGTGGTGGGGGACCAGCTGTTCTTCTCGACGGTCGCCCGCCGATTCCCACACGCCGAGTGCCCGGGCGAGGTCGAGGAGGTGGAATTTCTGGAAGTTCTAGGAGGTTTCGCAGGGACGGATGCACGGATCGAGAAGCAATCTGCCTGGACGGGCTTCCGTGCCCATCTTCGGCAGTTCGGGATACTTGAGTGCGACGAAGATGGTTGATCATATCGTTGACGGAGGACTCGGCGTTAGATGACGCCTGCGACGGTCGAAAACGATCATTATGGCTACCGCGGGGACCAGATGAGGCTAGAGTATGATGAGCAGTGCTTGCGGGCTTCGAAAATGAGTGGTTGTGATGCTTTTTGGGCATCGAGGGTGGTGTGAAGAGGAAAAAAGGGTGGGGAGCAAGCGGAAGTCGGTGTTGGCGGGTCTGAGGTTATTCACCTGGTCTTAAAGGCGAGTTTTGGCCCCCGCCACCAATACTAAGCTGATCCATGAGTCACTGAGCTGACACGGTTGGATGATCTCTGTACAAAATAGGTCTTCCTATGGCTAATATACAATATTTATTTCAGCCGGAGCTCGGCCGCTATACATCCCGCACCCAGGAATCGTCCTCCATCTTGCCTTCCCGCTTGGGACCTTCCTGGATCCAAGTTTCCACCAGCCCTTCCTTGGGATCCTCATCGGAAAGGCCTCTGGAGCGCCTGACGTCAAGCACCAGGTCTCGTACTTTCTTCGTCACCTCCTTGCGCAGCTCGACGGCTTCCTTTCCGTATAATAGCTCATCGCTCAGGACTCCGACCGGTTGATTGCGGGTTTCGGGAGCGGCCAATTCGGCCTTTGCCTTCAATTCCTGCCATCGCTTCCTCGGTTCCCCAAATATGGCGTCGGTGTCGACCTTCTTGCCGAATGTCACGCTGACATCTTTTCCTGGCCGCGGGAGAAAGCGCGGGAACTCGCGACTCTCGTGCATGACCTGATCGAAACCCTCTAACCAAATCGGCACAACGTCGGGACATTCGCTGGCCTCCAAGATGAGTCTGGCCACACCCCATTTGAAATAGCGCATCGTCTTGTTCGGAGCCTGGTGAATCTTGCCCTCGGGGAAAATGTGAAACCAGGAGTACGAATTGCAAGCGTAAGCGGATGGCGCGAGGTGGGAATCATGGCCGTCCGTGGTGTACGCCGTGGGAAGGTCGGAAAACGGATCGACGCAGACGTTTTGTATGCTCCAGTGCTGGCGTTCGGGGATCGCAGGATGCGGTTCGACGGGGAAAGGGCCTTTAGACAGTAGTCGGATGGCCTGTGTGACGGCGGGCTGCGCGAGGCCACCGTAGGGGGAGTGGGCGAGTCGGTGCGTAGGGAGGACCTGGCCCATAGTGAAGAACAATGCTAGTGGTCTTCCGACAGCCAATGATCAGCCCCGATCATACCACGCGCGAACCAAGAGAAGAGAGGAGAATATACCGAGTCTGATAACAGATGTCATGGCTTCCAAATCCCCAGCGCTTGGTCTGATTTTGTAGCCCAAAGTTATATCGCATTGGGAGAAACCCCCACATGAGCGGGTCGTCCATACTGCTCGAGTCAGCGACCACGGTCAATGCACTCTCCTGCGTCGCGTGTAGCAGGGTCGCCTTCAGTCGGGGGTAAAGCAGGACGCATGTACGTACACGCTGGTGTGGTTTGAAACTATAGACGACGATTCTCGGTCAGCTCCTATCTCTGTGTCTTAAAAGAACGAGGGAGAGAGTTGTACCTGTCAGCAATCCCCTCGTCCGTTGCGACGGATCCTGCCGTGAATCCAACAGCTCCAGAAACGAGTCCAGCCCGTGTACCTCGGGACGACTGCACAGGTACAGAAACGAGCGACACAAGCCCGCCACACCAAAGATAGTCGTGGCGGACATTGCCCTCCAGGGCAGCGAGGGCGACTCCCCCGTTGCGCCGGAATCCGTAGCGCGGGACATAGTCGATCTATAGGAAATCCATTAAAGTAGGAAAAGAAACGCTAGAAAAAAGCACTCCGACGCACCTCCGACGGGGGAGGGCAAGCAGATCAGAAACCAAAGGATGGGACGAGAGAAAGAAATGAGAATGAGAACAAGAATTGGCGAAGTCCAACGCGGGAGGGAATTTTGGCCGCGGAGGTGCACGGACCACCGCCGGCTCGACGGGATTTTCTCTTCACTTCGACTCTCCGGACCTCCGCTTCTCTCCCTCTCAGCCTCCCCTCTGTTTCCCCATCTCGTCGCCCACAATGATGTTCAAGCCGTCGTCACCTCTTTTTTCGGGTCTCCTGTGGTATGTCCCTTGTGTCAATGGTCTTCTTCCGACTCGTTCTCGCGCAGCTCGCCGATCACTATGACAGCTAGACAGACGGATAAAAAGAACCCAGGCTAATCATCCCTTCACCCGCAACAGGAAGATCCCATGGCGTATCTCTGCCCCCCAGAAGGCTCGTCAAAGGAAGCGTTTGCGATCGGTCGATCGCGTGGTCGACACCGTCAGTGCCGCCCTTCAGCGAAACGGAGAGACCACGAAGATGGTGGAGCGCTGGTACAAGGAAATGCCGCGCGAGGAGGAAATGCTTCCCAAGGACAAATACACGATCTTCGATAAGAAGGAGAAGAAATACCGCAAGGGAATTCACAGTACGTTCGTCTTAGTATCTCATCCCGGATGAGACCGATTGATGGACTCCGTTGTGGTGATGGAAACTGACCGATTCTCTTCGCAGAGTTGCCGAAATGGACACGAGTCAGCCAGCGGGTGAACCCCCCTGGTTTCTAAGCGGCTGCTACAGATGAGAAACCTTTCCTACGGGCGACTACTGGCGAAATCGACCCTGCGAGTAAATATTTGGATTGTTACTGTACGATACACTACACAGCGCATGTTGACCTCATCCTCTATCAAGGAGTGTCTGGAATTCGAAACGGGATGTAGGCAGGGTTATTGGAGTTTCTTTTGGCAATTGGGCGAATTGCACCATGATTGCATTTGGTTTATGTGACGTTATTTATAATGTTCATCTTTGAGGCTTCATGCCACACCACAGAGTGTTTTTGCCCCTCAGACGAAACCATAAACAGCAAAGTAATCCGTCCGGTTTGATCGGGCGACTGCGAAGATAATATGGCGAACTGAATGCGATAGAAGTGGCAAGGGAATGAGCGCGACCTGGCGACGGCATGAAATAAGAATATCAGATGCATTACCTGTTCCCAACATGGAGTAAATCCCCAGAGCCTGGTCTATTTCCCGCTGACCGTTTCCAGTTGCAACAGCTCATTGTGGTTCTTGGTTCGTCTTGAGCGACCGTGAGAAGACTTCCGATTGTATCTTTCTAGAATATCGTGCGATATCATGACCCATTTCTTTCACTCGTCCCCGGTTAACTCGACCTTCGTGGATTGCCTTGTGGATGCGATACCCACGGCGAACTCTCTGCCAGTCACCGAGCGTTTCCTGCCACCCAGCCCCCCCTTCATAGTAGGTCTCTTCTTGCTTTTTTGATATGCCGAAACCCTGTGGTGGCTTGCGGAGGATCCAACACGCCGGGTCAACATCTCCGTCCGGGGGTTCATCAATCGAGCCATCATATAACTCAACAGTCTTTATGAAATCCTTGAGGCCCGTATGCCGCCGGTTTCTGTTTACCGCGATCCTCCAAGAATCGATTCGGGGCTCATGGACGACCTTGCGATGCACTTGCGGATACTTCGGCTTCCCGCTCCAGTCGGGAAGCGGATACGGTACATTAAACCGTGGGTCACCTAGTAGTCGCCTGGCTTCAATTGGAACCCGTGATATGGGATCGTATACAATCCAGGTCTTCTTATTCAGCCAGTGGTTGGCAAGCATGGCGAAGTGAAACGCTCTCCGTCCTGGACTAAGTTGATCAGAGAGCCAGTCCAGCCGTCGGTCAAGACCGTCTATCAGCCGGATTTCCCAGTCACTCAAGTACCCGATAGGTACCGTTACTTGCGGAAACATGTAACCCTTAGTATTCTCGGAGAGTCTTTGCGTGCGCATTGTCTGCAGTCTCTTTTCGCCAGCTTGCTTTTCAGTCTGTGCAGGCCTTGTAATTGGCGCAGAGAGAGCTTGCGACCCCGGACGTTTTGATACCCTCTCGTGAAATTTCAAAGGGACTGTACCGGTCGTTGAGTGACGCGAGGGTTGCGGGCTGGTGAGTATGTGCACGGAGGTCCAGCTTCCATCATCGGGGCCATCATTCTGGGGGTGCATTACCCGAGCTCTTTCTCGAGGATGAGCTTTCCGCCCGAAGCTGACTCGAAGAAACTCGCTAGATCCAGAGGAAATGCTCATAGCGATCGTTTCCCTTGCTCGGCGCGTGGATTCCAGGCAAAAGGTTTGCTGGGAGGAAATGCTCCTTAACATTTCCGAACAAGGACTTCCTGGAGGCGCAGAAAACTTTCCCATACCGTACACTACATCTGCTGCTGGGTTGACCTCCATCCGGGCTGACCAAACCTGGTATTTGCGAGTGCATCGGAGGAATTTAGATGGGTCGGGCATTGCCTGGGGGTGGCTCATTTCCGCGCTATTTCGTGAGACTTGTGACCACTCTTTCATTTTCTGCAAGACGAGCTCCGGGGTCAAGAGGCATGGGAGGGACTGCCAATATCTTAGCGACTGCTCGTAGTCGGCGAACAGCTCCACGGGGCAGTTGTCTTTCATGGATGGAGATGCTTGGTCTAACGAGAAAAAGCGTCTACTCATGTAGGATGTAGGAGTTTCACCGGCTTGGGGTCTGCTTTGGATTGCGGCACTGCAGCTGAGAATTCTGCGAGCATCAATTTCTAAAGTCATTCCGTTCGTTTCCAGGATTATAGACTCCTCGTGGATTGTCGGGGCGTTCTCGCCATGCTTCCATCGGGATACACTGTATGATTCTCTGGTCGTTACCCTGGTGGTCTCGCGAGACTGAAGAGCGCCCGACATCGCGAATGGCAGACATGGCCCCGTTCTATTAGATAGCGGGGGCATGCACGAACGGTGGCCCCAAATCGTATCGGCTGCGGTATACTCGTAGTCCTCGAAGCAGGCCGGTAACAATCGCAGAGGTCCTTGTTTTTTGCGACGGCTTTTCGTTTCCATCTGCCCTGGATTCCACCACACCCAGCTGTAGTCATCCTTGGATGATTGCCACGAAGTCCAATTCCGAATCCAACGAAACCACCTTTTGAGTCGTGCTTTATTGAGTTCATGCTGCTGCAATGGTATCCAACCATACCATGTCTTCGCATATCGTGAGGCGGTGATGTTTCCTCCTCCGAGGACTCGATCCTTGGTGAAACGCCGAAGGAACCTTCCAAGCCTCCAGAATAGCACCGCAAGAAAGAATATGCAGACCGTACCCGCAAAGAGCTGCAGCAAGACCTTGAGACTGATGTACTTCCTACCCGGCAAGGGAATGGCAGGGGTGCCTTTCGTTGGTCGGGGAATAGTAAGAGTGGGATTGTGGAATTGTCGGGCAAGGATGGGTGCCATCTGATGAATGCCAAAAGCTGTGGCCAGATAATAATCATTCTGATAACAATAAGGGCCCTGGAGTGAGTATGCAGGGCCGGTGGAGAATGAAGTCGAGATGTTGTTGCTGGACTTCCATCTTCACCAGGCAGGCCAGACCACTCGGCACGTGCGACGCTGCCGTTCCTTCCGTCCTTTGTTCATCTCACTCCATCTTCATTCATCCTTCTTGCGTCGCCCTGTTAATCGGACTGCTATCTTGTCCCGTCCGCTTCGTTGCAAAATAGAAGCCCATGTCAGATATTTGTGCACATCCATTGGATACTCGTCACATTCGCCCTGCTTGCATGAGATTGTCCCTCTAATAACCTCTCCCCTACGTGCGACGCGACGGCACATAGGTCCTGTCGACCTTTATCACCCAAACACACCAAGACCTTTAGTCTTTCGGGTTACTTAGGACACCAATATCGATACTTCAAGGCCAGCAGCAGAGGGAGGGTACATTGATTTCAATCCCTGCTCCGTCCGGTACTTGACCCGTGCACAACGAAGACTCCTCGACTGACCCCACCTAAAAATTAGTGTCTCGATGATAAGCACTCAATCGCATCCAATGGAGTCGTACTTTTGACTTGACATCATTCCATGTCGCGGAACCGGAGGCCCGTGAGGTGGTGTTACCCCAGCCAGCATCATCTTGACTCATGATGATAGCAATAGGTACATCCGAGATCGACACGACTCCTGCTCCAATTCACTTCTTGGACATCAACGGTGATCAACCGAGCTAGAGACGCCTCTACCCCTCTCTGCGGTCCAATGTGAAGCCGACGATGCTAGTCGATGGAGCGGGAAGTTGTGCAGCGTTCCCCGCCATGGTGCATTTAATATAAAATTGGATAATGTCGACCCACCATAACCCCCTGGCCGTCGGAATCTCTACAAATCATAACTCGTGCAATTCAAAACGCCATCTGTACTGTGATACAACTTCACGCGCACCATGCGGGGTATGCGTCTCTGAGCAGTCTAGATCATCAAGGAAATGCATTGTGTTCTATGGTCGTATTGTCTGGGCATTGCATGGGGTTGTGAAGCGCCAAGTGGGAAAGAAACACAATTACCTCGCGCCCAGCACTGGATATGCTCGTTCTAATAGTATTAGACTTATGCTAATGCACAAGACGGAGATATAAAGACCAGCTTCTGTACCGGGTCTTAAACGCTCTGACGCTCATCCCAAAATCAACTTGCTCATACACCGTGGTTTCCAATTGTCTATATGGCTTCGATTTCAAACCTTGGCTCTCTAGACCTCGGGCCGTTACTCTGGGCTCCAGTGCTGGTAGGTTCTCATTCAACGCTGACCCCCACGGCTTTATCATTGTACAAAATCCTTAACTGTTACGTGATAACAGGCTACCGCTTTCTTACTATGGAGAATCCTTTTCAACATATATCTGCATCCCCTTAGCAAGCATCCTGGTCCTAAATTGGCAGTTATCTCGGATCTTGCTCAATCTTACTGGACCTTTACCGGAGTTTTACATTCAAAGCTCAAAGACCTCCACGAGCAGTATGGTGATGTGGTACGCATAGGTCCTAACATGCTCGTGTACCGGAATGCACAGGCGTGGAAGGATATCTTCGGCCACCGTAAGTCAGGTGATGGGTCTTTTCTCAAAGACCAAAACTTCTACCCACCCACGCCAAGCGGTCCTATGCTATTAGCAGCCGACGATGCCAACCATTCAAGACAGAGGCGTCTCTTAGCCCATGCTTTCTCCGATCGCGCCTTAAGAGAGCAGGAGCCTATTTTGCAATCCTATGTGGACTTACTCGTCCAACAGCTCAATGATTCTGTCGCGTCTAACGAGACAGTGGACTTGACAAAATGGTTCAATTACATCACTTTCGATATCATTGGTGACCTGGCCTTTGGTGAGCCCTTTGGCTGCCTGAAGAACAAAGGCTACCACTCGTGGGTGACAAGCGTCTTCCAAAATGTGAAGGGCGGCGCCCTGGTGCGGCCCTTCCAGACTATGCTACCTTCTTCGCTTTTAAGCGTTCTTATACCGGCCAAGCTCCTAAAGATGCGCCAGAAGCATCATCACCTTAGCAGGGAAAAGGTCCAGGAGCGCTTGAGTCGGCAGACCACTCGGCCTGATTTCTGGACCTATGTCCTCAGGCACAACGACGAGAAAGGAATGACTGTAAAGGAGATGGAGGCCAACGCAGATCTTCTGATTATCGCCGGGAGTGAGACCACTGCATCATTGCTCTCTGGCTGCGTCTACTACCTCCTGAAGAACCCGGCTGTTTACCAGAAACTGCTTGATGAGATTAGAGGGGCGTTCGAGAAAGATGAGGAGATCAATCTTATCGCTATTGGCAAGCTCTCTTATATACATGCTGTTCTCGAAGAAAGCCTTCGCATGTATCCTCCAGTTCCAGCCATTCTGCCCAGACGAGTCCCAGCAGGAGGGGCTTTGATCAATGGAGAGTTTGTTCCGGAGCAAGTAAGATCTACCGACAACCTCTTTAGTGCCCTATGTTAACCAAATCGATATCTAGACATCTGTATCAATCGCGTGGTACTCGTCGCTTCGTGCGAGCACAAATTTTGCAGAGCCAGAATCCTTCCTTCCAGAGCGCTGGCTTCCCGACAACAACGATCCACGGTTTGCGTCAGACAAGAAGGAGGCCCAACAGCCGTTTTCCTACGGGCCACGGAATTGTCTCGGAAGGAAGTAGGTTCCACCATTTTCTGTCTGGTTACAGTTTAGGTATTGACGGTCCTTTGCAGTCTTGCTTATGCCGAAATGCGTCTGATTGCCGTGAAGCTACTGTGGAATTTTGACCTGGCATTTGAAGAAGAATGCGAGGGATGGGAAAACCAAAAGTCTTACAACATCTGGGAAAAGGATCCATTGAAGGTGAAGTTGACTCCGGTACATCGGTAAGGATGTGCAGAAAGTGGTGTTCATTTCAACATACCACTTGTCTCGCGCGCTCTTCTTCGCAATTTACGCCTAAAGCTTCCTAGATGATCTACTTGTCAGGTTTGAATGGACCAACTGGGCAAGCAGCTACGAGATAGCATCGATTTATTGAGTCATTGTTTCAGCCTTGGATAGGCCCCAGAGTGACATTGGTCCTGTGAATTTGGTGCAAGTGATTATTTATCCCTTGGTTCGATTCAAATCGGAGATGGCAGTTTTGAGTTGTGTCGCCTCACTCTTTCGCCTCACTGTTTTTGGCATCCTCTTCCTTGTTTGCATTCAATCAATTCTCCGATTTACTGTCAACTCTACACAATGATATAGTCAGATTGGAATTGAACTCATCTCCTACCCCTTGCCTACAAAGCAATAACCGTAATAGTGACCCATGGCCCCCAAGATGATATCACAAACCCTACGAAGCCAGGGGACACTGTCAACCACGCCGAGGGAAACGAGGCGTTCCTCGCGCGAGGGACGTCCAGATCCCATGACGCCACCAAAGTCGTCGATCGGCTGGGCTTGGCTGCGATAACGCAGCGTTGGGGTAGTGTCAATTCTTAGCGCCGGGCAATGAGGAATATTCGAGACATGCACTGAAGGTTCTGGATGCAATCCACAGCCTTGCTATCACAGAGTCTAAGAATCTTTTGATTCATCATGATTGATCATGGCTTGTCAGTGGCACGGCGCGAGACAGGGCACCTAGGGAAAGGAAAAGGAGTCGGGGTGAGTGAGTATGGAGGACAAGGAGCCGGAATTACGAACAAAGAAAGGGCGCAGGAGACAAAGAAACAAAAAAGCCAAAAACGCTAAAGGGGGGTGTGGATTCTATGGATGAATAAATATACCCCTTGAAATAGCCAGCAAATAAAACGATCAAGACGTGGGCTGTTTGACCCCGTCAAATGAAATCCAAGGCTTGGCTGATTTCTTCACTGAGATGTTTCTGCCCAATCCTGAAGACCCAATGTTAGGGCTAGGGCTATAATTAGCATGGTGCGACCCGTTTGCTTTTTGTGATTTCGAAGGCCTCGTAAGCTTCTGATTGCCAATTAATATGCTCGGCCTGTGGAATGATCTGAGACTTCCGGAATGATCGGTTTAGGTTTAGAATGCACTCTTTGAAGAGAACTGAAGTTTGGAGTCTGGTTGGTTGCACACAATCAAAACCAAGTCAATAATGCGGAAATCCAGCTGCGATTGCAACGTTCACCCCATCAAATATGATTAATCGAAAGCCAAGGGTATGTGAAGTCAGCTATTTAGCCCTATTTTCAACAAAGGGGCGGCGGACTCTGTCTGATTGGATACTTCGTAAAGATTTTGTACCGCTATGGAGACATTCATGTACCTGGCTGGATTTGACAAGAGTGGGCCTCTTGCTGATGGTAAGCTGATTACCTCAAGTGGGAAGTCAGGACCAGGAAATTTGTTCTGCGACAGCGAGATAGGGATTTTTCAACTTCTTTTCAGTTCAAGAAACACTCGCCTGATGGGCCATATGGCTTGCGTAGAGGAGGCGCCACAATAAGGCCTCAGAGTTGTCCTGGAAATACAGATTGGATCAAGAAGAAAGTGTGGTCCCAGTCAGTGTTTAGCCTGACCTTTCTCAGCTGAATGGCCAGGTTCGAGAAGTGAAAAGTACTGGCGGATGGGTGTTTTTGCCACGAATGAGACGAAGTGCTGAGTGACTAGGAATTGATCCGCTGGAGTCAAGGTGCTTTCCCTCTAGCCTGTAAATGGTAAACTTTGCGGATGGAACGGAAGCAAGAATGACGGACTTGATGGTACCCTGCTTTGTCTTGTTGAGGATTCACAGGTTTCACATGGTAAATGCGTTTGGTATGGTTGTAAACGAGGGGGTGAATAGGCTAAAAGCCACAGGCGATACTAGGGGTCCGTATGTGGATACTTCCAGGTTTCGGAAATCCTTATTGCCAGAACCGGAATCCTTCCGTGCCGTCATTCTTGCAATCAATATGCATAACAGACATCCAAGCATTGAGCGGTGAGTCCATGCAAGATCCGAAGAAATGGCTTTCATTTGGTGACGGGACTAGCAAGGTGAATAGTAGACGCAGGATTCATCGAGTGGAGACATTGGGTTGAGTCTCAACAGGTCATTTGACAGGGAAAGCTAGATTCAGTTGACGCAATGCGATCGTCAATCATCTGCTGTGGCTAACGATCACTTGAACCATTACCATCACCCAGGAGGGAGAAGGAAAGGAAGTAAGGATAGGGCCGCAGCCGAAGGAGACCTTGATATTTTTTCACCGCCACAACCGACACCGTTAACTATTTGCCTCAGCCACTTGGTGTGGCTCGTAGGACCAATCAGAGGGAGTCTCCATGACCACATACCGAAGCTAGAGTATAGATCCGATCGATCTTGCATTTGCATTGCAGGCAGAAGCAATAGGAAGGCCCGCTGCAAGCACAAGCGAAATCAAATCAAAAAGTGCCCAAAAGCCGAAGGTATGACATCGCGGTTCCAGGAATTGCAGTTCCCGTTCCAAATACCGGGGCCCACGGTTCCTCATAGCACCAGCATGGCGTACTACGGTACTGTCCAATTGGGGATCACCCAGGCATTGGAGACACGAGCCAAAGTCAATTATGGAAGGATCGGTGTGATTCTCTCGCGCGGTCGACTTATCTCCTTCCCCTTGAGATTATGGCTGCAGAAGACTAATGACTTCATCGGCATCCTTTCGGCCGAACAGATATCCCCATCGGCCCTGTCATTGACCTTACCCTTTCCGTTGGAATGATTGACGGTGGCTGCTGCGAGATCGTGCCTCGCGTGGATGGGAAGAGGGATATCGGGGACCATAGCCCTACCGACGGGTGAAAGGAGACCCCGGTCGATAATACCAGGATCTAGAGGTTTTTGGATGCTCGATTCTGATCGCGATGAGACAATACGATCAACCAAAAGGGCAGACAACTTGATCGAGGTTGAACTTTACAATAATTGATTAGAACTGGCCCACCCTATCAAGCTCGTGGAGACCCAGACGGAAGGAATCCGTAGATCCACCAGGTTGATGACACCGAAAAGGGAGGAAAGGGACAGGTCAGAAATCGATAAGAAAGATTTTCGTCTTTTCTTTTCTTTTTCTTTCTTTTTGCCGTTCCAGGCAACAGCGTTGTACGAAAGAATGCAAGTCCCGACATCCTGGTTTCGCAGGAGGAACGATATGGACGAGGAGTTGAAGGAGGAGAGGCTGAAGGTGGAGTCTCGCGTCGGCGTGATTGACAAGTGTGGCTGATTCAAGGGGAACTGTGGCGAAGTTCGTGCGGCTGGGCCAGTCCGCCCCGCTGCGTCGTTCGCCCTCCTCGCACTCCCTTCTCTCTTCCTCTCCCTGGCGATCGACTGTCGAAACTTCCTCAAACCATCTCGGATCGCATTGTCGGTGGATCTGGCCCTCTATCGCCAAACAATCCCACCTCTGAATCCGGAAGTATCCGTTCGACCGCATCTCCGGTCTGCAGCACTGACCACCTTGCCTGGCCCAAAAGGAATGTCGCAAGTGACTGCAAATGTGACTCGGATGATCTCGTAAGCTCGTCCGCTAGTTCCTTCTTGACGGGATCGAATCACGCCTCTGCGACCCTGACAGGGAACTGCCTGCTACCATGGCGGAAAGCACGTTTCGGATCGGGGAAAACGTGGTGCCCAGCAGTTCACGATCAGGGATTGGGGTCCGAGTCTAATCGGCGTCTGCTCTCGGGATTGAGCCAAAGGCCCGTGGATCTCGACTGGGAATAGACCGCGATGGACGAATGCGCGAGTAGATGTGTTCGCATGTCACCCCTCTCCAGACCTCAAGCTCGATCTTAGGGGCAGATCTCTGCATGCAAGGGGACGAATTGAGGGGGAGGAGACGCGGCGCACGACCCATTCCTGATTTTTTCCAAGAAAGTCTAGGAAACTCTACCATTCCTGCGCGCAACCTAGTTTTCCTACGAGGTGAGGATCCTGGGTAAGTTCCCAGGGTAAAGCAGACGTGTAACGGCGGAAAAAGCGAAAAAGAGAAAACGGGAGACATCAAAAGGAGCTGTCAAGGGTATCGCATGGAAACGAGATGCTAGGTTAAGCTTCCCAGTCAGATTCGTCCAGAACGCAGTGTTCCCGAGACCCAAGTGACGTCTCATTTTGGATTCCAAATTTAACTCCCGGAAATTGCAAACGCGATCTCTTGGACACCATTGAGCTGCAGGGCCGTTCCCCACACTGCCCTGGTTGCTGCGTATAAAACGAAGAAGAAAAACCAAGCAGTTCAAAGACAGACGAACAGAAAAAGCAAATAAAGTAAACACAAAAACGAGTTGAAACTTTCCCAACCAATTGAACCCACTTGCGGGTACCTCCCATGCAAACGCCCTTGTTGCAGGATCGTGCAGCTCCTATCAGTACCCAACGTCAGGAGACCCTACAACGACCGACATGTTTGCAACAGAAGTACAATAGATGCAGATCTATAGAATTTTGCCGTTCAGGATCTATCGATGATAGTTTTTGTTTTGGTGGTGGCGAAAAAAAAAATCCAAAAAGTTGTTACCTACCTGAGCGCTACCTTGGTTCGGTTTGCGACTACCACATCAAGCTTCCCATGATGCGGTGACTTCCGGAGTCGAGGTATATGAAGGCAGGAGGGAGCACTGTTGATGCATCCCATGTTCTCAACACCATTCTCTCAAGGCTAACATCCGTTGCTACTCTCTCTCTTTCTCTCTATTGGAGACCCTAATCTCTCATCAGCCAAACTTCGCAAGGACCTTTGATTGCACTGCACCCTAACTTGGCCTATAATTTTCATCCTTCTTTCCACGCATCTTTCAACGCCTAACAACGCCATCATGGTTCAAGCTTCGAGAGCGGACACTGGCAGTTCAAGTCGCGAATACGGCATGACCTTCGAGATCGCACCCCCAGGTGCTTCACGTCCTGGGACACCGTTCACCCTCCCGGTGATTGTCGCCGTCCGTCCTGTGGGCAGCACAAGAGCCAGTCCTACTCAGCAACTGGTCGTAAACATCTCGCTGCGAAACGAGGCCGGGACGGCGGCAGTTCCGGGGCTGATTGGCACGCTGACCTCGAGCGTGCGCAGTCGCAATGGGAACACCAACAACGGCTACGGCCAGTTCAGACCTCTAACTATCACTCAACCTGGACGGTACCGGCTGCGGGTGATGCTAGGAGCTGCTACGGCCAGTGGGGTTACCACGCGAGAATACGTAGACTCGGGAGTCATTCACGTGCACGGAGGAGCTTCCCTCTCTCAGCGTCCAAGTACACCAGACATAATCCTCAGCAGCAGTCGAGAACGTAGCTGACAATGTCACAGCACCGTCACAAGTATCCAAACTCCAAAGCCTCGTTCCCGAAAACATAGACATCTCAGCGGCGGACATTGCGGCCTGGCAGCGCGCATAGATATCCCTTGGGGCGATTTATACGGCTGGTGAATTTTCGTTTTAACTTTTACTCGATTGGCCTCTGTGAGGCCACGATGACATGACTCTGAAGAAGGAAACGAAGGACTTTGCTCCACGGCCCGATGGAGCCAGAGGGACGGACAAGACGGGTGAATAGATAATAGGGTCAAGGGACCAGGCTGTCCTGTTAGTCTGGATACTACAAAATGTCAGTTTCATTGGTTAATCCGCGTTTCGGTAGTTATCCATGTAGATTTCAAATCTAGTCTCTACGAGTCTTTGCTTATCGCATCTCATGGAAGTAATTCAGGAGACCCGGAGCCATGCAGCAAGTCCGAAGTAAACGCGCCCTATACCTGGCTTATCGTCTACCCCTTTTCACAACTAAGCCCTAAACATGTCATATAATCTGAGATATCCCCTAGGTCAAAAACACATAGTTAGTCTTCGGATGCTCAAAGCAGGCTGCTGAGCCGGGTCTCCGTCTGCTCGTCCCTCCATATACGACAAGTAGTACGTAAGCAATACCAAAATCGATCTCTTCCCTTTTCCAAAATCATCCCCTTGATCAACCCACGTGGTTAAGCTGATCTACTTGCTTACGAACTATTAGGATGGGCCGTTTAGATGTTTGAGGCAAGCATTTCACCCCGTACCTACCCCTCCAAAGGCACCTTTTATGCATGAAGCGCCAGGAATGACCCAATCAGTTGGATTATCGGCGAGTTACTTCATAGTTTGAATACCTAATTAGAGGATCGTAGATACTATGAGAGTCAAACCAAATAGGGGATGCCGATAACCGGGATAAAAATCCATAACACTTATGATAGCGTTGCTACAACTAGGGCGGCGCAGCTATGATGCCCGATGGTTCAGGCACCACTTCGAGCTCACTACATATGTGTATGACCATAGATATATGCATGGAATACAAATCAGCCAATTTTAGGTGAGTAATCCTACTTTCTCTACTCTGGCACCGGAGGAACTCTCAAGTATGCATCAAGCATCTGTCGCATTGAGACCTAAATACTTATAATGAAATAATTATCATAGCAGACATAAACAGCAAAGCTTCATCAATAAACACGTCATAAATCATGAATCACTTCTCCACCGATGACCCCGAGTATCTGTTTCCGGTCGGCAACTGTTCCGATAGATAGCCATCTCAGGCGGAGTAGCATTTTGAACTTGAAGCCAGTTCATAGGAAATAGCGGGTCTGCATCCAGAACAATAGGATTGTGCACACGACGGTGTCATCACTCAGGCACCGTCGAGGCTAGGCCTTAGGACGCGCGACGACAATGTCCGATCGCGTGAACGGGCAGCGTCTGCAGATGTAATCCCAATATGAGGTAGAGAGATAAGTGCTGTCCGATAGATAGGACAAGCAGTCGAAAACTCCGACGGAATATTCTTGAAATCCCAAGCAAATCAAGGAAGAAAAAAGAAGATGCACTCGATCACGTCGAGCGGCCGTCCATCAAGATTCAGCTCTTATCGCTGAACCCGCGCAGCTTCTCAACGCCATCGCGAACCGTATCCCTTAAACTGAAGCCTCCAAATAGCCAGTCATTGGAGTGACGACCGTAGTGGTTGACCGTGCCGCTGTAGCGACGGTAATCGTCGCCGCTGCGACGCGGGGAGTAGGTGTATGATCCGGAGACGCGCTTCTGGGCGGTCACGGAAGGATCCTGGCTCACGGAGGGAGACATTGGGCGGGGACTGGTTGAGGGTCGAGAAGAGTATTCAGTAGAGGGGTGACTGCGCGGAATATCGAGAGTTTCGGCGCGATGACGAGTCCTGGACCGAGGGACGTCGAGGGACGGGTCTGTCGGGGTGGGAGATTCTGAGCGAGCACGCGAGCGAGAGAAGGAACGCGAGGGAAAGAATTTGCCGCTGGCACTGAGAGATAGTTTGTGTCCTTTGGGTGGCGGAGAGGAAGAAGAAGAGCTTGTAACGTTGGTGGTGGTGGTGTTGGTAGTTGTGGAAGTTGAGGTATAAGACAGAGGTACTCCTTCCTGCGAGAGACGAGGGTTCTGGTCACTCATTGATTGAAGTGAGGAAGGAAGGAAGGTATGTATGTAGGTAACACAAGCCAGATACTCGTGTTAGGTAGTCGTCCTAGTAAGCAAAGCACGAGAGATGAGTCAACCGATGGTCCAGAGAGGAAGCCGATGAACCGGGGGGAAGCAGGAGTATTTATAAGTCGGTCCATCGCATGCCATCTCCGTCTCGCAGGGATGATCAAGGCCCCAAGAGGAGTCCAAGAGGAGTCCATGACTCCTCTACGAATGAGACGCTGCCAGCAGGACGGGCACGACCCCAGTGACTCCACCGATAGGGCAGGGTGGAGTGGCAGTCGGTGAGTAAAGTGAAAGTCACCCCCGGAATCCCCACTTGGCGCTGCCCTACGAGGGGTCGTGACCAATTATGGTGAATAAACACCGGCCTGGCCCCCAGTCGGACCCGTCGGGAGGCTCCAAATTGACCGCTGCCTGGTGGCCTCAGTCATTATTCTTTCCAATTTGGAATGCGGCTGCCTGAGGATGTCCACGTCTCGGAGTCCGACCTTCCGTTCCGTCTCTTCTCTGTTGCTTCACAACTTGCACGAAAGAAGAGAATCAGAGGAGAAGCAAAAGTGCCCGACCGAACCGTCACTTCTAGCGCCATTCTAGAATGCAAACTAGCCCCAATCCGGTCATTGTGAATCAATCCGACCGAGGCAGTCCTTGGCCCCCACGAGGCCACGACACAGATTGGCATGTTTGGTTCCCCAGCACGGCTCTAGCGGCATGCTTGGTGCTTACGGCTTGCGTTTCCAGTTTCCATGGAGTAGTCAAGAGCTGAACTGAGGGTTCCCTGACCCTCCGTTTCCGTGCTCCGTACTCCGTGCTCCGTGGTTCATCTTACAATAAGACCAGGCACATTCTTTGCCGTGGAATGTTGCCCGAACAATCTCGAGGCCGAGGGCCTCTTACTGTTCCTGGCACATCCGTGAAGAAGAACAGCCCTTTACTCGCAATCTATCCGCGCAATCAGGATGCAAGAGCGACAGGGCAAACAGCCTGTGCCGATATCCGCAAAATTTGCCAGTTTGAGGCTCTACCTTGCCCAGTGATATCATAGCGTGCCCACTAGGCCCCATAGTTGCCCTTAGCGTTGTTTGCCAAGATTCGTCGGCACGGGTGTTCCGTGGAGATATGGAGATCACAAGATCCCAGGAGATTAGATCATCAGGAACCGGGGACTGAGAAGTGAGAACTCGTTTGCAGACAGGGAAGATAACTCTCAAATATAACAATTCTGCGAGGACTGTTTACGGTTCTTACTGAGTTCGCCCTATGCCGTGCACCGTCCGGACGGATGACCACTGCGGATGATCATCCTAGATCCTTGGTCATGTTTCTATTCCTGTCATTTCTCTTTGTCATTCTCTATCCATTGAGTCATATGCAACAGGAAGCCCGGAACAAACGACGAAAGGTACTAGTCAATCCTTTTCTTTTTTTATTAAATCCTTTTTTCCAATTGTGTTTCACCGAGACTTGAGAGAAGATCACCTCCGATTTAAATAAACGCCATCCGTTAGACCGTCATGCTGCCATGCTCGCAATGCACTGAATAACACAAAAGACCAAACCAGAAATTACGACAATAGAACACCAGAAACGCGACAGATACTAGAGCAGGGCATGCACATATCCAATCTCCCAAGACATTCATTCCTCCTTCAAGGTCCACAACGCTGCGCTTGGTCGTCGCCACGCGCGCGGCTGTTCCGAATGACACCGACGATGGTTCCGATCAGGCGACAGATGGCCCAGACCATCCCCCAGCGTCCGACCCCGGTCAGGAAGCCGACCAGCCGGAGCGCCAAGCTCAGGCCGCTGCGGAACCCAAAAAGATACAAAAACATTGTCGCCGGCCGTGGTGGTCGTCGGCAGCACGAAAAGCGAACGAGCCTTGTCCAGCGGCGGCCGGATCATGCGTCGCAGCGAGCCGCCACTCCCAGATGCCGCGGCAGTAGTTGAGTACTGCCGTTGTTCGGGGACCGTGGTGTGTCTGGAGGAGGACCAGAAACGACGGGACCGGGAGGTTTTGGCACGAGTGATACCCGCCCACGCAGCGTCGTCTTCGGGAAGCTCTCCCGGGACCAAGGGGGTAGGGAAGGGTCGTTCGAAGGAGTTCGAGGGCTCAAAAGGGGCCGTGAGAACGGGCAGGGTTCGTCGCTCACGCGAGTTCGTGCCTCCGCAGTAGGGCCAGGAGTGGCGTCTTCTGTGGTGGACTAGGTGTGGCATGTCAACGAATCTGGAGACTTGATGGGATGAAGATGGTGTAATCTGAGAGCTTCTACCAACGATGAGGAGCGACGAAAAGGTTTATATGAGCCAGCTCCAGCGAGAGTGCAGAAACAAGCGAGGCAAAGCGATAGACAGAAAATGAGATGGAAAAGACAGGCCAAGCCCGGGGTAAAATAACACCCTCGTGGCACAGGGTATATGACGTCCTCCTCAACGAAAGACCCAAATCTCACCAAACGGGCACTCTCCAGTCATAACCGGGTGAAATGAAAGGGATATCTCCATAATGGAATCGCGGGGGATTTTCAGGCAGACGTATCGAGATTATAAAGCACTCCGCCCTCCGGGAAACAAGGTCATGCGGCCGGCACGTGCAAGGCGCACGCGTAAGAAAAGGCGCAACAGAAGATCAATCGCCCGGATGACTGGTCGGAGTGCGTCAAATCCAGGGCCTCGAGGCAAAGTCATGGAACTCTCTGCCTGGCTTGCCTCGTACGATCACACGGGCCGTGAACGGGATCGACCTAGATTGAGTCATACCGGGGGGGAAGCTCGGGGTGAAGGTTACGTCGACCAGGGCTCAAAAGCCTGTTGACTAGTTTAGTGACAAATAATGGCTGACGGAGTAGGAGCTTGCGTTGCCAGAATATTATATGAGTGGCGGAGTCGACCTCATCATCAACACTAGGATAGAGCTTGTCTCCGACAGTGGCCCTGGGGGTGATTCTTCACGGCCACCTGCAGATACCTAGTAAATCTGTCGGACAGCCTTAGCTCGAGATGACCAAGCGGGGCAACAGTCAGCGGGTGGTCTGCATCGTTGGACACTATCACAAGTTGCTTGGTCGTGGGGTCTGTCCTTGGCACGAGCGTTCGTTGTTTTGCTGCGATCAAGTCCGCGATCAGTCCGGCTGCAGTGCAACGCTGGTGGGACATGAAGAAAACGAAGGTTATATTCCAAATATGAACCCTGGAATAACAAGCAAAAGTCACGTGGTCTAATGGTTATGATTTCTCGTTCACACCGAAGTGAGCGATGCCTGGTTCTCCCAGCAGTTCCGAGAAGGTTCCCGGTTCGATCCCGGGCGTGACTACTTTTTTACTTTTTTGCTGCCGAAACTTTTTGTCCTCGGCCGAACCCAACTCGATCCAAACTATCTGGTCATTCTTTGTTCTTTCCTCTCTTCTCTAGCTTTTTTCTCTGTTCCATGGAATTGAAAGTATCGATCCATTGGTCTGTCACATCTAGGACAACAGAAATGGCTTATCTTCCCCCAAAAATTGGCTTTCGCGTACATGCTCAAGGCAATGCGAGCAATGCAAGCAGACTCCATGCACCAACCACAACTGCAAGATATTGATACCCAACTATTTTCCTTTTCCACAATCATCAGACAAATATTATCCATTCGAAATGTCAGTGAGAATATCCATAAACTCCTCTCGATCTATCATCGCATGTGTTAGTCTTCATCTTCCGCTGACGGGAAAGATATATATCGCTCAATGCATACCTTGAACGGTTGAAAACGTGACAGCGATAGGCCCATTCATCCTCAACTTATTAGGATCCTTCGGTGCCCCCGCCATGATGGTCGCCATATTCAAAGCCGTCCCTCGCGAATACGTTACCGCCGGGAATTCGACTCGGTTGCTGTCCGATGACGGAAGAACCCCGGGCGACAGGGACATCGTCAACCATTTATCCGTGACGCGATCGTTCCAGCGCGACGCGAATTGAATAACATCCCCTTTTCTCCAGAGCTGGACCTCCGTGTCACCTTTGCTGGATCGTTTCGACCCAAACAAGCTCTTCCCTCTGGTTGTAAGAGAGACGGCGCGACGGGAGAATGCAAGCTCGTATGCCGATGCGAGCGAGGTCATTAATCCGCGAAGAGCAGACTCCTCCTTGAACGCGACCGTAAAATTCCCGATGCGCTTTTCGCAGTGCGAAAAATGCACCGGTCGGTCGGGTCGGTAGAGCTTGTCCGCGTGCGAGGAGATGTAGTCGGCGTAGAACACGCGCGGGAAATGGACGCGGCGATTCGCATGCTCGTAGGCATAATCCGCGTCGCGATAGAGATAGTACAGATGGATGTATTTCCAGGACAGCCGAGTGTGAAGGACTGAAATTGCCTTGTACTGCTTTTGGTCGAGCGTGTGGTCCACCACGTCGTACACCTGCCCTGGATTACCGGCTTGAGACCACCAGAAGCTGGGCTTGAGCCACAAAGTCAAGACGACCCTTTCGAACTGCTCGGCCTGCTGCTGGGTCCGGAAGTGCAAGCTCAGACCGACATTGGGGTTGTTGGGATCGTAGACGCATGAGAAAATAGGATGGTAGTTGCCGTCTGTCTTGGTGGACCTTTCCTGCCGGGTGTCCGACCATTTGATCAGTACCTGACGCGAGTCTTGCTCTCGACAGACCTGGACGCGGCTCAGGGGCAGGAATAGCTCCATGCATCGAGGGTTCTTCTCCGCCGCCGAGGAGCTGATGACGAGTCGACGGACCGATCGCCAGGCTTCGCCGAAGGAGCGTTCCAAGATACGTACTTCGCATGATCCATGCACCATAGGGGGATTCATGGGTTTCATGGTGGCAGCTTTCATTTGCTCAAACAGTTCCAGCGAGCTCTTGAAGAGGACGGTCTCTGAGAATTCAGTCGAGTCCACGGGCTCTCGCTGCCAAACTGCGTCGAAGTAGGCCCTTGGTAGGCTGATAAACTGCATGAGATCCGCCATGTACTGGAAGGATATCGAGACACTTCGAGACCCGAACTTTAGGATGACGGGCTCTGATACCCTCGCACCCGGGACACCACTGATGGATGCGTGAGAGATTTGCACAAGCTGAGCTACATCGTCCGGAACGACTGCAACGATCTGTTAGAGAATATTGCATAGACGTACAGTAAGAGAAACTCACAATCTCGCTGTAAGCAGAGAGTGCCACTCTGGTTACAAAGTGTTATTTTTGGCTCACTTTCGCCATCCCTCGTCGACAGCAACAACATGTACGGCGCACCTTTAGTGCGCATACGAAGTCTTTTGCTCCCGATGCCGGCATTCACAAATGTTCGGAAAAGAACATTCTCCTCCTCATTACCGGCATCCTCTTGATCTACCGCAATCCATCGCACATTGTCTAGACCGAGTAGAGTATAGCCATCATTTCCCAGCTCTTCTTCAGGCTGCAAAGGCTCCCATATATCGAGATTTTGAGAATAGATTGTTGAATACTCGGGAATATCGACGGAGGTGAACTGTGAGAATTCGTTATTGATACCCTGTCCATGTGTTAGAACGATGCAAGATAAGACACCGGGAAATATGACAGTCACCTCGGACAGATCGGAAATAAGCTTCCTGTTTTCATCACACAAGACTGCTTGGGAAGCGTCATCTGCCAAAACTATGTCGTACAGGATGTATGAGGCTTTCAAAAGGTCAACGTATGCTTGATGGCTGGTAGTGCCTGAATTAATAGAAGGGCTGACACTGCCTCTGGAATTGATAAGACAGGGTTTTTCACAGTTCGCCAGCGTATTTCGCGCCTTCGACATTGTTAGTTGGTCAAACAAACAGGACCACCAAGAGGAAGTTTATATACCTTTAACAACCACCAGACAGCAATACGAAGCCAGTCATTCGTATTGAGTCTTCGAACCTTTAGCTGATCATGTGCTAGGCTATTCAACTTTGTGACCAGCTCGGCAGAAGGTTGATGAAACTTGTCGCGCGGTTCGTAGCGAAGCGGTCGATGCAGTTGATCACGCAGTCGAATTTGCTGAAGCTGTTGCATCGCATGCGAGACGGCATCCATAACGGCGGATTGATCGGGGCTCTTGGATAGGGAAGGCTCATAAATCTCGGACACAAAGGTATCCTGGGCTGTTTGATAAAATTCCATGCTGCCAGATTCCAAAGTCCGCGCCTCGAACAGGCCTGTATCGTGCGTCGCAAATGAAAAATTCGAGCTTGTGCCGGTTCTGCTTCGCTTTAGAGACAGTTTCGTTGAATGGACTGACTGCGACTCCGGAGGCCCGGTAAAGCTAGAGCTATCGGACAGAGTCGACGTAAGGGAACCGGAAGAGGTTGAGGTGCAAGGGCGCATTGCCGGGGTGGAAGGAGGGGCGCATATCGTGTAGCCGACGGATCTCAGATCAATCTCGCTCTGCTCATCACTGTCGATAGAAGCAGATCGCCTCTGTGGTGCGGATGAAAATGGTTCTTCATCCTGCGGAGGAGACTCGGAGGCGGAGAGAGAGCGATCTCGGTCCAGCGCATCGATCATGGACTTTTCGATTCTTTCTAAGGACGAGCTGGGCTGGTAAGAAGGTCGTTCCTCGATGAAGAATGGGACAAATTACTTACTTGCCAAGTGAGCTCATACACAGACTGAGGTTGCATTTGTGGACCATGATCTTAGATTTTAGTTCATCGATCTGGCACCGTTGCGTCGCCCATTTAACCTTCTGCCAGAACTGCGTACCGTCGCCGACACCCATATTCCTGTACCGTGTAATCAGATCCTTGAGGCGTTGCAGGGTCTTGAAGCAGCCTGTCAGGCATCGTTGCAAGGTACGCTTGCGATCGACCCCTAGATCCTCGAAGAACATGGTATTCGACTGGACATCTTCGCGTAGCGTACAGAGGACGCCCTGCAGAGATGCGAGCTCATCAACCAGCTTTCGAAATCCGTCAGGAGCATCTCTGGCGACGAGATAGCAGCTATGGTAGAGGTCCCAGACCGTCTTTGTGAGGGTCACGATATCCCCCGCAGCAAAATCTGACATCATATTGTAAGAGTATGTCGGAGTAAACTTGGCCAAATCGTACAGATCAACAATCAGAGTGAAGCGGCTGGAGAGTGAGACGACCCGATAAACAGTCGACCTCTGGGACGACTCATATTCAGATCGTCGAAGTGGGGGAGGGGGAAGGACGTGAGCACGCTAGAACCAGTGAATGAAAGGGAGAGTCCCGTGAATGTCGCTCACTTAGCGTCTGTAAAGCAACACCCTCGTTACGGGCTCTACCAGCAGCAAGCACTATGGTAGGTCTGCAAGTGCCTGATGAACGTCCAGCTGGAACAGAAGCTAGCTGCCAGTGATATAGTCAACCGATAGCCTGCAGACAAGACGGGTTACATGAGACACCGTGAAGAAGACAAGGGATGAGGACTGCTTTCCCCCCCCCGAAAGCTCGCTTACAGAGGGTCGCGTTGTCTAAATTTATACGAATTGACAGGGAAGGGCCTGCACAAGGAACGCTGAAGAAGGATCAGTTGACGACGTGCACAGCTCAGGACTCTCCAAGTCTCACGAGGCAGATCATCGCCAATAAGACGAGAATCGCCTCAACGCCCTCGTACGAGGCTGTCTTTATCCGCCTTGCGCCACTCAGCGCCGCCCAAGTCTGCAGACAAAGACACCCAATAGGCGGGAGGAAGGTTTGGGCTCACCTTGGCATGGACTGCGTACTGCGACTACACTCTGGTGTCAGAGAGTAATTCTCGATATTTATGATGGATTGGTTGCGGTTGTCTCGACGTGAGTTGAGGCTTGCGAGGATTCATTGTCTGGCGGGGAGGATAAAGAAAGGGAAGGAAGTCGTGGTTAGACTTTTGTGGAGAAGACAACATTCTGGATGTCAGACTTGGAAAAGGATCCATGTCTGTTGGCCTGTTCATGGTGGCAAAATTAAAACCTTCAGTCTTTTGATATGTCGTTCTATTGCGATGTTGTGGATTGTAACCCACTGATTTAATCTATAGTAAAACCGAGACGTTTATTGTCCAACGAAGCCATACGTTCGAGACCCTCAAACCAAAGTACCTCTCCCTCTTCGGGCAATAAATGTCTTTAATCATGGGTTACTGCATGGGGGCTCACTCGACGTATCGAATGCCCAAAGAAGTAGAAAACGTATGGGACTAGCGCCATAGCCGCACTGATCGCCCCAAGGATCGTCAGGGTGTAATGAACCCCGATGCTAGAATAGATAGGCCCTCCTGCAACCGTGATACCACCCGACGCAAGATATCGAGGCATAACGAGCATAGCAAAGGCCGACGCCGCGCCCTTCTCGTAGGCGTCGATCACGTATAGATGGGCGCTGACGAAGACAGTCGTGATGCCAAACCCAAAGACCGCCGACGCGATAATGGGCGACCAGACGCTGATATGTGGCTAGAGGAGCAGTCTATTAGCACTTGATTGGTAGCCAGATGAATGGGTTCACACTTACATAGCTGGTCCAGGCCATCCAGAACAGGCTGATCGGGATGGCTGGGGCTCCGCCAAGTAGAGCGTACCAGAGTCGAGTCTCGGGATGAATTCGGCCGATGCGAGCTTGTTGATCTCGTGTGATGCGCCAGACGAAGGGAACTTGGAGGGCAATCATAGCCGAGCCGATAAACATGGAGACCCAAGTGACGTTGTTCATGCCCTGGGAAAAGTGGTAGGTGCCTTCGAAGATGAACCGGTAACCCTCAAGGAAAAGGAAGAGGATGATGTAGATGACGATGAGATAGAGCGAGGTGAGGATGATAATTGGTTCGGTGATAATCCAGACGAATGGCCTGGACACGGCAATCTTCAACCGTTGCCATAGAGAGATCTCGCGGACCTCGACCGGACCTCTCCAATGTTGTTGACCAGAGTACTTCCTAACGGCGGCCGCCTTCCAGGTAAGAAGAAGATCCTGATGCGTTTCTTGCTGGAAGAGAAGCATGATAACCAACATAAATCCACCAAAGATGAGCATGATCCATTCTAGCCAGCGCCATCCCAGCGTGGTCGGGATATAGCTGCCAATAACCTGTCCGATCATCGGCCCGTTGAATGCGGGAATAGTGTATATGATAAAACCATATGATTTCTGCAAAGGATCCCATAAGTCCGCAACTGTTCCGCCAACGCATGTGAGGGGCGTTGCAGCAAAGAGGCCTGACAGGAACCGGAAGATAAGGTGACTCTGGATGTTGGGTGCAAGGCCGGCAGCCATGATAAAGATGAGAAAGACCGTCATTGTTACGATGTAGACGATATTGCGACCGAAGGTCTCCGAGAAGGGGCCGGAGATAAAGGAACCAATTCCAAACCCTATCATGAACAGACCTGTTCAATCCAGCATGAGTACCATCGAAAATGTTGAAAGAAGAACAAATAGGTGGGAAGACATACCGGTCGTCAAAGATCCAACCACTGTGGAGACACCCCAGTACTCGCTATACTGAGGCACCCCAGCAGAGTCTATGGCAGACGCCGCAGTACAAGAAAGTCCAATTAAGGATACCAAAAGCGTCATTGCCGATTTTCGCCAGGCATTATATTGGCGAGGGTTGAGATGGGCGTCATATTCCTCCCACTCTACAACGCAGGGTTGTAGCTTTTCTGTTTGCCCAACAGCCTTTGTATCGTCGGATAGCAGTTCACCACTGCCTATAGAAGCACTTTAGCATACTCGCTTTACCTACTGAAACTTTTCAAGGGAAGATTGACATACCATCGTGCGGCTGACTGAGGTTTGGACTGCCTTCTTCTACAGAAGACGCTTGATAGTGACGTTTCACCGCTTGATGAATGCTTCGGTACTGTAAGTAGGACTGCATTTTTAATGGTGATCGCGACGAGCGAGATACACTTCTCAATCTTGCTCAATGGAAACAGAGATCTGTCTTGCAGTTCCATTGATTTTATACTTATTAGGGAAGTCCGGCATGTCTGCGGGCTTTGCAGACTGACCAATCGGAAGACGGTCCGGGTGCTCCACCCGCCACAGATCTTCCGCTGCCGGAAATGCCGTCACTTCCATCTCCCTTCATCGCCCACGGTCGACGTGGGTTTGAGGAAAGAAAATTTAGGAAAAAGAAAAGAAAAGCGATCTCAGCCTAACCGGAAAACCAAAGGCCCAGAGGAAAGGAAATCGTCCCGATAGCCCCACGCTGACAGGTCTGAGGTGACGACAAACTAGTAACTGGGGTCCCATCCCTTTGGTCTAGTCCCACGATCTCAATACTTGATGAAGTCACCATCGCAGACTAAATTTCGACTCCGAGATATGGTACAATTATCCCCACAAACTGCATCCAGGAAGCGGCAGAAGGTCTCTGTTGCCTGTACTTCATGTCGCCGGAAGAAATCGAAATGCGATGCTATCCGTCCTAGTAAGCTTGTCCAAGCCTCATTCCAAGCGGCAGTTCTCTAACCGTCAATGAAGTTTGCACTCCTTGCAAAAAGAGTGACGAGGAGACATGTTTCTATCCGACTGGTGGGAAATTTGACCGTGAAGACAAAGCACCACCTCATATCAACACTGCTGAATCGGCCTTGCGCAAACGGCCAGATGTTGGTGTTGGAGATGGATTTCTCCCTCATGCTGTCTCGACAAGGACAGGCCCATCGATGAGTATTCAAACTGATCAGCGAAGCCTGTCAGCTGGGCCCAATACTGTGGACTCTATGAACGGCATGACGGGAGACCCAACGCAGAGTGCAGAGGTCTTCGGAAGCAGCAGTGCTGGCTCATTCATGCGACAAGTACAAGCGGCCATGAATGTCAAGCAAGGCGCACCAGCGGTGTCTGCTCAAGGCAGTGTAGCACGAATGACGAAGCACTCCGCGGAGGACGTTCCTCTTTCCGACGCTGAAGAAGCGGAATTAGCAATTCTCCCTCCCAAAGAACTAGCGGATTCCCTAATTCAGGCCTACTGGCAGTTTGAATGGCCCTTATACCCGATCATAGACCGACGCAATATCACGGCAGTGTACGAGTCGCTCTGGACGGTTCCGAGACCCGGGTTCTCGCTCACCTCCATGAGCATCATCAATCTGTGTTTTGCACTGGGATCTCAGTACTGCGCGTTGCTACCACCACAGCAGCTTAGCTCTCTCAGCCAGGATTTCTTTTCGCGCGGCGAGCAGTTATTTCAACGGTCACAGTATACCCCATCTTTGGATAAAGTGCAGTGTCTGCTACTATTTGGTATTTACCTGCAGAGCACAAATCACGTTCTGCGATGTTGGATGACCGTGGGCGAAGCCATACGAATGGCCCAGAGCTTGGGCCTCTATCTCGACCAGCATGCCCCATGCGACACCGTCGGCTATCGAGAATATACGCGACGTACATGGCACGGCTGTGTTTGGTTGGATCGGTGAGCCGTGGTCGACAGTTTATGCTATCTCAAATTGTTGACGTCCACCCACAGAGTATTATCCGCAACGCTCGGCCGTCCGGGAATGATCCCAAAGTGGCTTTTCAACTCGATCCCATTCCCATCAATGATTGATGACGAATTCTTTGAAACACAGCCAGAGGGATCCGAGAAGCGACCAGATGGAAAACCCTGCATATTGGCCTTCGCTGGAAAGGCGTTTGAACTGTACCAAATCCTCGATGACATCCTCCTGGAGATATACCTTACGCCGAATAAGGAGGCGGGGCTCGAGACAAAGCTCCCAAATGTACTTGAAATAGACAGAAGGATACACAGCTGGCGACAGTCCCTTCCCAATTATCTGAAATTTGACTCTGCTGCTAATGACGACGGGTCTATCATGCACCGACAAGCAACAGTCTTGAGAATTCGGTTAGTATATGAAGCAATGCCAGCCGAAAGAAAAGCCAATCAACTAACGTCCAAACAGATCACTACACATTCGCATACTACTGTTCCGACCCGTCTTGATAAGCTACTGCAAACGCAGCAACCCAGTATCTACCGAAGGGTTGCTGGATTCTACCGACTCTAGTCTCACCGAAGTAATGCTCTCCCAATGCTCGCGCATGTGCTTTCAGCTTGCGCACGAATTGATCGGCATATTCAACAACAAACTCGATCCCAAGGCGCCCAATCTGAGTCCGCTTCCATCATGGTGGTATTCCGTGCTATGTGCGTCCCCCAGATGACCTGTCCTGTACCTTGTCTCCCCTCCTCCAAGCAGAACCGACTAACCGTTCGTCACACACAATGGACAGATGTATTCACAGCAGCCACAGTGATTCTAACCGAGCGATTCCTCGAAGGCCGAGACAACGGTTCGAAGAAAGCCACGACCTCCCGCACCTGGGACGCTGCAATGCACATACTCGAGTCCTACAGCGTGATCGCCGACTCGGCGAAAAGATGTAAAGCCGCGCTCGAGGTTCTTTCAGAGAGTCTTTCCCTCGGCAAGACAGACAACATCTGGCTCTGGGAATCCTTCACGGAGATGTACCGACTTCTTGGGGAGAGCTCGGGTGTTCCTTCTTTCGACTCTGATGATTTCTTGTGGTTGGGATGATTGACCGTATGAAGCGAATTTTCACTCAAATGGACAACCTTCAGCTCGCCTACGGGTGTATAGGTCTTCTGACTGGTGGTAATTATCCATGGTCACATTTCTTTCGGCATTTGCCCAGAACTCATAGCAGCCACCTGGGCAGTAGGTATAGACTGAGCAATCAGCCAATCAACGAACGGTCCGGTCAGAGAAGAGCCCCACCCGGATTCTGTGTTGGAAGTATTGGAAAAATGTCTTTTCTGGGGAATGCAGTGTATAAGAAAGGGAAATTTCCATAGTCAAGTGATATCTGTGTATAAGGAAGAGAAAGAAGAAGTTGGTGGTGGAAGATTCACATTGACTCCGACTGAGGGCTGCCGAATTGGGAAGTATATGCGATTCGACCAATCACGGCGCTTGCCCGACCAGATCCATCGCTGGAAATCATGGAGAAAAACTCCACAGGCGTCTATATATTGGGGCGCCGGGAACCTGAATTTCAATCAATTTCTCCTCCTTGGCTTGACTCATTTTCTATTAAGCTCAGAACTATCGGCAATATGGTCAAGATCAATGAATTCGCTGTGGAGCGGGTATGTTCTTCCAAGTCTACTCGCACATACCCCGGACACCCCCCATCTATGTACAGTATTCTAACCAATTCCAGTGGATGGACAACCACGAAACCAGCGCAAAGCACAACCTCGCTGAAACATGCTGCGCGTCCATCTCTCTCAACGACCTTCTCTCCTTCTCCGACAACCCCAACTCCACTATCTTCGATTTCGCCAAGAAGCAAACCTACGGCTCGATTCGCGGAACTTCCGACCTGCGATCCAACATCGCCAAGCGTTATGATTCTGGAACTGACCAATCCATCTCAGCCGACCAGGTCCTCGTGACGAACGGGGCGATTCAGGCGAACTTCTTAGCCTTGTATACAAATGTTGGACCGGGAGACCATGTGATCTGTCAGTACCCGACGTACCAGCAGCTGTATTCCGTGCCCGAGTCGTTTGGCGCAGAAGTGAGTCTGTGGAAGGCGCGTGAGGAGCGGGCCTGGGACGTAGATGTGGACGAGCTGAGGGGGTTGATCAAGGAAAACACAAAGGTCATTATCATCAAGTAGGTACCCTCGGAAGTGGAAGAGGAAACGGAGATGGCTAACAGGTGATAGCAACCCGCAAAACCCAACCGGGGCAGTCCTCAAACGCGAGAAGCTGCAGCAGATCGTCAACCTCGCTCGAGAGCATGATGTCATCATCCACAGTGACGAGGTCTACCGACCTCTTTTCCACGGAATTCATCCAGACAGCCCGGAGTACCCTCCGTCCATCCTGTCATTTGGCTATGAGAAGACCATTTCCACGGGGTCAATGTCCAAGGCGTTCAGTCTGGCAGGGATCCGATTAGGCTGGATTGCGTCTTGCAGCCAGGACATCATCGAACGGTGCGCATCGACTCGCCACTATACCACAATTTCGGTCAGCCAACTTGACGACGCTGTAGCATGCTACGCTTTGTCGGCACCGGTCGTGGACCGGTTACTCCAGCGGAACCTCTCCCTGGCCCGGACGAATGCTGATATTCTGGAGGCCTTTATCAAGGAATATGAAGGCATGATTGAGTGGGTGCGGCCACAGGCCGGAACCACTGGCTTTCTGAAGATCACGGACAAACAAGGACGTCCTATTGATGACGTGGCGTTCTGTGAGCAACTCCAGGATAAGACCGGAGCTATGTTGGCCCCCGGAAGCGAGTGCTTTGGCGGTGGAGCCGACTTCAAAGGATATGTTCGAATGGGGTATGTTCCAGAAACCCAAGTTTTGGCAGACGGCCTTCAAGCACTCAGAGTCTTTTTGCAAGATGGATTTGAACAAGTGCCTGTTGTTCATTAGGTTGGTGCCCTGGAGGCAACCCTGAAAACTTGTTGCCTTCGAAAATACAACCATTGTATATAAATGCCGACCATATTTGTTAAACCAGCGTTGGAAACTGAGGGATAAGAGATCTATCCGACCATCCGGCGTCCCAGAGCCTGATGGCTTATCTCGCTTGATGAGAGAGTATCTCGGTTTCCGAAGGCCTCATGATGCTGTGGATAAAGTTCCTCCACCTGTGTGACATCTTCAACAAACGTAGCGCCATACTCTCTCATAATCTGTATCTTCTCCTCCATATTCATCGCTAGCCTGATTCTCCCAAAATCTCGTGGCAGTTGATCCTCACTCGCAAACCTCAATACCCACACACCCAATCCATCCGTCGGCCAACCAAATTCCAGCACCTTTTCTTCTTCCTCCGTTATATCCCTCATTCCCATCAGCACATCGACCACATCCTCCCTACTCGACCACCACTTCGCTCCAGTCCGTCGCAGGAGATCACAGAATTCGTCTTCTTCGTCAGCACTGGGTGAACGCCGCAATGCATGAGAGCGGGGGAGCGATAGGAAAAGCATGTCGACAAGGTCGGCATTTTTTATAAGAACTCCGCCAGTTGAAGGGTAACCGTAGACAATGCATCCTTGAGTGCCGAAGATGGTTTGTTCAGTCGTTGATAAAGGAGGGTTTGTGGGACATGAGCAGTCCGGGAAGTTGTCTGTGACTGTTTGTTGACGAAAACCAGGGATACGGTCGATGTTGATAGGACGTAAGCGGCCAAGGGTTTGTTGATAGAGAGTCGATAGGAAGTTCATTGTGATAGCGGCGAGGACGCTGCTAAACCTCATAGTTCAGGAGATGACCGTTTCAATATATGGGAATTGGGAGAATAGGCAGAAACTTTGACCATACAAGCACAGTCATATAAGATGATGCCTATTCACAGCTAACCCTTTCAGCACTAGCTTGAAGGCATTCCCAACCTTTATGAAGCCAAGATTTCAATTAGTTTGTGTATGGTATGGTCATAAATGCGTGACATTGCGATAGGTCATCTTTCATGCAAGCCAAGGGATCATATAGTTCTTCCGAGGTCTAAAGCTGAATGAACACTCAAAATAGGACGAGCTCTTGACCATGCAGAGTGAAGTAAACATCCCATGGCAGAGATGTGTCTGATGCCCAGAATTCTTTCATTAATTCTCTAGCGCGAGTGAAATTGCCCAAACCACGATTTTGCATATAAGCCATGCGATCTTGTATTTGAGTTCGGTCGCTGATCATATCCGTTTCACATCCAGCGTTGAATATCGGCCAAAGGATCAGGATGTTAGAAGGCGACAAGGGCGGGATGTTGTCAACAGCATTCAGGATGTTTATGATATCGTTGCGGACTGTCGGATGTTCTTTTGGGAAAAGTCGCACACGTCGATGAAAATATAAAAGTGCGGAGTGAACAAACGCAAGGTGTGTGTATCGCAACTCGCTATAGAGCTCATTCCCGTGGGCTTTCAATGTCGCCTCGGAAGCGGTTCGCTCAGTAATTGCACGGATGGCATTTTCCAGGCAGTCGGCCTCGCTCACGGCCTCTTGTGCTGGTACGTCTGATAGCGAGAGCCCGGAAGCGGCATGCATACCGGTTTGACAAGCAAGTTGCGCAGTTCGCGCAAGCAAGGGTACTAACTCCAATGAATAACCGCAGATGTCATCGACATGACTTGTGATTGTACTGGGAAGCTTAGCCAAGATTGTATCCTGACCTTTAAGCGTGTCGCCTGCATTGACCCCGGAAACACAAGCTAAGATATCGAGGGTGGCAAACCACTTTACCAGACACAAGACAAAAGGATCGCTGCTGTCAAAGGACCCATGCGGAGCGTTGAGCATGACTTTAAGTAGTTGCATGACTCCCGACAAATGAGACCTCCATATGTGCATGTTACCATTGCAAACATCATTTGTGCAGAGTGTCATTGCCGTCATGGCCGTTTCAGCTCGGAGTATATCGTTTGCCTCGTTCATAGCAGTACGAAGACCGGAAATTGATAGGTTGGTAAATTTCAAGCACATCAGCCGTGATTGAGCGGTCGCATCCCCTATCAGTCGGCCATGGTGGCTCGAGGCAGAGGCAAGTAGTGCATATAGAAGATGAGGAGTTTCGATCGCCGAGCTAATTAGCCTGTCGATGAAGAGCTTTGGAGCGGCGGGGAAAAGCGACGGAGCCGTCTCTGTGCTCAGGATGTGCAGGAAGAATTTCGACTGCTCCGACGACAACAAAGGAGACAGGTCTAAGACCGGTTGCTGAACAAGGGCTGAGACATTCAGCTCTGTTGGTAGAGTTGGTTTCTCCGGACAGAAAACTACGGGACGTCGAAGGGTTGACTTTTGGGGCTGAGTCTGCCTAATGATACTCAGGTCATAGACACATTCCCTGGGAAACCGAGTGCACCGGAAGCAGACTGGTCGCTGCAAGTCGCACTATAAGCTTGATTAATATGACGAACCCTGATGACCGTACAGGCTGGGATACCTTGATTTTCTTTCTTCTACACTCTGAGCATCCATCTCGCCGCCTCTGGGTTTGGACGGAGGGTGTCCGGGATTGATCGAAAGGTTGCTCAATTGATACAAAGTTCACCATGAGGACTCGTTAGAAATCCTAGATTTGTGACGAACATTGAGTTAATACAGTTGATGAACTTGAAAGACCGATTGGGTTGATGGAAAGTTGAGCCAAAGTACGGAGAGAAGAGCGCTGCGTTATCGCAAGGATGACTAAGGCCCACACCTCACACTAGTCCCAATGGGGCCATAGTGCCGATGCAGCCAATCAACGGCGAGAATCGCGATAGAACTTTAGTTGTTGATCTTTTCTCACAATTTAGTACTACACCTACGGGGTATGTTATCCGGAAGATTTTCGGGCCAAGGATGGCTTGTGGAGACTATTAGTACTTTTAACAGAGGTGTCAAGAGTGGAGAGATAATCTCGAAGACCCGCCAGTTTTATGTTTACCCTGCGAAGTTGTACAGTATAACGAGAATTTGCATGACTATACATAAATTCAATCAATCACCACACATTACGCAGTAGGTAGATCACATAAATCAGACATACTAAGCATATATTCTCTCTCTAAACTATGTGGCTACCGCGTATATCTGCCGTTGGTTCGCCTTATAGGCCAGGGCCAATACTAAGTAATCCGGAATGTCTTCGTTCTTGTAGTCCAGAAAGTTGGTTCTGTGGTATCTTCATCTGCTTTTTGTCCGTGCTTGGAGAATAGAGGATGATCGATCCTTTTCCGCGATAGAGGTAGAAAGGTCAAACCTCGGAATTATCAATCCATGGACTACAAGCTTCCGTTCGATTTTACCTTTCGCCGAACAGCAGCCAAACCAAAGAGTAGTAGGCACTCGGTCTCACATCTAGAAGCGGAAGGGCAATGAGAGGAAAGACTCCGCAACAAATCTCCGATGCGAAGATCCAGTTCAAGCTAGCTTCGTGCGTATTCTCTACCGTAGTTGTATCTTTGTCCATTATCTCATCTATTCTCAATGCGTTCTCACATCTCGGTCGATAGAGTTTGCTGGACGAATAGCTTAGTGTAGCCTAGACGTAGAGATGTTCCGGGTATATTTAACATTTAAAATGATCTCATATATAATGTGACAATAAAGGCAACTGATGTTACGTTATCTATTGACAATTGTGTATCTTGTTACTTATTAGGAACGGTCTGGAATGCTGTGCTGCTGCTTACAAGCATATGAAGCCGGTAGTTAGATCCATTTCCAGTGTCTTTAGCTTTCCTGAAACCAGGTACTTACTATTGCTCATCTGAAACGAGAAATATTCCAAAATCAGACAAAAAGAAGCAAACTCGTAAGCACGAGTCTTATTGAGCTCTATATCTAGAGGTCCATAGAGCAAGATGGCAAGGAATGCCTCAACACCGATAGAAGGCTCGGCTTCTTAGAGTGGGGAAAGCCAAGATGCCTTGTCCCTGCAGGAGATGTGGGTCCATCCCCTTCTTTCAGTTAACTTGAGTGAACCTGCCCTGTCAACATATGAGGCACTTCATATTTTGCTTCATCGAGTATTTTTGAAAATGAAGAAGTTTCGTCGAAGACTTATATCACTCATTGCCCCTTGCCAAGAACCGTGGGTCTATTCCGAGCAGCGTGTTAGATCTCTTTCATCCCGCCATCCCCCCAGTCCACCAACACTCCATGAAGAATTCTTTCGGAACACATCACGACGATGGATGTAAGTAGGTCCTATTATGACTTTGATCTCAATCAGCTAACACCAGTTAGATTCAACGAATCCGACCGTCTAAACGAACGATACGTCAAGTTTCGACCATCAGAACTCCAACGGATAGCTGGCGGAGCAATACAAGCCTATTGCCCTGACATCGCTAAGCTTGCAGAGGGCGGCTTCAACAAAGTGTTTCTTCTGCGAGCAGAAAATGGGCATGAGGTGATCGCGCGAATTCCTACGCCCATCGCCGGACCTCCTCATTACACAACAGCCAGTGAGGTGGCTACGATGAATTTTCTGCGAGATATCCTCAAACTGCCAGTTCCAGAGGTCTTGGCATACTCGACATCATCAGAGAATGTCGTTGGGGCGGAGTACATTCTAATGGAGCGAGTGGACGGGGAGAGTCTGTCTTCGCGGTGGTTAACTCTAACTACTGAAGAGGTGAGAGACATCATGACGCAGATTGCAGATATGGAAAAGAAGATTTTCGATTTCCACTTTCCCGCTTATGGAAGCTTATACCACAAGAGAGATCTTTCTGGGGAAAGCCAAGTACGGCTAGTGGAAGATTTCTGTATTGGTCCTGTCTCTGCTCGGCAGTTTTGGCATGATGAGCGAAGCAAGACAGAGATTGATCGTGGACCCTGTAGGTCTCCTTTTCCCGACCTCGTCTTGTGCTTACTTGCTACGATTTCGAATGGAGAAGACCAGGGCTGACGGTTGCTACAGGGCTTTCACCTGTGGACTGTGTTACCTCCGCGGCTCGACGAGAGATAGCTGTCATTCGACATTACGCCAAAGCTCAGCCCCGCCGTACATTTCTTTTACCAACTGACTATAGCATTGATCCCTCTGAGCATCTTTCGCTACTTGAGAACTTCCTACAATTAGCACCCTATTTGACTCGACCAGGTCTTCACAGCGCTGGGACGCTGAGACACCCCGATCTGAGTCTGAGCAACATCTTGCTAGAACCTGGGTCCACTAAAATCATCAGTATCATAGATTGGCAGGATGCCGTGGTATTTCCCCGCTTCATGCAAGCAGGTTATCCCGCTTTCTGTGAGCACGACTCCACCCAGCCTCAAAGCTTACAGATCCCATCTTTACCCGATGATTTCAACAATATGGACATCGAACAACAGAGACAAGTCAAAGCCGCCTTTCGCTTAGAAGAGGCCAATCTCTACTACACAGCCGCGACAGGTGTACATAATGAAGAACACATGGATGTGTTGAAGCTCCCTCATTTAGGAATGCGGCAGTATCTCCTTCGCCAGACAGGATACCCCTGGGATGCAGACCTGATCAACCTACGTGCTGCATTAATCGGCATCACGACCCCGTCAGTATGGAGCAACATCTCCTCGGCAGCGTGCCCGGTTGTGTTCAGCGATGAAGAGCGAGAGGCTGCCATGGCGGAAGCGCGGGAATGGAACGAGTCTGAACAGATGTTGTCCCAGGTGAGAGAACACCTCGGTATTGATCCCGAAGGCGGGACCGATCCGGATAACTATGAGAGGGCAGTCAAAGGCAATCGACAGTTTCGGACGGAGATGGTTCGACAAGCAGAGGTGGGCCAGGAGGAGATCTGTTGGCGGAACTGGCCGTATAAGGATGACGGAGATGATAGCATGCCTAACTAGGTTTTGGTGCATATGAATGATACCCAAAGACCTGCAAGCCATCGCTCTGCCAGGAAGAAACCCTACCCATCTCAGAGATAGCCTTATAAACTGTTATGAGGAACTAACTTGAACTCATTCCAGTTCTTTGGTCTACAAATCGTTATCATAGTTGAAAATGCAGTATGTATAGAACCCATAAAATAAAGATCATGGTTTGTTTATTCCAATCTGTGTCCCACCGACAGCGTTCCTGCTTCTTATAATAAGAGATCAGCGTTTCCGAAGGTGAAGAATATCCGGCAGAGTAGACAATAGTCATTATTATATACATCTCATTAATAGTACATACATGTAGAAGTTTAACAGCAAGTACAGGAAGAAGGAAGATACGTGGAACGTTGATCAGGACCGTCTTGATAGCAACTTTAAGTCATAGATGGTGTCTAGGTATAGAGGATATCCTTGTAAGGCATCTGGGAAGGGTAGGTACTGATAGTTGAAAGATGCGCGCGCGGGCACTATTCAACCCAGGATTAAGTTGAGTAAAGGGAAGAGCAGGAATGATCGAGAAACTGGAGTCATTTGAGTTGTTGCATTGCTTCGTATTAGACGTGCTGGGTGGACAGGTGATAGAAAGGGTAGGTATGAGGCCAGCTCCGACTACCCAGGCCAACCATCAAAGGTAAATAGAGGCGAAAACGAGAGAAAGTAGAAGTAAAAGACGAATCCAGATCAGGATAAGGACGGATACTAAGACGACACCCGCAACCTCCGACTCTTCGGAGCCACATAAAAACAAAGAAGCTGCTCATGCGCGCAGTACGAACAACTCGGCACCAGCCCGTCACAGTCCACATTATGTTCTCGACAACACCGGCAGGGGAAGTGGCTCGGGGGCGATATCTCGGGCCCTGTTTCTTCTTCGCGGGTCGAGCCTCTCCTGTCCGTCGCGTCTATCGAGGGATTCGAGGGATCGGTTAGACAGTCCGCGTGGTCCCCTGTATTGCTGATGCTTTGTAGCCATTCCCGGACGCGGGTTATTCGTAGACTAGTGGTTATTGTCATTGTGTTTGTGGATGGCTAGGTGGGTATGGTTAGTTTAGACTGATGAGAGGTAGATTAAATAGGTCAGGGAAGAGTACACCTACTTAGGAACCTATTCTGAATGTTGTTTGCTTCTGTGGATATCGCCTCGGACTGGATGAGGAGGTTGTGCGACACACAAACAGAGAGCAGCCAAAGCGCAGACCAGTGGAAAATCACGGATCACCAACAAGGTATCACCTCGATCGACAAACGCAGGATCCTAGACGATTTATACCTGCAGACGACAAGTTCCCCGGACTCGCTCATTGGCAGTTCATCCGGGGCCCCCCTCGTACGATGATCGATCCAATGAAGTTGGAACTCCAGCCGAGTCCAGGATAGGTACATTACGGAATCAAAAGCGACGGTGGACTGACATCATCAAGTGGATCGTGGGCCGTGGGCCGCGCGGTGTTTGTTAGTCTCGGGGCAGGGATCGTTCCAGGGTTTGCCGTTCCATGGAAGTCGGAGGGGCGGCAGGACACTTGATGCGACGAATCGCTGGCCATAACGCGATGGTGGAGACAAGCTGCCGATATGACATTCGGGAGAACCTACGGAGCGTATACGGTGTACGTGGCTTACAGATAGTGGAAGATGGGCAGGTTATTCCCATCGATGTTCATGAATACTCAACTAATATGCCATACTTTCATAAATAATATGTACATGAATTGCAGAAGGGTATCTTTGGGTATAGCTCAGACGAACGTAAAGTAAAACTGCCTGCCCGTCCAGGGAAAACCAAAAACCAAGCCATTACTCATGAAAGTCGTGGTAACAAGACACTAATAGAACAAGGTGACTCGGAACCGCGGGGATGACCCAGCGGTGCCATCATCTTGCGAGAATTCTGCAATCATATCTTGGGACTGGGGAATCTCTCGAACGACATCGTCGTCGATCACAATACGCAGGCCGCTCGCATTGACGCGAATTGCATGGCTAATACTACTGGGTTCCATTTGATATGTCTGAGAGACGTGTCGAAGTAAGTCCGACAGGGTCAATTCGTTGAGATACAGCGCATGGTAGTAATCCTCAAACTGTCCGTCAATGCGTTGACAGATGTAAAAGCACGCAACTAGAAAGAATGATCGCGTTAGACTGATTTCATCATCTGTACTGGATCTGCTACTCACCGGCATGATTATCCTCCTGTGTACGGTTGCTCATGGGCGAGGAAGACCCCGTTGCTTCCCTGACGCCACGTTTCACCAGCTGCTCGTCGGCACTGCCCGAGCCTTCCAAAGGATTTGGTAGCACGATGGGGAATCGATCGGGGTCATCTTGGGCGTCACCCCGTAGCGATAGCATACTTCGCGGTCGGGACGACGACAGCACGGCTTCCAAGTCGGAGACCACTGCTTGGAGTTCGTCACGGGCGGAGAATTCATGGGTCATGGCCAGAAATGGTTCCAATTGTTGCCGTGCTGCCGCCGGAGGCTTCCCCCGTTTTCTTTGTCCGGGGTTTAGTCGGCCTTGCGCGGCGGCCGACTCGAGGTCACCGAGCCGCTGGCGAGCCTTGTCGATGGCCTTGTTTAGCTGGATGGCATCATTCGATAGCTTCCTCTCGGATCCGTGGTCTCGGAATAATTTTACTCGGCAGTAGCAAATCTCCGCCGTCGACAGCGGAGGCTGCGGCGAGACCTCGGGCGCGATTAGCTGCGTCTTCGCATACAGTCGGAGCGGCGCCCCTTGGACCCCCTTGGACAAGGTGAAGTCGGTGGAGAGGAAATTGAAAAGAATGTGAGCCTCGCATCCGGCGTGGCCCGATTGCGGGTCGGCCAGCCACACGATGCTGAAACCGTCCACCGACGAGTTTTCCAGAGCCACCTGAGACCCCGCCGGCCGGCCACGGATGACGTTCGACATCACGTCGACACATTCGACGGCTCGCAGCTGCCCGTCGCTCCTCCTGGCTTCGTTCAGTCCGCGATTGTCTCGCCACAGCTTCCAGGCGGCCACGGGGTCGGCTCGTTGGTTGTCGTTGTCAAATCCGATTCGAAAATGTGTGCGGTATCGCACCGGGTGGGGAAGTGTGACTGGAGGTGCCGTGTCGATGATAGAGATCTTGTACCCCTGGCGACGATTGAGATAGGTGACAGGGGTCTGGCGGGTAGGGTTGTAGGTAGCTGTAGGAGCGTGCAGGGTAACCTGAAATCGCAGTGGATGGTGGCCATCGTACACGGACTGCGTCTCGTCCATCGTACCCGAGTGCCCGAGCTGCGAGTCCGGCGGGGAGATCTCTCGCGGGTTCTGAGCAGGCAGATCGGAGAAGTCGCTTAGATGGTCCTGGTCTTGAAATGGCGCCCCCTGGAGGCCGCACGGATCCTGCGGCAGGCCATATGCAGGGGCCAGCAGCAACGACTGGGCGCCGACGTTGCATGATAGAGCCCGAGGGAGAGATGCGTCGACCGGATGATCAGGCAGCACCATACGCATCTGATCGTTGAAGGGGCCACAAGAACAAGTATGCTGACCGGGCGGGGACGACGAGTACTGGGGACTCGGTAGGAGGGTCGGATTAGACACGAGACCTGGCAGATCTCCTACGCCCGAATTGCATTGTACAAGCTGGTCGGGCACGATGCCAGCGCCCGTAATGTAGGGAGTGGCGGCGACCCCGGAGAACTTGCGCTGGAAATCGCGAACAAAAGCATCGCTGGGCTTGTGAGCGCTCCTGCAGAAGAACCAACCAGGTCAGCGCTGTATGGGGGAAAGGAACCAAGAACTACGTACCTTTTGTGGAACATGATGGACTCCTTTTTTTCTTTTCTAGTACAGTGAGATTTTTCTTTTTCTCCTGGACTCGTCCGTGTCCTTCAGCAGCGCATTGTGCGCCTGGCGGCTTTATCTAGTTCCAGAGTAGGGAGCAGGTCCAAAGGCCGAGATCCGCAGCGACCCACGTTGCATCATAAATCCGCGCAGGCACAATTGGTCAATTGGGGAAATAGTCAGAAGTACGAAGTGGATGCACGTTGAATTGGATCTCCACTCGGAAACTCGAAATATATTAAGCGCTAGGCCAGGAGGAACTAGGCCCAACGGGCTGAGTATGTATGCCTCGCACAGAGGGCGGGTTGAGTCGCCACGATGGCTCGAGGCGTACTCCGTACTCCTGAAGGGACCAAGCAAGCGAATGGGAATCGATAGCAGGCCTCTGGACGGGAAGATAAAAAATTTTCTTTGTCGAGTGATGAGAGGATGAGGTCACGACGAAAGTGGTTGAATAATGAAGAAGGAAGAGTGACCACGAAATAGAGCCGGTGGAACCGCTCGATCGTAGGGACTCCCGTTAGGCTGTTGGCGCGGGGAGAGTGGCAACACACGGAAATAGTATCCCCGGCAAATGATTGCCTGTCTTTCGTTCCTGACTGCTTTCGAGTACTCCGTGTAATTGATCATGTCGGATGATTTCTGCTTCTCCGAAGATCTGGATTGTCCATTCGCCTGACATCATCTACGCGTATCCCGATCGAGGTATACAAACGGGAGTCTCGATAGATATGTATATATTTTAACGGACATAATATCCATCCACACGAAATTCATGCTGACTCTCGCAGTGCGACAGCATCAAGCCCTGTCAACATTGTCGCGCGTCGAATCTTCCATGCCGCTCTGGCCCCAAACGGCGCACCAAGACCCCTACGTTTGCGAAGAGGTAAATGCCCAGCTGCGATTGTTCCCCCCAGACAGCGGCTGACTATACGAGCGCATTCTCAGAAACGTGCCGTTGCTGGAAACGCAGCAGCAGAGTCTAGTGAAGGGACTTTGGGAACTGTATCGACGAGTGCACGAGGACCGCAACTGGATGTGTCCGACGCAGCTGCCGGGGAAGAAACCCTTGACGCACGAGATCCTGGCTCAGTTAGGCGTGCTGGACGAGGTTGGCGATTGCGGAAGTGCGGAGATACCAGTCGAACAGAAGATTTCGAGGCCGAACGAGGATGGATTGATGAGACCACGGCATTCCTACGAGGCGGAACCCCCGACGGACGACGTGCTCTCTGCGACAGAATCGAGCGAGCGGACGGACTGTACGTTCGGGGTAGGCGTGGCGGAAGAAGAATACTGGTGAGCTATACGGGCCATATGGAGTAGAGGAGCTGTCAATGCTACGATTGTATATACATATTATCCGTACGTATCAATCTACTGGTCGAGAGATCAATCCTTAGATACTGTAGTTTATTCTCTACGAGTATTTCTAATTCCTAGTATACTCTGGATATACTCCTACAATCGATCGGATAGTCGGAATCAACGAGGTGAACCTGCACCACCCACCCTGGTCAACTCCTTAGTCAAGTCGATAGTCCAGTCCATCAAGTGGATGATAATCATCTCCACATCGATCAACTTCCCTGATTTCCTTGACCATGCACATTGGCCGGATGAAAATGCCGAGTGGAGCTGCCCGAGGAGAGATCCGCACGAGTGGATGCCCCAGGCCGTCTCCCCGTAGAGCCACCCACGTCAAGAAAAGGTTCATCTCTTGGGGGCAACGCGGCCGTTGAGTTCCAATGAAACATCCACACAGCCAAGTACTTTGCGCGAGACGGGGCGCGATCGGCGTCAACTTGGCGGAATCTCGTCGATTCTTGGAACAAATACTCCTCCAGGAGTACTTTGATTCTTTGAACCCCTCACACCCACTAGTCTACGGGCACTCAGGCCACCTGTCCAACCGAGCGATGACCGATGTACCCTGAAGTCTGAACCCTGAACTTCGCACTGAACGCTGAACGCTGAACGCTACTCTGAAACGTCTGAAAAAGTCCGTCAGTCTGACTTCAGGATGTTGATTCCGCCAATCATTGAGTCTGCTGGGCCCCATCGATAACACAATCCGTGGGTCTTCGCGGCCCATCCAGACTTGAGATTCGAGACTCGGTGCATCGTACTGGACTCTGGAGTCCCTACCACGCCATCCATCTGACATCTATTACATCTCTTACATCATGCATTGATGGCATTGATGCATCGATGCATTCTGTCCGACAGCTCTGGAACGTTCATGGACTTTCCGGGACGAGCATGGTGCTATCCCTGTTTTAACCTCCCATCCTGCCTGGATCTTCCTCGATTGGCGATGAACCTGCTCCAGCTGTTTGCCCGGTCGCATCGTAGCAGTATTTATTAACGCGATTCGGATTCTTCTTTCAGATGGTCAACTCACCGACTCGACTCGACCCTCTTGATTAAATGGTCCTCTTACCACTTCATCGTCAGCATTAGTTAATCAATCAATCATTCAATCAGCCAGTCAATCATGTCCGCTGAGGTCACCTTTCTCCCTCCTACTGATCTCTCCTCCCTGTCGAATCCGGCACCTCCTACCGACTCCCTTCCTCCCATCGCGGCGCTGAACTCGCCCTCGCTCTCATTCCTCCCGTACCTGACGGACGAGTCCTGGCTCAACATCAACACCCTCCTTTCCCAGCCCCCGACTGCCAATAATTCCTCTTTGCCGGGAACCCAGGGCGCAAATCAGGCCCAGAAGCCAGTCCAGAGCCCCCCGCCGTCCCCACCGGCCTCGCAGATCCGAAAACGACGAAACCACTACTCCATTCGGCACGCCGCCCCACCCGCACCGAAGGAAGCCCGAGAAGAGGCGGATCGTCGGAAGCGCGAGAATTTCCTGGCGCGCAACCGTCGCGCCGCCACCAAATGCCGCGAGAGGAAGCGCGAATTCACCAAGAAGCTGCAGGATCAGTACGAGGAGGTCGCGCGGCGGAAACACGCTCTAGAGTCTGAGTTCGCTCAGCTGCAGGGGGAGGTGCTGGAGTTGAAGAATGAGTTGCTGCGCCATTCGCAGTGCGCCGATCCGGCTATCCAGAATCATCTGGCTGGTATGGTCAAGAACGTGACGGTCGCGCAGTCGCCCATCCTGGCCCGATCGGGTCATGCGCCGTCGGAGGCATCTGCCTTTGCCTCCTCGTCTGTGCCATCGGTCGATGAAGACGCTGGTAGCAGTGGTGGTAGCAGTACCTTGCCGGTTGCCAGTTACGAAGCGGACCGGACGCGTCGAGACTCGGTGCTGAGCGTCAGTACCGACGCCAGCTTGGACAGTTTCATCGATGAAGGGTTATTCGAGGAGTTGCTGAACTATGGCGGAGGGTCTGCTTTATAACCTAGGATTTGCCATCGTTTACTGCGTTTGTCATATTGTATATTAGCCAGCGTTCGTCATAATGAAGCATACTATTCTGTATATAACCAGTCTTTCTTTCAGTGGCAATTGCCTCGTTCATAACACATCCAAAAGCAGGCCTACTCCGGTATAGACAGCCTTGTCGCGATCCGCCCATCTCATACACCGTCCACCGTAGGCCACTCAGTACACCGCAGACACACGAAGTGGGTAATCTGACGTCACACGATAGGCCCCGGTCGCTTGTGTCTACAATCCGTCGAAGTAGATTGGCCGGAAGAAACGTCCATGAATGATCGCGAATCATGCAAGCCACTTGCCCATTTCCTGGACAACTGGACAAGGTATCAGGGCGACGACAAAGCACCAAACATGGAGCGTGCGAGAGACACAGCAGCTAAGTGGCCTGATAGTTAAACCCCGCGGTGGATTCAAAAGGGTCGCTCGCCCGTTACCTCAGGCCACGTAGGAAGATGTATGTAGTGTCTACCACTCCGTATGTCTATGTATAGAGCATAAAACCTTGCTGAAAGTCTCACGCAGCGTGGTTGTCTTAAGGTTTCGGTTGGTGCACCGTGCATCTACTTCCAGGTTCTCTCTCCACTCTACCACGCTATACAGCTGACCAGTGACACGCGCGTTGGAGTTTATCTCCGGTTTAGTACACAGTAGTGGCTAAGGTACAATGGCGGGGACCGACGGTCGCGGGCCTGATCCTATTCTCATACTGCAAGACGCGGCTGCCAGCAGAGTAAGACCATACATAGTATTTCAAGTTGCTCGATCGGAATTTATTCCTGACTCTCTATGCCGCTGCAGACGCAAGGGTCACGTCCCTCGCAACTCGATCGGTACTCTATTCTCCGACCGGATGACTTCCCGGATGATATTGGAGAGAGGTTGGCGTTGTTCGTACTTTGCGATGGACAGTATGTTGATTGCTTGATTTCTCATTCTGCTCTCCCTGTAACCTCCGCTAGAATGACTATCGCCAAAAGTGCTAATACCCACGCCCCGAAATGCCAGTGCCTCGCGAGAAGTAGGCGGCCACGCAAAATACAACCTACCGCGTCTACTGCTGCAAAGCAAGCATCTCCGGCAAGGGGACTACGACCAAGCAATCCGATCTGCAATCAAGGATGAAGAACGCTTACTGTTTGAAGAATTCGTGAACGGAAAACAGTCGCACTTCTATGCCGGTTCTACGCTGGCCATCTGCCTGGTTAATCTGACGCGAGGGCTTCTGGTTGTGGCGAACGTCGGCGACTCCCATGTTATGCTCGGTGAGCTGTATGACCCGGCGAGTGGCTTGGGGACGGTGGTAAAAATGTCTACCGATCTATGGGGACCATGACTATAGTTTAGCTGACTCGTCTGCAGCGATATTTGACCAAGGCTCATAAACCGGGGAATCCGGACGAACGACGCCGGATTGAACTCGCCGGTGGCAGCGTTATTGAGAAACATGGCGCATTGAGAGTGGGTGAGCCGTTCTAACCAGAAACTCGTCGCCTGAAATGAGGGCCTCATACTGAGCGAGACTCATAACTAGGACGCCTGAACATGTCGCGAGCGCTGGGCGATCTCGCATACAAGAACCTCGCCACGGAACATACGTCGATCGGATGTCCGGAAAGCGATAGTAGAGAGATACCCGACGCACCTGGGGTGCAGGACGGTCTTCTCTCGAGCGAACCCTTCATCACGAGGATGACCCTTGCAGAGCATGGGGCGTACATCCTAGCGCTGACCTCGGACGGAGTCACGGACCAGCTTGAGGATTCGGAGATTCTGAATCGACTCTCGGATTCCTGGGATGCAGATCCACGAGCTCAGCGCGCCGCTCGCATTCTAGTGTCCGAGGTGGGCCATCGACCGCGGAGTGACATGCCACCTGCATCGCGGTGTTCATGAAAGGGCGTAGCTTCTAGCAGTCAGTTCCGGGGTTGCTCTCACTGGGGCTAGGACGATGAGCTGCCGAAAGAGGTACATATAATCGACCTGAGCTTGCGCCACTTGTCAATAGTTGCATCAGATCGTACGAGGGCTGAGCCCCGCATTCACGAGTTATGGTTTAGTAGAAACAATGAAGATCGCCGTTGCATGCCACCTCCGTCATATGTGTGTAAGATTTTGCGGGGTGTTCGATAATCAATATAATGCTCCCAACCCCAGCAGGCATCTTGAATGATTCTAGTAGCAATTATTGAAATGGCAACAGCTCAGTATCGCATAGAGAAGAATCATGTCTAATATTCGTATCACCCGCTGGTCCTCAACCGAGGAAGTGGTGGAAGCCGTTCGTGAATACAAAGAGTCAGCCAACCTATCATTAACCCACCGTCTCCACATCTCTGACTAACGTGGACCAAAGCACACTAAACGACCCAAATGCTCCTGATGAAACCAGGGAAGAGGCGCGGCAGATGCTGGACCGACTGGGGGCTGATGAGTCCCCGCCCGACCCTGACGACAGGGGCAAAGTTACGATCAAAGCTGCCGAAGAATTGAACTTGTCAGTCATGAACCCTGATGGCGGCTTGGACACTGCTAACATGTGATTTCTTAATCCAGGGACCAAGGCCTTCATGAAGATGATAAAGATGAGGCTCGGGCGAGCCAGGTGGACAAGCCGGTCTAGGCACTAGGTGATACTTTACAGATCAAGTGATAAGAGCACTGTGAATTAGTCATTTCATAATCCAATATAGCGTCTATCTATCTTTTACTTTTTTCAGAATATGTCATTCAGACGTGGTTCATGACGTCCCTGAGGTTGGCACAATAGCAATCACGACGCAACCTGTCCTTGACCCGGCCAGCTCCTACCATGGTGCGGATCCTTGTATTGTGCAACGCCCAGGCATATCTAGATGAGGGGAATTCAAGACCTGAGACCGCAATCGAGCCCATGAAATCATCAGGGTGATGCTTGGGTGACATCATACGCCCAACATGAAGTATACTTATACTGGGCCCAGTCGACGGATCAATCACCGCGACAAGTCTTCTCTACATCTTCATCATCTACTCTTGAATCAACAAGTCTACTACTGAAAATCCATCAAATCTATCAAAATGACTTCCAACCCGAACCCCGGAAACTTCGCCAACCGTCCTCAAGAAGAGGTTGAGAACATCGCCAGCAAAGGCGGCCAGTCCAGTCACCAGGGCGGATTCCGTAGCATGGATCCCGATAAGCAGGTATATCTCATATCCCACATCTTTGTGACTACGTCGACTAATTCAACTAGCGAGACATTGCCTCCCAGGGTGGCCAAGCCTCCAGCGGAAGCTTCGAGCCTGGCGATCCCAAGGCCAGAGAAGCTGGACGGAAGGGCGGTTCTAAGGGCTACCAGGGCGATCAGCCAGAGGAATAGGCTGTTCTAGTTTAACTGAGCTTTGGGAATCTGGAACTGGAATGAATTAATGGGGAATGATTGTGTTTGTTTGATTCAGTGTAATAGTAGGATGTCTCGATGAGTTTCGCAGATCTATGGATGTGTGCATCTTTTATCATGGGAACAGTGGAACTTGCAATTGATGAACGTAATAACAGTTGATTGTTTACAATTTTCCTGTCCACTGCTAGACCTCGCAGTACCATCGGTGTACGTAGAATTGCTTTCGGTCCCACGAAGCAGAGGATGGTGCCCCGAGTTGTGGTAATCCCATGGCTTTACTACATTGAACCTATTACTGCGTTCAATAACGTACATCTACCATGTTCATACCAGTTACATGACTCCTCAAGAAGCGGAGCCATCCAGCTCCTTCCCAGCGCACTCAGCAGCTCGGACATCAACTAAAATCTTGTAATGACGATCCCGCTCATCAACTAATGCCCTGAAGCCCTTCTCCACATCTTGGAGGTAATCATGGCCCGCGAGTTCAATCGACCTAGTCCATGTCAGCACGATAAACCTGCCCTAAAACTTGGCCTCCACTCACCATAACTCAAAGCCTCAAGCGTATGCTAAAACGACCGGGTCTCTTTGAGTCGGAGAATTGAATAATGTGAGCTCTTTCTTGGACTAGGCGCTCAGTAAGTAAGAGCCATGCTGTTCTCCTCTGCCTTTTTTCAAACCCAACAACAGACAATCCTCTTGCCGTATGCCGCATGAACGATATGCGATCAAATCGATCGGGAGAAAGATTGCGCTGCTATCAGCAAAACCACCATAGATCTTTCTTAATTGTTCATGACGCTCTAGTCCCGAGCACAGATACTCATTCGAACATGTTACCTGCAATTCTACCCGATGATACAGATTTAGTGCGGCATCTCACGCTCACGCTCCCGACGACTTGCATACGATCCCAAATTCGTGATCAGCGGAGTCCCTGGGTTGATAAAGATAAGATAGATGACCGCGTAAAAGTTGCTCCCAAGAAGCCTATCGATCTCGTCAGGGCCGGTGGAGAGAATATGGAAGTAATGAGCGTCGTTTAAGATGAGGAGACTGAAGCAGAGAAACATGGGCGTCTTTTTGTTGAGGAGGCCGTAGAATTGGGTGAAGGTGGGCATTGTGAGGATTGGGAATGTTGTTATTCCCGTTGAGCTTAGATTTATGGTGGATGGTTGCTAGTTCGTTGTGAACACGAAGAAGCTTAGTATAGGTGAAGTAGGGAGGAACATTAACTCAAACTGGGGGGGCTTAACGGACTATCTATGATTTCGTCCTTGAGACCATCTGCGAGCTGGAGAGCACTCGCCCCGTTCAACTCTGTCCCCGCTGTTTCATTTCATCCAACGCCCGGCGAGCATGCCTCCGATGTGGACCGTGACATTAGTTTAACGCTTGATTCTCGTGTTCCCTTCGATGCGCCCGATCGGCACTACGGGTAGACGGATAGACGATAGACAACGAATCGAGCCTGAACCCGCTCACCAAAGCTGATCTGAAACGGCGGCAGATGTATGGGCAGAATGGACGTGTAATATCTCCAACTCGCAGGATACGGAAGGGAGGAAAGGGAAGAGAAACCTACTGCACCCGGTGGAGCTGACCCAGAATACAGGGCACAGGGCACTTCGCAGGGCAACTTGGTCAGCTATATCTCCATAAATCAGTCCTCAAAGGCTTTCGCAGCATGGATCGTGGATGGTTCATGCAAGTGCAGTATCCCCGGTTTCTAGCGTCATTACGGAGTAGTGCACGAGCTGACATTCCATATCGAACCAGTTTCATGACATCAAAGAGCGACCATCGAACACATTGCATTGTAGATCAAAGCCGATCAATCTGTGAAAGACTTGTTTCTTGCTCCACAGGGAGTGGAGTCAAACCACTGTTCCCTTTTAGACCTTATCGAACCAGGGGCAATGCGAATCAAACTGCTTTGAAACGTAATCCAAGAATCCCTCTCAAGCTTTAAAGCCAAGGAAGGATAATGGCGTTGCAATGGGAGCCATTCACTTTGCGACTTGCATCTATATTCAGTGATGATCGAGGTTGGTGATTTCTTTGTCTGCTGTTACAGATTCAGCTTGAAATAAGCACTCTTGATCTCGACTCCCAAGAACATGCTAGAAACTGAGATCGCTGGACTGGAACCAAGGACAGATTGTGTCAAATAAAGACCCCTTTCTTTGAACGAGGCTGATCCATGGACGTCGAAACGTTGTTTCTTTGACGATCCACGCCAAGACCGACGCTTCTTTATCCTCAGACATCGTTGCCTCAGGCCACCGTCGCGCCGATCATCTACGCGTCCCAACTTTTCTTTCAACAGATCAACACCGCCGGTCAGTGTCGCCCACATAAATTCTTGCCCGTCCTTCAATTCCACAGGTAACTCAGTCCTGCTATCACTGCTATACCTACTTCCAATCCAGATCTCGTTCTAATCTCAACTCAGTGAATCAACCAGGGGCGCTCCTATCCCCTAACCTCCCAAAATGGCCTCCACTAGCGCACCCTTCGTCCTCGACACGCCGACCATCCTCTGCATCGGCTTCGCGCTGTCCTTCATGCCCATCGCCTACATCCTAGGCCGAACGCTGATTCCCTCCACCCACACGCGCAACCGCTTCCTCTTCTTCTGGCACGCCTACGACGCCCTCACACACATCTTCATCGAGGGCTCCTTCCTCTACCAGTGCTTCTTCAGCTACACTGCCGTCCCCGTCGGCTTCAACCGCGAGCCCTACTTCCTCGGCTACAAGGACCGGGTCTACGGCGCCGCCCACGGCACGGGGCCCAGCGCGCGGCTGTGGCAGGAATACGCGAAAGCGGACGGACGCTGGGCCGTCGCGGACCCGTGCGTCATCGCATTGGAGATCCTGACCGTGGTGCTTGGGGGACCGGCAGCGGTCTACACCTGCTATCTGTTGTGGAAGCTATCGAGCGCGAAATCCAGCGCGGCGGTGCGCGGCGCTGCTAAGGGCAAACTGTGGCTCGTGGCGCCGGCGTTGGCGACTGCCGAGCTGTACGGCGGATTCATGACTTTCGGACCGGAGTGGTTGACGGCGAGTTCGCAGTTGGCGACGGATAATCCGGTTTATTTGTGGTTCTATCTCTTCTTTTTCAATACGTTGTGGGTGTTTGTTCCCGGTTGGGTGCTGTGGGAGGCTTATAAGGAGCTGAAGGGGGCGTTTGTGAAGGCGGAAGGGACGAGTGGGAAGAAGAAGCAGTAAATAGGGGTGGTAACTTGGGATAGGGAAAGAGATTAGAAGATGGAATCGTGTATATGGATGCGGATATGGTTTGACAGCGAGATACATATTTAGTTTGCGGTGGTCTGTTTTTTGTTCGGGCTAGAAGGGTTGCTTGTTTGTAAATCTATCACTACTATGAAGATATAATCTGCTGAGCTTTCTCTTAGGTCCAGCCAACCCTTAGTACAAGCGTCAGGTACATTCTTCATCTAGGCAGATCAATATCCATTTGCAAGGTAAGCTTCGCGAGCTTACGTCAAAGATCGGAGAGCTTACCTTCTTCGTGCTCGTATTCCTCGCATTCGAGTCGAAATCACGAAGGTTCTTATTCCCTCGTATCCGAGGCTTGGCTCTCGTTAGGGCTCGCAATGCGAAGTGCGAACACGGATTGGGCAAGCTGTGCGATTACCGATGTATATCGCAGGCATCAGTATAATCATCTCTTTCGAGGCTTATCATATAGACATATGCTGGGATATATAAATGGCCAATTTGGTCAATTGCTTTCTATTCATACCAATCCATCAATTCATCCTTTCTCACAAGCATAACACCAATACCTATTAAACCTATCCATAGACATATCCAATATGTCCACCGAAAGCATCTACTTCTACTCCCCATCCCTCGCCGCCTCCATCCTTTTCACGATTCTCTACTTCCTCCCCTTTCTCTACCACCTCTACATGACCTCTCTCGTTCCCTGTGCCACCAAATCCCACCGCCCTGGCTCCTTCATCCCAATCCTCATCGGCGCCCTCCTCGAAGTTGCCGGCTACGCGACCCGCTGCGCCAGCATCAAGCAACCATCCAACGTCCCCCTGTACGCCACCTCAGCAACATTGATTGTGATTGCTCCCGTATTCGTCTGCGCCAGTCTCTACGTTCTCACGAACAGACTGATCCAGAACGGCTCTGTTGGCGAAAAACCTCGCTCCGGCTGTCTCCCCATCTGTATCCCCATTTCTTGGCTTCCTAAGATCTTCATCACGTTGGACATAATCAGCTGCCTAACGCAGGGGTCTGGCAGCGGGATCGCGTCGGCAGGGGACTGGGAAGGTGATGAGAAAGATACGGGCGTGGGAGTGCTGATCGGCGGGTTGGTGTTGCAGCTCGTTACGTTCACGGTGTTTCTGATCATCGTGGGGTCGTTTCAATGGGGGATGAAGAGGCAGAGCAGAGAGGTGGAAGGCGGAGTGAGAATGATGCTGAGGGGGGTTTATGTTGCAGGGTTTTGGATCATGGTGAGTTCTGCTTCTCTTTCCTTTGGTGTTTTATGTGTGTTTAGGGGAGCTTTCGGGGGTAGTGAATGATATGTGTTGGCTAACTCGATTGCCTACAGGTCCGGTCAATTTATCGGGTTGTTGAGTTCGCCATGGGCATTGATGCTTATGCGTTTAATCATGAATGGCCGTTGTATGTGCTTGAGGCCGTGCCGATGTTGATTGCGATCAGTGTTCTGGGGTGGTATCATCCGGCGCGGTATTTGCAGGTTGATAGAAGGGGTGATGTGGAAGATAGGAGACAGAGAAATTGAACTAGACTAGAGGCTGGATATGAAGTTGAGATTGCAGATGCTTCGGTAAGCTTTCCTCTTCGTTCGGTGTGGTTGTGGTGATTTGTTCCTGTCCATGTATAGTCATTCATTGTCATTAGATACTAGGATAAAAGGAAAGAAAAGGTATCAGAATGTGTTTGCGAACCCATAGTGTGTCAAAGTAGTAGCTTGATGTGTATTTACTGTGTGGATCTAACCCGCAGTCGCAATGACCATATGCTATATATGGCCAGTCTTCATCAACTTAACCTCCGCGAAATCCCACTTGGCTGTCTCTATCAGACGCAATCAACCCAGCCTGTCCCTTCACCAGTCGACGGATCGAAATCGGCAGTTTATGATATATCGCATCTGCCCATTGATGTACAATCACCGTACCAACTGGGTAACTCATATCGCGGCACCCACCAGCATAGACAAGAAGCGGCCGCATCAGGATCTCGACAGCGATATAATGCACGAACAGAGCATAGGAGACGTGGTTACCCGGAACAATAAAAGCCATGAACTCAAGATTCTCCATATTATACCAAACGGCATAAATCTCGGTCAAACCAAAGAACGCTTCCTGAGGCGAGTACTGCAGCGCGATGTACGTTTTTCGAATAGCCTGAAAGAAAGAATGATGGGCCGGACTCTGAAGTAGTGGCCGTAGTTCTTCGAGATCCTCAATGCAGAACACGAGGGTATCCTGAATCGCCAAAGGCTCCGTCGGTAGCCATGTACCAACCATAGCAGAAACCTCTTCTTGCGATTGTAGAGCAAACATCCGACTCTTGTTGTATCGCGCCCGGATTTGGTTCGTCACCGTGGCACATCCCCGAACCATGACGGCGAAATCGACGAGTCCGTCGCTCATGTAGTACGCTTGGAACACCAGCGTGTAGCATGTAGCTAGTATACCATCCATCTCTGTATCCGAGCAGCTGTCTCCATTGGATAGCGCGGTGCCGAGCAGCCGGAGGGCTTTTCCGCGATGAGCAATCGCCATTGGTGTGTATTGAGATCCGCTGGGTGCGATCAATGCGTAGTGCGTTGCGCCGAGAGCGAGGATTGCATACATTAAGTGAGGACACTAAGGGATTTAGCTATGCGAATAAGTTCGGTGGGAGCGACTAACCTCGTGAGCGTAAGTAGGAACCTGCGTGGTCCAGGACCCCTCGCTTCCAAACGGGAGGTGTGGCCGCGCGACCAGCAAAAAATGGTGAAAGAAACGGAGATCATCTCCAGTATATGCTGCTCCAAATATCTTCCTCGGCGAGGTCGGAGATGGCAGAGGGTCTTGAACATTGGCGTTTGCGCTCAACTCTTTCCGTGTCCGCTGCCTCTCTGATATGCCTTCGTACATGCAAACCATGTCTCTGGTGATGCAGTTCGCACATGCTGGCCTTGTTTCTTGACACTTTGTGACTTTAGCTGGTGACAGGCATGTAGAAGATGAACGTGGTCGCACCTTGACTTTACGGGCTTTGCAGTTAAGGCAGCCTCGACGGGACTTTTTATGGGGTCTCTTCAGTCTGTGCTGCTTGTCCGAGGAAGAATGCTGATCTTGTGGAGTTATTAGGACACTTCCATCCGATACAGGAAGGTAAATTTCAACGATGCCTCCCGTGCTGCAAGGGAGATGGCGTTTAGTAGGGATGCAATCCATGGCACAGCCGGAATAGCTTCACAAAATCCTCAGATTCACGTCGGTTCACCACGCTTGTCTTTTGCCGGCATCTCGATGAGAAAGGAAGAAATCATGACCCATCGCAAGCTCTTGCAATACTGCCAGCAGCAATGTGGCTGAGCCACACCGTCCGTTAAGGCAGCACCTTTCGTAGAATACGAGCTCCTCGCATTCCGGCCAGTCAGGACATGGCACGGCTCTGTACAGGGTGATTCATCTTGAGTCCAGATGGGTGGGGAATTCCTTCCAGGTCCCGAGCTATCATTTTCGTTAGACTCCTGCGTTGTTGAATGGCCAATCTTGGTTGTACACTTACAGTGCCATCGCATCGGCTTTCCCGACATCGGCGGGGTTTTATCGGGCGGGGAAATGACTTCACTTCCAAACACATCTCACTCACTACCTTTAAAATCACAGGATTGACATCGACCCACAGCCCTCACAGAGACCTGAAAATACAAATATGGCAGCTTCACTGGACCCACACAGTTCAGCGCAAAAAGCTAGGGATCTTCTCCTTTCGGCCCAGCAGCGTTATGAGAACCAGAACCCGGAATCAGCCCGACTGCACCAAGAGGCCACCCAGTATCTCCCTGGTGGAAACACCAGATCAGTCTTGCACACCAGTCCATTTCCAATCCGCATGCAAAAGGGCCATGGCAATCGCCTTGTTGATCACGATGGACACGAGTGAGCTGAACTCCTAGTCACAGTCGACAGCATCAAAACATGCTAACGAGCACTCAGGTATCTAGACTTTCTAGGCGAGATGACCGCCGGCTTGTATGGGCATTCCCATCCCATGATTCGCGAAGCCATCATATCAACGACCAACGAAGTCGGCTTGAACCTCGGGGCGTCAACAACGGCTGAGGTGCGTCTGGCCAAGACGATCTGTGATCGCGTTGCTTCCATCGAGCAAGTGCGGTTCTGCAACTCAGGAACGGAGGCCAACCTCTACGCATTGAGTGTGGCGCGCCAGGTAACGGGCTTGTCCAAGGTCATTGTATTCGAAGGTGGATACCACGGCGGTCTGTTATATTTCGGTGACGGCATTGCAGCCAACAATGTTGACAAGCAGGATTGGATCCTAGGGCAGTACAATGATGCCGAAGGCGCCAGAAAGTTGATCGAAGAGCATAAGGGGACTGCCGCGGCGGTCCTTGTCGAGACGATGCAGGGCTCTGGGGGCTGCATCCCGGGGAGTGCAGAGTTCTTGCATGCGGTGCAAGACGCGGCGAGAGAGAACAGTCTCCTCTTCATTCTGGACGAGGTCGTCACGTTCCGACTGGCGCCTGGAGGCCTGCAATCGCGTATCCTTCATCCCATGCACGGCGGCCCACTGCAACCCGACCTAACGACACTGGGAAAGTCCGTCGCAGGAGGCATGACGATCGGCGCATTCGGGGGCCGACGAGATTTGCTCGCCGTTTATGATCCCCGGAAGCCCCAGATCAACCACTCTGGGACATTCAATAACAACTCTCTGGCCATGAATGTTGGACATGTGGCTCTCTCATCCATCTATACCCCTGATGCCTGCGTTGCGCTCAATGCGCTAGGCGATGAGCTCCGCCACGGCCTGCAGGAGCTGGCCCGTGGTACGAAGATGGTGGTCATTGGCGTTGGTGCCGTTCTCAATTTCCATTTCCTTCCGTACCCTGATCTTGAGCCTCCAGAATTGAAGGTGAAGGATGTACGAGATGTGACCGTAAGTCAAGATAGTGCTGAATTCCTTCTGAAGGACCTTCTGTGGTTTTATCTACTCGAGCATGGCATCTGGATCGCTCGACGTGGGATGGTTAGCTTGATGTTAGACACGACGAGGGAGGATGTGCAAACTTTTCTTCGCGTTGTGGGCAGTTTCCTGAATGAATATGAAGATCTGGTGAGATTGTGATTTACCACGGTATGAGATACCGACAAAAGCATGTATATAACGAACCAGTTTGTTAACCAATGTGGTTTCCCGAGAATCACAGGCAGAATATGAAATGAAATACACATGGGTAAAGCTTTTGCATGGCCAGATCATCAGCTCGGTCAAAGACTGCTCAGACTGGCCGGCGTCCTATTGACAGCAGCGTATCTACAGGGTCTCATAAGAAACTATACTCTTCATGGCCATGCGCTCGGAGTGCATACCCTCAAGGCAACAAGCATCTATTCGGCTGAACCGCCCGAGTTCGAGAATCTCTTCAATCTTATTGAAAAAGTGGTGGATATGGCCATTATCTCTAGGGTTAAAGAACGGCAGCAATGTTCCTTATAGAGGAAATGGGCCAGAACTGGTGCCAGAATTACGAATGAATAGCTCTGAGGACGATCACCCCTAGGGTATCTGTAGAATCTTGCGGTCCACTCGATAAAAGGGATAATCGAGTAGCCAGATTCATACCTGAACATAGCGACATGCCATTGTCGGTCATTATAGCAGAGTTATGAATATTTTATCAAACCATTCCAATTCCGAGATCAGGGGTTTAAATTGTTATACTTGATGTAGCTTCTTACTATTACTTCAAACACTTAGACCATCGTGACCGTCGTCATATCAATAACATCAATCTATAATAATAGCCCTAAAGCAGACCAGTCAACAGCTGAACCCATCCTATCTCGAAGACCAGCACGAATATATACAGATATCCATATAGCGGTATTTCCGCATCCTCGCCCCTCATCGCAGCGTCCTTCCCGATACGGAGAAAACTCCCTTGTCAAGACACCTCCCAACGGACTATATTTAACAAACATCCCATGTTCCCCTCCTCTTCCTTCTCTCTAGCTCTATCTCATCTCATCCTCTTCGACAATCATCTGATAAACTCTCACTACCTAACAAACATCAAACCTACTCAACCACTAAGCCCCCTCCAAATGCCTCCTCCCTCCGATCCAAAACCAAACAACCTCCCCACGCACATCCCCCTCTCCCACACGACAACCACACCACCCGAATCCTTCCCCCCTTCAGAAAACCACGGCGACATAACCTGGCACACCCTAATCTCCACCCCGCAGACCCCAACCTCCGATCTCAGCGCCGGCATCGCCGTCTGCCCGCCTCGGACGGGCCATCTCTGCGCGCACAGACACACCCAAGCAGAGATATACCATATCCTAGATGGAGAGGGCGAGATGATCATCCAGGGGAGGAAGTTCATTGTCCGCAAGGGAAGCACGGTGTTTATTCCTGGAGATGCAGAGCATGGGATCGTGAATGTAGGGGAGGGGGTATCAAGGTGGTTCTATGTTTTCCCGACGGGGAGTTTTGGGGATGTTGTTTATCGGTTTTCGGAAGGGAGTGGTATCGTCAATGGGAAGAGGGAGAAGGGGAAGCTATGATTGTGATTTTGAGGGTTGGTTGGGGAGAAACTGATGGTTCTGAGGTGTGTTATCTGGTTAATTTAGTTTGTGTATAGCACACAAGCTGGCTCTCACACACAGTTACATGGCATGCAAATGTGGCCTGCCTTACACGATACCATGTTTACTGTTCTATATGTTGAATCAGAGAACGGAACATCGTAGGAACATTTTCGAATATTATGCCAGTCATATCACCAGGATTCTCAGCACGGTTACGGATCGAATTTGACATTAAAGACCTGCCGGTTCTGACAGAGCGAGGAAGTACCTCGTTTGCTTTTATGAGTTGCCCATTATTTCCTATCTGCCGGAAAGAATATCTTGTTGGTAAACCATGATGGTGTTCCGGCCAAATGGAAGGCGTGATCGATCCGGTAGGGCACGAAGTTCAAACGCTTTTGGGTTTCCCTATTTCATCTGTTGCATCTCATGTCAGTTATGCCTTCCAGATTAACTTTGGGTTGGAGGTAACTAATCTGCCCTCCTGCAGAAGATTCCCCAGGAGCTCTAGGACAGAAGATCTCAGCTGATATCGATAAACCGCACTGGACCGCGATCAACATCGAAATCCCATGCATGCTTTTGCGGTCAATATTTTGGTCCATGCCCAGCACGTAAGTTTGAATGACTGTCATCTGACCTTTCACACTTTGACAGGAAGGTTCGGTCTATTTAACGCACGAAATGGCGGTCAACCCCCGAACCTACCTCATGGAAACGGTCATAAGGGTCATCCAGAGCTTATCATCTGTAAACATCTGTATTCCTACCCGGCCGAGAGTTCAAGGCTGAAGTCGTTGTTCGGGTACCGCGCAACGTGCTTTACCACGCCGTAGGCCAGCATCGTTTCACAATCACAATCTCTGTACGACCTCACAAGTCGAGGAGATCGGCAAGTGTGGAATTGCTGACAACGTGGCGGATTTGATCAAGTCATAAATCCTGGTTGTAAGCCAATAGTCAGCATCAAAGAATGCATTCTCCTGATCCTCCCATTAGCCCTATGCTCATGCAGGGTCGGGGGATATCATGATTCATGGAAAGATCAGCCCATCCAGACGACTTATTCACCGATCATGCCATTATACTTCACATCCACGTTATCAGGTCGTCTCTGCGCGTGAGGGGTTTCGGCCGAAAGATGCCTCCGTCTGGTTTGACTTCTGAGGCATCTCGGTGCATAGATTGCTGGGTCAGGTCGAATGACCCTACTGTTTCATCGAAGGAACCGGATATCACCCGTCAAGGTTCGCTCCGATAATCGGATCTATGCGTGTGTCCTAGAAGGCTCTCTGCCTTTTTGCCTTTCGGGCGATGTCTAAATTCACCTTTCATCATATCCTCTGCGGTTTAGAAGACATCCAGTTGCCCGGAGCAGAGCGCTCCCGCCATTGCCACAACAATGCATGCCTCAAATCAACTGAACGACTGCGTCGACACATCCAAATCTCCAAACCTAACTCCCTTGCCACGGACAAAGAGACGAGCAGTAACCCGCGTCTATCATAACATCATTGGCGCCCTCCAACCCCCCACCACGCCAACAAAGCGTCCGCACGCCACGCGCTGGGCACCAGCCACCAACGACCGTGCTCAACATGGGCTTGTGTAATGATGAGTGTTTTAGCGTCGAGCAGGGGTTTTTGTGAGGACTTATGGGGGCGAGGAGTATGGGGTGCGTCGAGGCATTGGTTTGATGCATGGAGATGACGAAGGAGGTGGCTATGATGGAGAATTGAAGTAGATTGGAAGGTCCAGAAGGCAAGTATGTACAGTACCTTATCATTTGTCAAATGACAAGCCTAAACCACAAGGTGTCAACGTCCGACCCCGCACCAACCGGCCCACTGCATCCGCGCCATCTTCCTCCCTCCCTTGGACAGAAAATGTACCTGATACAAGCAACGTCTGAGCTGTCAACCAATCCACCTCCTGCACCCCGCAGTTCTGACTAAATGTTTCCAGAGAGGGCAGAGAATACAGCTCCAGCCTATCTCCTGTCTGGGAGCTCCGTGCCACCCGTTTCCGCGGGAGGGGGCAAACAAAGGGAGGGGGCAAACACCATCGACCGGGCTTATCGCGCTCGGATCTTCGCTACTCCTGTCTGTCTGATCTGGGGTCGAATCAGATCATATCACCTCATATCATTTCATAATACGCGCCGTTCGCCTCATAAGCGACGATGCATAACTCCCTAGCTGGATGGTGATACCCTATTCGATTGTCCATGCAATGAAAATGCCTGGTTTGCTAACGGGTCGCTTGCTATCCGGACTAATCGGAATGGCAAATTGTTTGCTTGGTCATCTGAGAGACAACAATTACTTGCTGATAGCAGACTACACAAGTATGACAGGACGGGAGGAGAGGTACTTATTGGACGAAGGGGAAAGACCGATCCGGTTGATCCGCTTCCCTTGTCTGTTTCGATGCAGTTGGGATTCCATGGGTCGATGGTGTTAGCTAGCTGTCACTGTCACTGTCGCTGTCAGCGGATGGGTGCAGCAGTACCGTGGCTTAGGGGCTCGTACTCGTGTGTTTTGTCGACCAATCGATTCAGCCTTACCCTTTTGTCGCTTACAATTCTTTTCTTGGGAAGCTGCTAGCTAGATGGTTTGGTTTTGGGAACAAAGAAGTGATCCGAGGTTGAAGGTTTGTATACACGCAGCGTCTGCATTCGGTACGGCGTGAGATTGGTGGTGCATTGTTGGGATTGATATTTCAATGCGTTATAACCTACGGATCGCAGGTAGAAGATTCAATTGATAATAGCATGGTCGCTGGCTGTTTCGGAGTCTTCCATCTTCATTATAGTATTTGAAGTCTAAGCATAATCGGTCTCTTGAGTTTGACCCAGTAGTGAAAGACAAGGTTATAGAATCCAGAACCTTTCAGCCAATTGTGCATTCTTTTGCCCGTTTAGCTTCGAGAGACACGGATGGCATTCATGAAACTTTCTGGGGTAGATTTAATGTCTAGTTATATGAAAGTCAATCGGGATGAGGTCGCTCATACGTGGGATATGTAGGAGCCTAATCTTTCAAAGAAACTGTTAGTGTACGTCAAGGAGCAGGGGTTTTGGAATATGAGAATTACTAGAAATCACCAAAGCCATGTCCGAAGTTTCATTCACCGAATCATGATAGGATGCTCATCTTCGTTGCCTTTCATGAGGGTGGCTACCGAGTTCCTTTCTCAATTTGACAACAGTTCGACCCGGAACTTTATTCTCACAGAATATCATAGTTTTCCTATTGACTGGGTTAAGTCTAGGTCCTAGGTCACTCAATGGACTCGTCGATACACAGTAGAAAGACTAGGTTTACAGAAACGTTCTATATCAGTCAGACAGGATGATGTGTAGAATGCTAAATCCATTGATTAAAGCACAAAGACACCAATCAGATTACCAAGAACGAAAGGAAGTTCGAGAAAAGACCTGTACCACCTACCTTCTCCCCAATGTATTGAACTTATGTAGACAGAACAGCGAGAAAAAGAAGACCAGCTCGACAACCTCAAACCCAACAACAGGAACCCAAACCAACACCAAACACCGAGACAAGCCCCAAGAAACCCTAAGATAACAAGACCAACTCAATCCAATCTGCAAGAACTCAGATGACCTTCCTTCCTCTCCCTTTCCTTCCGATCCCCAATCGATGGCGTGACGAATCGTCCCGACTCCGAACCTTTCCTCCCTGCCTACCTACCTAATATAACCGCGTATCTCGTCAAGCACAATATTAAGCTTGTTTCGAACAGCGAAACAAAAAAAAAAAAAAAAAAAGCAAATCCCCCTAAGGAGTCAGTCATATGAGCCAAACCAAAACAAACGGGTCCCCTACTAGGTGTAGGTAGAGGCTTAGACCTCATTTCCCTTTCTTTCTTTCATCTTTAGTTAACTACCTCTAGGTAGGTGGTTCAGTTCTCCACCCGCCGACGCACGTAAGCTGCGGGCCCTCCCCGCTTCCGCGACATTGATCATCTTCCCGTCGGCTTGCGCGGACTTGCGCCGTGATGGACGTGCGTTTATTCATACCCCGTTTTTTTCTGTGTACACGGACATGGTTGGGGCTTAGTTCTAGTTCTAGGTGAGGGACTAGTTAACTAGATTACTAGGTAGGTAAGGTAGGTAAGGTAGTGAGGTAGTGAGGTAGGGTTAGTGCTGATATGACAGAACGGGATGAGGTGGATAGGTAGATGGCTTGGCTTGGCTATCTAGGTATCTCCTCCCGGGCTATCTTCCTGTTTTTGGGTTACGATACAGAGGGGTATATAGGTCCAGCCAGGGAGATAGGAGAGAAGTGGAGATTCCAAAGATCCATTTAATTACCGTAGGGCACACGTGAGGTATCAAGGGAAGGTCCATGAGCTAGCTACCTAGACGATCCATGATGCAGCTGGTATATCCATGTAATATTGGCAACGCGCGTGCGGTACGTATGTGTATGTATGTAGGATGTTAGGTGGTTTGGGATATCATGCAGTTCGAGGACTTGGTGCTTTATCTTCCTGGGGTGGATGGCTGCTGGATTGCTTGTTCTGTCTATGCAGATTGCATTCGAGGGTTATGTTTACTGTCTGGCTGGCCAGTGGTTTAGCTAGGGCTCTAGAGTGATCGGGGAAAGTTTCTGGTTGAGCTGGAAGCGGAAGATTAGAGTCCCTAGTCACAGATGGCTGGGATGGACAGGGCATCTAGACGGTCGCAGTCGATGAGTGCGGAAATATTGGCCGTCAAAGACACCTGCGACGCAACCTATACGGGTTGGTAGGTAGGTAGGAGAAAGCAACACAATCCCCAGACCAGAACCCCGCTTCTCTATTCTCCATCCCTTAGGGCCTATTTCCTCGGGCGCGGAGTGCATTGAATACGATAACAGAGAAGTTAAGATTATGCGAACGGGAAGACTGAAGTTCCCCGTGGGGTGTGAATCACTGGGGTTGAGCGCGTTGAGGTGAGTCCACGACGGCTG